GGGGGGGGGGGGGGGTGTCAGTGGTATGCCCCCCTCTTTCTCCTATCAAAAACCAAAAGAAAAATTACAGGAAAGGAAAGAAAGACGGAGAGGATAAGTTTTAACAGGTTACACAAATTTTAGTTTGGTTTTGTTGCCGTTCGTTAAAGTCTCCGGAAATATCTATTGAGATGGCCAACGGACTGATGAATCCGCTTTACCGTCAGTGAGCTTCATACTGACGTGCTAAGGAAGAACGTCGTATGAGCCTTCAGACGCTGCCATATTTCCTTCAATAAAAACTTAATTTACTCGGAAAATCGTTAATATTTTCACTCAATTTCTTCAGACAATTCAGCTCGCAATTTTATCTAAAACGTTTAAAAATTTGAAGGAAAACTACGCATAAGGTTCTTTAAAAATACACGTTTTATCCGGGGCAATTTGGCATCTCTCAAATGTTCATACGACGTTCTTCCTTAGCACGGCAGCATAGAGGGGTATATATAGCTGATGGTGTGAGAAATGTGGCACCTCTCTCTTCCTCCCTCATCTCCAAATGATATTTGACGTAGCGCATTCGATGGTGGAAATGCAGAAGTGCGCATCTCAGAATACACGATTTTCCAGGAGAGTACAAAAAACGGTCTACATTCCTCTTTTTAGTTCGTAGAAGGGTAATAATTTTTGAGGATAGCAAGAATAAGATGGTTTTTCAGACTCCATCAGCATTTTAAATTATTTTTCGAACTGTTAGAAAATAGGGCGAAGATGCCGAGATTCGCGTTTTCGGTTTTCGGCAATAGGAATTGACGCTTCATCCCGAGTTACGTATTTTGGCAATTAGTGTTTTACCCTTGTTGTTGGTGGATTTGGATCATCTAAAGCCTGAAAAAAGAGTTTTACGCTTAAAATTCCTATTCAGATAAGGTTTAGTTGGATATCATATAGCCAGCATGCACGCTATTTCCATTTAAATCTTCCGTCACATTCGTACGGCGCAATGATACAACTATTTGAACTCTCCGGAATGCGTGAGGTATCACGCCGCATTTGAAGGCGTTTTCAAAACGGCTTAGTTCCGATACCCGGATTATCGTTTTGCATACTTCGTATTCTTTTGTTATATTCCGTACCACTCGTTTATTTTTAATCCTCGTAGAAAAACCCCCCATTTGTAAATGCAATTCTAGCTGGAGCGCACTTAAGCGCATTTATGACTGCAAAAATGTTAACGGAAATCGAAAAGACCAGCGTGCATGGAGGCTATTTCCTTTTAAATTTTCCGTCACATTCTTACGGCGCAATGATACAACTGAGTAGAATCAAATAAGTTTTGCTCTTGGAGCCATCGTTTTTTAAAAAAGTGACTTTAGTTATTTTAAAACTTCAGCATGTTTTCTGAAGTCCATGTTCCATGTTGAACTCTCCGGAATGCGTGAGGTATCACAACGCATTTGAAGGCGTTTTCAAAACAGCCAAAGTTCCGATACCCAAATTATCGTTTTGCATAGTTCATATTTAGGGCCCGTGTTACCCGTGAAAAACCACTACGAATTCACATGCAACCCTTGTTTCGTAAGAAAAAGTGAAAAATTTACCCTAAAAATTTCGCAAAAGGTGAATAGATTTTCAGAGACACGTTGGGGCACTGTAGAATTCTTCTTAAATTTTCAAGATTTTCAGTACAGAGGGATATTTTTAGTATAACTGCGTTTTATTTTCTTCCGTCGTCAGATGCTAAGAGTCTCCAGTCTGGGCATCCTCGACTTCAATGGCTCACGGCTCAACTCCCTTGCCATAGACAAACGAAGGGTGAGTCCAGGAGGGCCTAGCCCTCTTAGAACTGAAAATAGTATCGTATGCCCCCCCCCCAAAAAAAAAATTTAATAAAAATTTTCCAGATATTTTGAATGCAACAATTCGCAAGTATTTTGTGCTGAAAGTATATATATATAAAAAAAAAAACATAATTATTCCGGAGAAATTGATGGAAAAATTCTTTATGGAAGCTTCAAAATGCGTCAAATTAGTCGTATAAATTCTAAAATTTCTCGGGGGATGCCCCTCGGACCCCCACCCCCTCCGTGCTTGGGGCCCGGGCCTTAAAACTGGTACCAGGGCCCGAGATGGGATGTGGCGGGCCTGTGGCCAGATCAAGCATTCTGCATTGTATGATTGGAAAATGACATTCGATCACGAGATATGCATTTCTGCAATTATTAGCGTTTTGAGCCTGCTGTGTTGATCATTATAAGATTGAAAATAGAGTTTATTAATACTAGAAACATGTTTAGAAGCTTTCGTTGATACCATACCGTGAGTCATCATAAGTGAATCAGAGAATTGGCTTCCTTGAATAACTTTTACACCATACGTAGTTAAGAAGACAGTGCGGAGTCTCTAGAATATATCGTCTCTGCTTGGACCCTCGAAAAATTATATCGGTAATACTTTTTTTTCTATTTTTCCTCCAACACTTTGGCATATATACTATTAGATACCTACATACATTTATATGTATTCGTTATACCTATATAATGCCCGTAGAAACCCGGAGGACATCCATGCTCCATCAATTCACGCTTAACGCCTTTCAGATGGACCAGTGGACAAAGTACCTACCTCTTCTTCAATTTTGATTATTCACAGTTCATCGACAACAGTCATTATATCCATGCGAAACTTATTGAATTTACATGCAGCGGCTTTTAAGTAAGTTGCGATCTTGTGAACGGCGACCCTCAGTTTTGCATGAGAATACGATGACCAAAGCAAGAAGACTTAAAAATCACAATCTGGACCGAGCGTCTGGGCTCACTCTTTTGAAATAAGACTCGGAGATAAAAACAAAAAACTTATTATTAATCAAGATAATACTCCTCGAGCATTCTTCAAAATTACGGCTCGAATGAAGACATCAATATTATGAACATTTTTGGTCTACGTCATTGCACAGAGCCACTCACTTAGGATACAGAGAGCGCCTTCATCTCACGCCGTAATCTTAATGCAGAATTCTGATACCACTATTCGTGCGTCACGACAGCCGTTTTGCATAGCCAGCTAATTGAAGGCAGATCATTGGCCCAGGCAATAGGGTACGAATTTCAGCATTGTGAGGCGTAATTTTTAAGGAGCAAAACCTCCGGTCGTGCTCCCCCTGCCATCCAAGGCATTAATTATGCAGAATTTGTAAGTAATATTTTGTAGTATATATGATGTGTTGTAGTATTAAAATTGCTCATTTTATACTATTTGCCATGTATATCAAGCCACAATGTGTACACATATCAGTCATTTAGGTACTTGTGCATAAATAAAACTATAAAAAACTTAAGTTATCAACACATTTTTATTTTCTAGGATTAAATTTTTACAAAAATTTGATTGAAAAATTGCAATATAAACCTGAAATGGGTACATAATACATAACTGCAAATTTAATACTTGAAAATAGCATTTTAATAAGATAGAGCAACAATAACATTTAATGTACAGGAGTAAAAAAAAAATATTGAGTAACAGCCCCCCCATCAAAACAATAATTAGTCTTAGTAGTCTAGCATTTTCCATAGAAAAATACATTTTCCATAAAAAAATACTACTTTTAGAATGTACAATAGAAATGTTGGAAAACTAATCAATGAGTTTTCTTGCTATTTTGTGTGATTTTCTTTAGAATTAGTAAGAAAAACTGACAAAAAATTTCTTGGGAAACTTTTGGTTAGTTTTTCTTTAAAGTAATAAAACATGAGCATAGCTTTACAATGTCCCAATCTGAGATACACACTTTTTGACTTTAGCCATTGACATACCTACCTCACTATAAAACAGGTAATCTCAGAAATGACCTTCTTAGAATAATGAAGAGTTTCTCAAAACAAGTCTGGAATGATTGCACCACAAAGGATTAAGATAAAAGTCAATCAATTTAGAGCATCCAGTTGAGATTGGATATTTTCTAAAACTGAGTACAGCTTAGTCAATTCTTGATGATTCAAATCCAGGAGAATGTCTTCTTGGTTTCTAATATTCAATTTGATCTCAGCTCTAGGCTCCAATTCTTGGTCCCCTTTATCTGATTTTATGGCTACGTTTGTACTCCAATCAATGCCCGTGACCTAAAAGCCAATAAAGAAGAATAAATTAAAATGAAATAGACAACGAAGTAGAAAAGAGTTACAAAAAAACAAAAATAGAGAACCACTGAGTACATGAATATGACCATGGTAAGAGAGGAACAGTCACGGACAACAAAAAACCGCCGTGCCTCTAATTATTATTAATTCATCTGCATTGTACATCACAGGTCACAAGTCAAATCTATGCCACATAAGTTTAAGCACTTACAGAATGTGATAGAGGATCCACCATCTTGATTCTTGCATTTACTTTTGATGCTAAACTGAGGACAAATGATTTTCCGTTGCACTCTAGAATTGTGTGAGCTCAGGTGTGGACTCTACAAAAATTTTGTTGATCTGTTCGAGAGAAATGCTCGACTGCTACATCATAACCCAAAGACTTTTTTGCATGATGCTCTGCTGCAAACTGCTAGGTTCAGATACCTGTTATCTTCTACTACTGTTAATGAGAGAGGTACAAATACTGAACAAATTCCTTTCTTTTTCCTATTTACACTGCAGTCATGATAATTTTCTTTCAGACACACTTTATAGAACCAGCTCATATTTTGAAATCATTAGTGAATCATACTAAACTATTTTAGACATCTCCTTGGTATTATTCATTCCTCTAAAAACCAAATTTTAAGCTGTAGTCAGACTAGTTAGATTCAAGGTTTACTAATTTAATTGGACAATTTAATTAAATAATGAAAAAGTGAAGGAGGCAGTTCCTCTGATTCACACCAATAGAATGACCTCTAGTTTGGTGTTAAATCTAAATTTAGTAAAATAATTAAGCTTGGAATCGAGGTAAGAATTTTATAAGAATCTTTCAACAGATTCATGAATTTTAAGTTTTTGAGAAGCCTTTTCTCAAGTTGTGACATTAAACTTTGGTGGAGGTTTAGTCGACCTTCAGACGGAAAATTTCTGAATCTTTTCTACAGGACAACTCAAAATGACTTTAAACCTCTCTAACCTGGTGGGAGTAGAGAGATTTTTGTTTCATTGCGTTCACAAGAGATTCTGCTTCTGTTGACCACAGTTGAGAAAAAGCGACGGCTCTTTCTTCTTCCATGCGTAATGATTCGACCATATGTTTATGGAGAGCTGCAGGTTTTATGATGTGGAAAATTGCCTTGAATAAAAGAAGAAACATAATTTGAAGAAATTAAAATTTTAAGGCAATGGGAACAATAAAGCATTTTACTGCCAAGATAAAATCTGGATTGATGCTGTCATTAATAAAATCTGACCAGAAATATTTAGAAATGTTTTGAAGCATAAAAGAATTATGTACCTACATATTTTATTTATTTTTTATTTTTTTCCTCCAATGTGAGCAGATGAATGCAGGGCACAAGTATCAAAACGATTTGGGAAGATAAGAAATAGGAGGCTCTGTTCTTTTTCTTTACTTTAAGTAATTCTCACAGCTTTATGTTATACCCTTCTTCAATATTCACTCCGTGCAATTCTAGATGCCAGATACTCGAGACTGTGAAATTTAGATCATCTGGCCAAAAGTCATCGACAAGGTCTGTTCATCATTGAGCAAACGGTTTTGAGGTGAAAGAAGCTGACTCTTGCAGTGTTTACTTTTTTAGAAAAATGTCCTGCGAACCACTATACTCCTCTCTATTCTCATTTTGATCCCCAAAGAGCACTGCTCCTGACATGTCTCGCATCTTACTACCTATAGAAAAGATATTGTGGAGTTTTTCATAGATGCCTACCTTTTTCAGAATGTGGGTTGTTGTTGATATTAGTTGATCTACTTCTACAGGACTCAATTCCAGAGAATGTTGCAATTTGTCCCTTTCTTCTGTTGTGAAGGGTTCGTCGAGATCCTTAGAGATAGCTTTGACGATACGATTGGTTATTAGAAGGAATTTTGTACCGTCAATTTTATTTATGATGTCCACTCCTTTTGAAAGCCTGAACAAAAATAAAAAACAATTTTAGTTAGTCCACATTTAGTCACTTTGTGTCAGTGTGTGAGCACAAACTTTCATCACTATCATCGGGACAAAGAGTCTGAAAATATAAGGGAACTAAGATCTGGTGGTGATACTGGTGAGTTTTGTCCGTTCAATCATTGTATTTTCGGTTGTTATTGTAATAAATAAATAAATAATAAATGACCCGCAGCAGCTGTGACAGACAGCTAATTGTATTAACTTAAAAATTTTGGCAAATAGTTTTTAATTTAAAAAATTGAAATAATAAGCTATAAGTAACTAAATGGTTTCACAGACAACTTTATGAAAAATGATGCATAAATTTAGAAAAATGATTAGAAAACAATTAAACTGCCTTAAGTTTCAGGAATTTCAACTCATATTTCAGAATAGAAATCAGAATGATAGAATACCAATTCTACATGCATCAAAAGTACGCATGGAACACAAATTCTTGACTTTTATCGATACCTCTTCTATTCTTATCTGACTGAATTTGGATCAAATAATTGCGCACTCACACAAGGCTTGGTACGAAGGGGATAATGCAATCAAAAGCACATCAAAAAGTACTGTATGGAAGTGGTGAATTCACTTCAATATGTACTCAAATAAGGTTCCAGAATTTTGAATACAATTCTGAAGATATGATGCCCTTTTCAATGTACTGAGACGCTTATTGTGTATGTACTTGTAGCTATTTTTTATGACGTTCATGTTAAAGTTCAGTCGTAAAGTAGTATATATGGAAGGGTGTCGCTTACTCAGAGTCTACTTCCCAGAGATCAGCAGAAGCCATGTTTTATGAGACTTAAATTGCACTCAAAGTTAAATGAAGCACACCTTTACGTGCACTTAAATCGCATGCACAGAAGACCGTAGGAGTCGAGTGATTTTCTGAAATTATGCATCGAAATCGATGGAAATGATGTTAAAAGTGACCAACACAAATTCTGAGTACCTAAAGGTAAACCATACAAACTGAAAGAAAATATTTGGAGGGACAATTATAACTTAAAATAAATTAGAAAGTCACGAAAGATTAACAATCTCCTCATTGATTCTCTCTTATCACTATCAAGTTTTATTTACATAACATTGATGGATGTTGCATTCGCGCATTCTGGCAACCATTGACGTATAATACAATTGTGATTGTATTATACGTCAATGCTGGCAACAGGTGGTTGCGTTTTGTAAACATAACCTTATCATTCTCATGTCCATTCGTGATTTCATGACTGATTCGTGATAAAAATGAGCAATAATTTGTAAATTTTCCTTTCTAGTATGTTTAGAAAAACAATTTTTTAGTAGTTACGCGATTATCATAAGAAGTTCTTACCTGAATCATATTTATTTCTTTTCAAAGAGAAACTTTGGTAACTTCTCCACCAAAGACATGTCTTTGTTCTCGACTCTCTTGAGTGTAGCTTAAAAAGTATTTTTTCCGGTCTGATCATCAGCTATCCTATCCCTGTAATTTTTTTAGTCTCAATGGAGGACGTGTCTTCAAAATTGATCTTTTTATTTTTGATACTCTTTTCCACGCATGATTTTGGGTTTTGCGGTGATACCTGTGACCCTGGTGATAACTCAATATGCAGCCAGGAACCAACCAGCAAGAGTTCAGTGTACGCCAAAGGTAGGCATGTCAGAGGAGTATTTTTGGTTTTTCTAAGCATTTTAAAATCCTGATGTATACTTACGAAGGAACTAGAGTTACTGAAATATACGTACCTTTCTTTTTGCATGCAGAAAGGAAAAAGAAGCATGCCAAACATGGAAGAAAAATAACGATTTTTAGCTCATGTTTGGATGCATTCCAGTGAACGGTCTCATTAGTTATGAAGGAGTCAGGTTCTGATGCTCTCCTCATTTCCTATGATTTTTGCCAATTTCATGCCACGAACATGTCTTGACGAGACAGGCATAAATCATGAAGCTAATGACATGGTCAATTAATTGTTGTCCCAAGCAAGAAAATCACATTTACAATGTCTCAATTTCTCCTCATGTTATGCATTTATAAATTTGGCAGTGAACAATGGATAAGAACTGCATGGTAAGTTGCAGATGCTTCCACTTGTCGAAAGCAAACTTAGGTATAGAAAAATTAGAACACTGAACTTGATTCAGTCACTGCTTAAAGCGATTTGTCCTTGGTTCCTGGCTTGGTCAAACTGGCGTGCAATATACCGAATCAATTAACTAAAAAACTTGGCATATTTTATTGCTCAGCCAAGGATGATAGCCCCCACGCATGAATCGGAGAATCACATTAACCAAAAATGTGCAAAATTGTAGAAATGAAAGCAGGATTTGTCTACCATAAAAATGCTGCAATCAATACTGAGTTACCTATATTACATGAATGTAACGTTTATTTGTAGCCTAATCCTGGGTTTTTTTTCCTCTAAATTTTGCAATTTTTTTCGGTTGAAAACGATTCTTTAGACGCATGTGCAGGGTGTATCTTCCTTTTTTAGGTCAAAAGGTCAAAACCTGCCAAGATTCTTGACTTATTGGCTGCAATATATACCATGCTTGTTTGACCATGCCAAGAACCGAGTACAAATCATAATAAGTAATTCTTTCTTGCCCAGGACCGCAGTATCAGTCACTACAATATTTTTCGAGAGAAATTAATTCTTAATTTTTCTCTGTTTGTATCTTTTCCAGAGGCAAGTTATATAGTCTCCGAAATCGAGAAAGCGGAGAAGGAGTTCAAACCATGCCATGATCCTCTATCATGTTACAGTCCTGTCATTCAAGCTGATTTGAAACCGTTCAAGGGTGGAATTACCAAAGATATGATTAGTGAGGCAGAAAAGAAGTAAGCACCTTACTTTATCCTCTTTGTTTCTTTTTTGTTGGGCTCCTCGTTAATCTACCTTTAAATGAGTAATTAATAAATGATCATCTGATGAGCATGGAAATTGGATCTTTCATTTAGCAATCAAGATCCATCTAAGTGTGCTCGTAGTTTGTGAAAATAGCATGTGAAAATTTTAAAAAATGTTGTAAATCTGCTCTAATTTCGACACAGTCTTACAGCCGGTTTGATTTTAGGCATTCACTGATCTTTTTCCTGTCTTCTATTTTTAGTAAATAAGCTTTTACTTTTTTAAAAATGCAATGCAAAAATCTCTGTCTTCTAGGGGTACGAAGTATCAAATAATTGATGGTCAGCTGTATCGATCTAAAGACTGCATGTTCCCAGCAAGGTGCTCTGGTATCGAACACTTTATTTTGAATATTATTGCTAAACTGCCAGACATAGAATTTATCATCAACACACGAGACTGGCCGCAGATCTCAACGCATTTTGATAAACCAATCCCTGTGTTCTCATTTAGTAAGGTAAGTCAATTTTTCTCAATGATAAGAAGAGAAAGAGAGTAAATTGATCTCCTTACCATTCTACAGTATTGAATGAACTGGATGCACCCCTCTGAACGAGTGGCAAGAATGGAATATTTAAAACTGAATTAGCACTATTAAAACAGAAGGACAAATGTTCAGGCAAGTTTTAGGGCTGAAAGCAAGGAAGGTTCAAAGCTTCTGAGAGGGTACTCCTTGTCATCATACCCTTTGGATATTTTTCATAGTATGCCCTTGTGGCTGCTTGAGTGAACATTATTCTTTGTCCTTCTTAAGTACATAACATAGAACAAAAAGATGGTGAGACTACTGAACAACGTCTCTGGTCTAGCAACATTGCAAATCTCCTGTCTTATTTTATTTTTTGAAGAAGGCCTAATCATCTTTTTTGTTCAATTTTTTTTCCCCTCCATTTTTCCAAGAATATTTTTTTTCAATATTGCAAACGAAAATGTTGAGGAGTATATTTTAGAGAAAATGAAACATTAGTGAAAATTTTGAAACTCTGCAGATAAGATACATGGGCTGTTGGTTTCACCAGCGATATGTATTTCATATTTCCTGCCTCTCTTTTGTATTAGTATCATTCTCCCAAAAGTGCAAATTATCTTTTACCTATTCTGTGACATATCACGACAAGGAGCAATAACTGGAAATTGTATTTTCAGACAAGGAGTTATTACGACATCATGTATCCAGCTTGGAGTTTTTGGTCTGGAGGTCCAGCCATTAGCCTCTACCCCAAGGGGATAGGGAGATGGGATGTATTTCGCAAGGCGCTGAAACATGCAACAGAAAAGTGGCCTTGGAACTCCAAAAAACCAACAGCATTCTTTCGAGGCTCCAGGACTAGTGATGAGAGGGATCAGCTTATTTTACTCTCTCGAGACTCACAGGATCTTGTAGATGCTGCTTTCACAAAAAACCAAGCATGGAAATCAGATAAAGTAAGTCTTTCTAAGAATTGTAAGTACTTCAAGTTTGATTTGAGTCGCTTACTGATCAAAAATTCAGATTCGTCGAAATTGTTTGTAAAAACTTTACTCACCCAATTTTCTCTTTCATATATGGATTGCATTTTGCAAAAAGGAACCACTAGCATTGCAATGTTGCTAAGATTGTGCAACTTCTTTTGTCTTGAAGGAAAACCCCGATTATCCATTAATAGTTTCTATTTTACTCGCTAAAAACTGTAAATTTAAGACAAAAATTAACCATCTAAATTTCAAAGTTTTTCACGATTTCCGCAATTTTATTGCAAAAAATGAAGTTGCACAATCTTAGCATCATTGCAATGCTAGTGGTTCCTTTTTGCAAAATGCAATCCATATCATCTCAAGATTTTAGCTGTTTATTTAAAGACTCTTTAATTTTGAAAAAGACAAATGAATTTGCAAAAAGGTAGGAAGTCTCATTTGAGAGACAAATGAGTTCATTCTGTTAGTAATAGTTTTGAGCTCAAGTAGCTAGCTACTTTAAACCCGAGAAGCAAAATATTTTGAATCCAAAAATGGGTGTTAAGATATATCTCTAAAATTAAGGATTATGCTGGAATAAAATTTCAAAACTCTTTTTCTCAGCTCAATCTTGGTGTGCTAGGGTTCCTTACTTTTAAACATGGTTCAAATAATGTCATAAAATAGATAAAAGAAGTGAATATTACTGTCTTTTCGAAAACACCTGAAATCTGCTAACACAGTTGCATTGTTTTTCTTTGTTTTTTTTCTGTCAACTGTTTTTATTTCCACTTTGACTGTTGATCATAATTCTCTTTTATGTATTTTTCAAGCCTTTCTAACTTCAAATTTTTCTTGATATTTTCCTATTTTTGCCCCAGGATACTTTGTATGCACCTCCTGCAGAAGAAGTTTCATTGGAAGACCACTGCAAATTTAAATATCTATTCAATTTTCGAGGTGTTGCTGCGAGTTTTCGGTTGAAATACTTATTCCTTTGTAAATCATTGGTATTCCATGTCGGCGATGAATGGCAAGAGTTCTTTTACCCGGCACTGAAAAAATGGATCCATTACATTCCTGTTCCTACGCAGGCCACCAAAAGTGAAATTCGGTAAGTACCTGTCTCAAAAAAGTCTGATCCCAATACTCTCACACCAAATAAGGCCTGTCTGATACATATCGGCGGTGCAAGGCAGCAATCACATAACTCAGTTTGCGACGTCGCAGACTTCCTATCATACTTTATTTTTTAAATGGAAAACTACTCAACGACAATTCTTTGAAACTGCCGTGATTTTTCTTCTCCATGCGAAGAAAATTCTGCAAAAACTTCAAGGAATGGTGCCAATTTTTTCTCCTTTAAATAAATAACATGGAAGCGGAGATTTTCAGACACGCAAACGAGTTATGTGATTGCTGACTTACACCGTTGATATGCAATCTGTTCCTGTAAGTCCTAAAACCCTACTATTATGTTAATACTGCAGCCAGGACTGAAAAAATGTGGGAATGGATCTCTTCAATGAACATAAGTTCTTCACAAAGAGTTCCTGAACTTTTTTGACAATTGTCAAACTTGGTTTCCCAATCTTGTCATCTTTGGGAAAAAATTCATCATCTATTCTAGGTGCAATAATTTTTAAAGAATTAAAGTTAGTAGAGCTATTACAGATTTTAATTTCCTGCACTGTATGTTTCAGGGCACTCATAGAATTTTTTAAGGAGCATGATGATCTCTCCCGGAAGATAGCTGAAAGAGGTCATGATTTTATCGCATCAAATTTGAAATTTAGGGATATTGAATGGTACTGGAAAACGTTACTCAACAAGTATGCAAAATTGTTAACGTATAAGCCTACATTAGACGAGTCTCTAATCTTAATTGAAAGAAGCAAGGGACCGAAAACAGAACTTTAAATGATAAGTAAATGAAAAAGAAGGAAAACTCATCTTCATTGCCATTTTTTCTGTTCCTCATCTCCAAAACAGTTTTCTGTCTTAGCTTTCAAACAAGAGCAGTTTTGAATAATCTTGGATGTTTTCCTCCCACTCTTTAGAAACTCTTTCCCCCTAAAACAAATTTCTTTAACATGCCGTATAAATTTATGTAATGATTCATTAAGGCAGTGTCACACATTTTCTTGATTCTCAGTTACACATTGAAGAGGTCGTAAGCAGAAGGGCTTAATAATAATTGATCATTTAGTTTTATTTGACAGTTTATGTGGCCCAAATTGTCTTTTAAATTTTTGACGAAGTTTCTGCCTGATTTGATGAAACATTTTCTGAAATTCTCAATGTGAAATATTGAGGACTAAATGCAAAAAAAGTGCTTATCTCTAATGCAACGTTCAAAAATCTTTGATTTTGCTGTATTTTCTCCAGGGAAATTAATTCCATACTGTGTTTTCTTGCAATTTCAGGTGATTTTTTTAGAGTGACTGAAAATTTCAATTAAAACTGATTGTGAGTGATAGTTTATCTTTAAAAAAATAATACGACATAAGGGAAGATGTACAGTGTTGCAATCTGAGATATCGCATTTTTCGAATTCAGCCATTGATTTTCATCAAATAAAGGGTGGAAAAATACATTGTCAGATAAATCTGGGCAACACTGCCACGCAATTAAGACCCTCTCATTTTGCCCTTTTTATTGTTAATGAAACTATGCAGAAAACCAAGTGCCTTAATTTACGGAATAGGGAATCATCTTTTATGCTTTAAATGATGTCCTTGTCACTTCTTGAAATTTTTTGTGATTTTCCCTCACTTGGTAAAGAGAAATTTTTTGTTTTAAAAAAATTGCAAGTTTTACCATAATATTTTGTTTTGCGTTATGTGAGAAAGAATATCAATTTTAAACAGTGTAGTACGTGTTCTAAGGTGCGCATGGAGAAGGAGTAAAACTGCCTCCTGTCATTGATAAATGGACAATCAAAATCAGTCTAATTTCATCAAACGTTGCCTAATTTCCTCTGATATTATATTCTTTAAAGGGGAAAATAAGCAAAATTGGCATTTGAAATTTTGTGAGTGTACTCTTTATAATCTAAGGTAAATTCTCGGGAGATTAAAGGGTGTTTAGTAGTTTAGTTCTCTCTATAAAAAATCAAACATTAGAGGAAATTAAGCAACTTAAGATTCTATTAGACTTATTCCAGTTTAATCGATCCAAATAATCATTCTACACATTTCTACCAGGTTGTTATTAGAGTGATCAATGAAGAACAGAAAATAGATAAGTTTTCCTTCTGATAAAGTGGGTGGAGGGATTTGGATCTCTTTAAAAATGTTTTCTTTAGCCGTCTGATTTTGATCTCTTATCCAGCTTTGTAACCAGGTGATATCTGATTAGTTCTAGAGTGAATTGCATTTAAACTCACAATTCCTGTGATATTTATTGTAAAAAGACACCTTTTTGTTGAATTTTGACATTTTGTTTTGAAGTATTATTTACCAATGAACTGAAATAAATCAGTTTTCATACATCTCTTGAATTCTTTATACGATTATCTTCCTGACTCTTAAACCTCAAAATGAGGTTTTTTCTTTTCTTTTTTTCTCCCTCATGAACTACCACCTTATCTCTTGCTGCCAACAGAAATTGACCACCAGACAGGGTAAAAAATTAAGTATTGCAGCACAAGTTGTCTCCTTAAAATTCATTGCAGAACACGTTGAATATATCAAGAACTTCCAAAATTAATGGATAATGGAGAAATACATTTTTGGTTGTTTACATTGTAAACAGTAAATTGAAACTTCCTACACAGGAAAAAAACACGATCGACAAAGGCCGAATTAGGCTTTGAAATCAACCTCTACATTAGAATAATAATTAGAGCTGATTTTCATACACATTTCCTTCCTCTTCTTTTCAAAGTGCCTTTAATCACGTCCAAAAAAAAGTTAGTACACAGGGAAATTCCTCTATCGTAAGAAAATCCCAAAATCAGTTTTGCACTCGATTTGACGTGAATGGACTCCGGTTTTTTTTGTAAAACGGAAGTGTGAATCAACGGAGAAAGAACCATTATTTTAATAAATTTTGAAGTCCGATCAATTGGACTTCATCTGTTATTCTTACTAAGGCTTAAAGAATTACAAAGTATAATAAGAAGTCAACATTCTGGGAGCATACATCCTCAATCAATAGAATTTGAAATAATAAATCAATGTGCATGTACAAAACGATTATTTATTCATAGCTTTTTACACAAGAATTAGATTTATACACAATATCATACCTGCATGTTTGCGAAGAACGAAGTGCCTTTGTACAATTACTTACTTACAAACAAAACCATTTTTCGCAGGCAAAAAAAATTCATGCCCTGTTCAGTTAGTAGGTACAGACATTAGGAAAATATAAAAAACGATGAAAGAGTAGTGAAATACAGAGAGAAGAGATCGGTCCCTAAACATTAGTTTTCAGGATTTACTATCAAGATGAGTGAATATGAGAGTCATGAGGAAATAAGATTGCTTGGAGCAATAGATCAGTGGCTACATCAGTGGTTACAGTAATTGAAGCCAGTTATGGCATTTTAATATCAGGAGGAGAAAAAGAGGTTTGTTAAAAAGTGAAGCAGAATCCACCTTTCTGCTCGAATTGACATCCAAACCTAAAAATTTAAGCTTCTACTAGATAAAATCGCAAAATCTGAGGTAATGCAAACAAGGATTCATCTATAATTTGGTTGACATCATTCCATAATGTAAGTAAACCATCGTTCAGTTAGACAGATTCGACTGAAATCAGCCCAACTTCATTGGACGTTGCCAAGTTTTTCCGCATGTTTGATTTTTTTACCAGAGAACTAAATACTTAACGTCTTTAGACTTTCTGAGAAGTAACCCTAGATTACGAAGAGTGAATAGAAAAAAATTTCAAGTTTCAGTGTGGTTTAGTTCTCTGTTTAAAAAATAAAGCATTACAGAAAAGTAGGCAATGTCTGATGTTGTTAAGGTGATTCTGGTCAAATTAAAATTAAATTTCGATTGATGAATTGTACATCAATTTAACTTGATAAATACGAATCAACTTATGGTTTTCAGCTCCGAAAACTGACACTAAAAAAGTGCAACTAATTGGTTACAGATTACAATGTTTACTTGTCTCTTTGGTAGTACCTCATCCAAGATCGATCAAATGATACATTTGCACAACTTAAACAAATAAAAAACGATTTATAAATTCATGACAAAAAGACTTCAGCAGTCTTCATTCCTGGGTAAATTGCTCAAATAATCACTCCATTGTTTGACTGAATGAGAGTTCATTCAAAATTAGTAAGCCGATTGGTCTGAGAATGGCAGATCTGCCTTTTACATTTTCGCATTTTAACTGAATGCAAGAATTAGGATGGCAGATCTTCCGCACCTGACACTAAATATTGCTAACAATGTTGTCAACATGAACTCCAAATCTAAACTTAAGATGGAATAGTGGTGATTTTGGATTCAAATTGATTCCTAGAACTTTGTCGGGTATCAATTATCATACTTCATGGATTTAATGATGTATGTCGCAGGCACATAATCAAATAGTCAGTTGTCAATCAAATAAATAGTCGAGTCACAGCAGACAGTAAAATTTTGACCATTTTCAAAGTTGAGTGAGTTTTTAACGTTTTATAGTAAAAATTCATAAAATCTACAATATTTCCTGATAGTTTTCTCTCTAGATGCTCCTAAAATGTTTTGACTGTATAATTTTGAAAAATTCTGTGCTTTACAACTTTCTGGAAATTTTCGGATAAATTTTATTTTAAAAAGACGAGATCATTTCAAAAAGAATTATTCATTCTAAAATTGGTAAAAGGACTTAAATTTCAATTCAAGTAAGATTATTTTACTATCTGCCTAGGCATTTGACGAAATGCCTGATTTGATTATTTGCCTGCGACTTGTACTTAAAACAGGAGGAGACTCCTGTGGGTTTCATTGTAAGTTCTTTGCATCCGAAACTTATTAGAAACCCGGGATGCATGGAAAAAAGAAAAAGAAAATGCATTAAAGCTACAGAGATCACGAAAAACACAATAGGCCTCTAGACAATGTATAAATTAAAGCACCACACAGCATGTTATCTCTTTAAAATTTCATGAGTAAACGAATTAATCAACATTAAGTTCAGAAATTAATTCCTTTAGAAGATATGAGAGGTTCATAATTCACATTAGCTAAAGGGCAAAAATACTGATTGGAAGGTCAGAATTTGACTTTCATTTCAGCTGTGTTAAAAATACATGTTGATATCTCGTGCAGGATTTGATTTTTGAACTTCCTGTTATATGAATTGTTTCCTACATTAGATTTTTGAGAGAAAACATGGGACGTTTCTATTTAGTTCAGACTTTGTCTGGTAGCCCACTGCATAAAGGATTAAACAAAGACACTACATCTTTTAAACAGGGCAGGAAAGACTCCGAGAGATTGGTGATACCACTTGGGTTGCGTTTCTTCTGATTTCAATAACAATTTAAAATGATACGATCAATATGAAGCATCACATTTTTTTTTTATTATTATTAATCGACTAGAACAAGCTAGAAAAACCGTGTTTTCAAGAGAGGCTTCAATGTATGTTTGAAAAAAAGCCTCAAAGAGAAAATGCAAAACCTTTCAGCTTTCATGAGCTTTCCTTGGGAACAGAGAGCTTGCCTTACAAATATCAGAACTTCACAAGAAATCATGAAACCTCCAGTTTCTTCAGAAATGCCTTAAGATGAAAGATGACGATCATGATTAGTGGAATGTACAAAAATAGTGACGACGATGATGGGATGATTATGTACAGCTAGATTTAACACGCTTTCCTGAAATGGTCTTTGTCTGTCGAGACCAACCGCAAACATGAGAAACAGTTAAAAAGTTTATGGGGTTTATAGGAGGAGGGAGAAGTATGATGAAAGAAAGGGGTCTGAAACTGGAAACTGTACAGGTCACACAATCAGACTGAGCCTATCAATCTAACAAGAGGCAAGAAGCCTGGATTTCAAAGCCAACCTTAAACTCAACCATGTTGTATCAAATAAAGGCAGCCCTCATCAATTTGATGGCGATGCGCTCTGATTGGTGATCGAACAACCAAAAGTGGCAGCAACCTTCTTGAATGGATGAGCTCAGTTTGATCGGGTGACCCACGCTTTTGACATCAAAAAGTTTGACAGTTCACTATGCAGTGAAGCTAAGACCGCATAGCAAAGTGTCAATTCTTAATGATACGTTTTGATAGGCTAAGTACAAATAAATTGGTTTTTTCCCTTTGATTTCTTCAGACCGTTACAATAATTAAATCACAAACAACAGTGTTCCATTCAGTTTGGAAAGTTTGAAAAGAGAGAATGAGGAGATTTCCTCTTAGAATATATGCTGAGTTTTGCACTCAATTTGGTCTTTTTCTGAATGATTGAGGAATCACATAACTTAGAATGGAAATTTTAGCGATTTTTTTTTTGTTTCCTCTGAGAGAAACCGCAGTATTGAAGGAACGAAATGTAATAGCTCTTTCGAACAGGAAAAAAAAATAGGGTTTTGGAAGTTTTACAATTTCCAATGTGGTCATAATTAACCTAAAATCAAAAGCTCATCGAATTTGATCCCTTTATGAGCCTAGATACAGTCTATGATAGTCATTAGCTCCGAACGCAGCATTACATTTAGGACATTTGCGTTGTCGTGTCTCATAGCGCGTTCGCAGACAGTCCCAACAGAAGACATGGAAACACTTGCTGAGCACAGCATCTTTGCGCTTCACCTTGCAGGATGGACATGTCAGCGTCTCCTTATACTCGCGAATTTCTTCCATCATAACTTCGTCGAGGGTTCCTGCCAGCTCAATTTTCTTCATACGCTCTGTCTTACGACGTAGCTGCGCTATTTCCTCTTGCAATCTCCGAGTTTTGTAAGCCTCTGCTTCTAGCGCCGATGTTTTTTCAGCAACAACTTGCTGTGCTTCTGTCATTTGAGCATGATACTTCTCTAAATGGAGCTTCAGATCAGCTGCTGACTGGGCTGACTCAATTGCCTTCCGTTTATGCATTTCCATAGCTTGCTGACGAAGTACAAGCTCTTTTTCTGTTGTTGTTAGATTGTTCTGCAACACTCTTTCTTTCTCTTCTAGCCTCCGGATGACAACATTCATTGCCTCCATTTGACCCGAGACGAGGTTTAGTTGCTCTTTCAGCGCATCTTTTTCTTCTCGTGAAAGTTTATGAAGTTGATTAGACTTAATTCGCTCTGTCATAAGCTTGAAATTAGCATCATCTTTTTCTCGCAATTGCTGAATTAACCTTGAATTCTGTTCTTGCATATCTTCGAATGCTTGACCCGTAACCTCCATCTCGTTCAAAAGGGCCTCCTCTTCCTGTTTATGAGTCGCAACCTGCTTTTGCAGTTGATGCGTCTGTTCCTCGAGGTGCTTTATTTTCCTAAGTGCATCCTCATCTGCCAGTTTCTTGCGTTCTTCCCGTTTGCTTTCTTGAATCTTTTTAAGCTGCTGTCGAGCATCTTCTAGCTCGGCTCTGATTTTCTTCTCAGCGGCCATCAGCTGAACTTTGTCGCGCTGCTCTTTACTCACTCCTTTGTACATATCTAATAGCAACTTCATTTCTTTTTGATCGTTCATCGCTTTTTTCAACTGCGCTTTTAACTCACGAACTATTTCTGACTCCGCAGGTTTCATCTCCTTTGCGCGGTGTGGTTCAGTTTTAACTGGTGGTTGAGATCCGGGCTCTTTCTTGATGGGTTGTTTTGCAGCAGGCCCAGCAGCCGCTCCATTGCCCTCTTTTTTTGTAGCAGATGGTGACAGAAGTTGTTTATCTTTCTCGCCATCCCCTGCTTCTACTTCTTCAGCTTCCTGTTCTTCGTCAGCTTGTTCTTTCTTGACATTAGCTTCTTCTTTGATCTTGTTTTCTTCGTTTGACCCGCCTTCTGCACTATTACTGCCCTCTTTGTGCTCATTTCTTTCTGCTTCCCTGCGACACTCTTCACGGAGCCGTGTTTTGGTGTCTTCTAGTTCTTTCTTCAGCCTAGGAATTTCTGCATTTGCATCTTTATACTTACGTTTATAACGATGGACCTCTCCCTTCAACTGCTGGTTATGGTTTTGTAGAGATGTAATTAAGTGGCGCATTTCCCTGTTGATAGGACCAGTCTGTTCGTTAGCTGCTAGATTTGTTTCGAACTCTATCCGAAGCATTTCATACTCCTTGCGAAGTTGGGCAAGGACATCCTCTAACTGCATGGCTTCTGCACGTAGTTTCTTCTGTGCTGTCAGCTCCTCACTCTGCAAGGATAATTAAAAAATAAAAGAATTGAAGAAAAAAAAAACTAGAAAGAACGATGATTTATTTCTCTTCATTTATCAAGTGTTCAGGAAAACAAAGAAAAGAAACAATTTTTTGAATAAATTTGAAAGTTAATTCTGCAAATTAATTTAGAAGGAGAGCACTGAACTTATTTGAGGAAAAGTTGACGATAATCTCATTTTAGAGGGAAGAGAAGGTTAGTATGCCACTGATCTAATAAGGTTTGGTTAGATTTTAAATATTGTTGTAGTGCTACAATGAATAATCATCTTTCACCTTCAAAAAATCTGGTAAAGGGGGCAAAAAATCGAAATTAAGAAATTAGGAAAGCAGATGTTGGGTTAGTAGAAGGTTTGATTAAAGACAAACGTCCGCACAGAAATTGGTGATTCACGTTCAAATAAGATGGAATCCCTAGATTGAGAACGGTTGCAAACTGAGAAGTCACCAAAAAAAGGGAAATCATGTATGTTATCAGTTTTTCGCTGAAAAACTCATAAGAAGGAAAAAAAATATTTTTGATGAAAGAAGTTTGACTGACTGTCTCATATCGATGATTTTAACCCATTGACTTATGATTTAATTTGACAAAAATCAGTAACTTTGAACACTTCAAAATAATCCAGAAACTCTTTCTCTAAGGGTGAAAATTGACACAATATGCATTCACAATACAACGTTTGAGAAAAATGGAGAAAACTTTGAACAAAATGATTTTTTTTTTGTGCTTTATAGCTGTCAAATTCGCAAAATCAGCAAAAATCAGAAAATTTTGAGGTTATTTCATGTTCCAACGCACAGTAATATGAAAATACAGTAACAAAACAAGAAATTACCCTACACAATAAGTCATAGAGTGGCCACACTACTCATATAAACATTGATGAGAACGCAATCTACCGGAGAATTGCCGAAATAACGCAAACAATCAACGGACGGCTGGGACGGTATTTTAAGTCAATGGGTTAAATGTACGAAAGTTGTTCTCCGTAAGTATGAAAATTGAGTCCCTGGTGACAAGACTGGAAAAAAAGAAATGCTCACCTCCATCATTTCTATTTGCCGGAGGTGGGTGTTTTTGCAGGTTTGAAGTTGGACACGACACTCATCTAGGGATGTTTTCAACTGCATTGATTCATTATAAAGAACGGAGAATTGGGATTGAAGACACTTGTATTCTGTTGTTTCTACTATAACACTTTCAGGCAACTGTCGAATCTGAAAAACGAAGAAAGCATTCATTTGTTTTAGAAGAAAAACATTAATGATAATCCACCATAATCTGTTCCATAACTTTTGTTAAGTCAAAGTGATATAAATACATTTCATCTTGAGACTAAAGTAATTCCTAAAATAAGAACAACAGAGTTAGTTTTTCATAATTGTTGAAGAGGTAAAAATAAAGCTGCTTGTTCTGTACGTCGAGAGGTAAAATTTTTTTGGTAAAACATCAGCAAGCAGCTTTTTTATGGTAAGGAGAACTATCCAGCACAAGTATTTTTCAGTTTAAACAAGTAGCAAAAGCTACCTGCAGAGGGGGCGCCGCCCCCCCCAGACCCCCCCTTTCAAATTATATATGTGAGACTTTGAGTATCATAGAAGTCGTGCGGCGACATGCCGAATGAAATGCCACAATTAAAATTATTGGATCAGATGATGAGCTGATAAAAGCCTTACCTAGTAATTTGGGAACATTTCTGACACAGTTTGGTTGCTTTAACTATCACTTTGATTTGCGAAATACAAATCGTTTTCACTTCGTATGTAGTTAAATTTGATTTTGACTGACTTAGTTTCTGATGGATTCAAACTCATAATATACATTTAGGTTCCAGGGAAAGAAAAATGCAGATGAGCTACACTTCACANGCTCCTCACTCTGCAAGGAGAATTAAAAAATAAAAGAATTGAAGAAAAAAAAACCAGAGAGAGCGATGATTTATTTCTCTTCATTTATCAAGTGTTCAGGAAAACAAAGGAAAGAGACAATTTTTTGAATAAATTTGAAAGTTAATTACTTTTTTTCAATTTTTTTTTAAACAGAAATAAATATTTATCCGCAAATTAATTTAGAAGGAGAGTACTGAACTTATTTGAGGAAAAGTAGACGATAATCCCATTTTAGAGGGAAGAGAAGGTTAGTATGCCACTGATCTAATGAGGTTTGGTTACATTTTAAATATTGTTGTAGTGCTACAATGAATAATCATCTTTCACCTTTAAAAAATCTGGTAAAGGGGGCAAAAAATCGAAATTGAGAAATTAGCAAAGCAGATGTTGGGTTAGTAGAAGGTTTGATTAAAGACAAACGTCCGCACAAAAATTGGTGATTCCTGTTCAAATAAGATGGAATCCCTAGATTGAGAACGGTTGCAAACTGAGAAGTCACCAAAAAAAGGGAAATCATGTATGATATCAGTTTTTTGCTGAAAAACTCATAAGAAGGAAAAATATTTTTGATGAAAGAAGTTTGACTGACTGTGTCATATCAATGATTTTAAATGTACGAAAGTTGTTCTCCGTAAGTATGAAAATTGAGTCCCTGGTGACAAGACTGGAAAAAAAAGAAATGCTCACCTCCATCATTTCAATTTGCCGGAGGTGGGTGTTTTTGCAGGTTTGAAGTTGGACACGACACTCATCTAGGGATGTTTTCAACTGCATTGATTCATTATAAAGAACGGAGAATTGGGATTGAAGACACTTGTATTCTGTTGTTTCTACTATGACACTTTCAGGCAACTGTCGAATCTGAAAAACGAAGAAAGCATTCATTTGTTTTAGAAGACAAACGTTAGTGATAATCCACCATAATCTGTTTCATAACTTTTGTTAAGCCAAAGCGATATAAATACATTTCATCTTGCGACTAAAGTAATTCCTAAAGTAAAGACAACAGAGTTAGTTTTTCATGAATGTTGAAGAGGTAAAAATAGAGCTGCTTGTTCTGTACGTCGAGAGGTAAAATTTTTTCGGTAAAACATCAGCATATCAATGTGAAACTGCAGAAATGGATATCTTATTTTGCGACATGGCAGACTTCCAGTTGTAATTCATTTTTTAAACTGAAAAATACTTGTGCTGGATGGTTCTCCTTTGATAGAATAAAATGAAAGCAGAGACTTTGAAACTTTGCAAATATGATAAACGTTCCTGCAGCTTCTCTGTCCATATTTGCAGTTTTTAATTATTTTAATACATACATTAAATGATAAAAAATAAGTTCACTATCTGCCATTTATTTCACAATAATGCAATTAACACAAATTTTACACAGGTGGTAGAAATTGTTTGCCCAGATAACAGAAGCCAATACCTTGTAAAAGAGCAGTACGTCATAATTCTTTAGCCCACATTTCTCATTGTTTTCCGGCTCTTCCTTTTTGGATCAATGAAATAAAAATAAATTATCAAATCAACTGATGGCAGGATACCTTGTCCTACCAGCATTCGTAATCACCTTGTTGTTCAGATCTTGCTATTGACTATTTTCAAGCTCAAATGAATCAGAAGTTACTCTCATTGTCTCAAAGAGTGCGCCATTGACCCTGTAGTTAGGACATTGTCTTTGACAGGTATTGCTTTGATAAGCAAAGTCACCGCATTTTACTCTTGATTCTGAGGGAATCAATAAATTGAAGAATATCCTCACAAATATCCTAAAAATTATCTTCACTTACTAACAATTAGAAAACGCTTGATTCAAAGGTATGAAGAGACAAGAACTTACATCCATTTTTAATTTTTCTACTTCTTTAAGTGTGTCTCGGTGTTGTTGATGTAATCGATCCAGTTCAGTAAGCCTGTTGTTAGCTAATTCCTTCACTTCCTCTAATTCTTTCTCCAGCTCCTCCAACTACAGGATAGAAATAAAAATAGTAAGTAAGATTAAGACTACCAAGGAAATCATCAAAAATATACTAATACATATTCTCAAATAGAATATCTAGTCTAGACATAATTAAATATATATAGGTAACAATTTAATCAGCCCAAAATATGTAAATGAAATGAGAGGAACACGGGGTACAGGCTGAGTCTTGCCTTGCTGTTAAGCGGCGGCTCATTTATGTGTAAATTTTAACATTTGTTTTTTGTTTTTTTGGCGGTTGAAAAAGGGAATGTGAATCCCGAAACGTCTCGTCTAAATTACTTTTATTTACAGCCTGTACCCCGTGTTCTTCTCATTTCATTGACATAATTAAAAGTGGAAGGTGTTCTGCAATTGATTGATAAGTATAGAACAATTACTTGATGTCCTCATTATGAGAGTAAGATAGTTGACTTGAGTGGTGAAACAGATTGTGTCATTCCCAGGATGCTGATCCTTTTTCAACCTACATGAGCCAAAAATCAAAGTCCAGGCTATCATTAAATTTTATGATGCAATTGAAAAACGACTTCAGTTGCTCAATTAATTGATTCAAAAAAATCTATCTGTAAAAATAGAGCGCTCACAATAATTTTTGCTCAAAAGCCAGCCCTATTGCAGAATAAGTGACTCACAAACGCACACTCAAATAAATCTGCACTCACAAGTATAAATTGCAAATTTTTGGATAAAAATTTCTGGAAGTCATTTTGTTTCTAACCAATTTGGATTCCACAATCACATGATCTATTTCTTGTAAGTTGGGAATCATGTCCTCCTCGTATCTGTCCGCAAAGCTTTATTCATGTTTTACGGTCATCAGAAGGAGTAATTTAATTTAGGAGCTTGGCATTTTTTACATTTTCCGCCATCTGGAAGAGTAAAAAACACAGCTCCACAGCTGAAGTATAAATCACTTCAATCATTGGGTCAAACTTTGCACAAAATCAAAAATCCCCTTCCCTCCCATGAAGTCATAAACGGCTGTTTTTACCTTTTTCTGATTGATTGTATTAGTGACGACGACAGCCTGCTTTTTGTCCTTCTCACCGCTCTTCTCGTCCGTCTGATGTTGAACCTGCTGTTGGACGTTTTTCAACTTTTCCATTGCTTCGGCAAGATGGTTTTCTAGCTTATCGTTGCGGGATTGCACTTTCTGGAGCTCGTACTGCAAATCATCGATCTGATTCCGAAGCTCTGCAGCTTCAGTGTCTTTACCAACTACCTGTTCTTCCAGTTCTGCCATCTGCCAATGATAAAATAAAGAGTGTAAACATTCTGCAAAAAATGCCTTGGGATCCATTTTCACTTATTTAATTAGAAAATGCATCCTTACGCAGTAAAATAGTTTATTTGCAGAAAAAAGATGTAGCAAGGCAATGAAGACGGTAAGATTATACAGTCTAGAATATGAAAGGCGACACACTTTTCAGCACTTTTAGAGATACTTATAAATGTAGTTCTAGTTCTACAGAGTTCACAAACATTTGATTTATTAATTTTTCACCTTACCATGAAATAAAATGACAAAATAACTCCGGCTGTGTAATCAGTGGTTCGTTAAAAATGACCAATTTTTTATTGTAATTTGAAAATAACCTCAAGGGTGTTAGGTATCCTGATTTAAAAAATAATTTTTTCACAAAATTTTTAGACCATAATGAAAACCTGGGCAAGGGGGAAAAAGAGTATTAATTTTTAATTGTTTTAATTATTGTTCATTTAATGAATAACATTTCAGGAGGGCGAAAAATAGGGAACAGTGAGAGAGTGACTTAAAGCATGCAAAGAAGTATTTTGCCAAGCTACAGAAAAATACTACACGAATCTTTGAACTTTGCTAAACTGTCTCTGATAAGATGAGAGTTTACAGGAAAGCTTGTGACTTTATTTCTTCAAGTTTTCCAATAAATCTACTTTCTGCTTGCAGTTTTCTAGAAAATTAATATCCCCACAGATTCATTAAGTGAATGAGGAAATTTCAAGAAATATAATAATTTTTCTCAACTTTTTTCCCTCTCTATTTTATTAGTGGGTTGGATTTAGTAAAATTTGATTACTCATATGGTATTTTCTCTTGGCACGGCATTGGAACGCTTGAACCAAGAGAGCTGGGGGGTGTGATGCATAAATTACCTTTAATGAGTTTGCGTGATATTTTTTGTGCAGCGAGGTGTTCAATGCTTGTAAGTTTCGATTTTCAGCTTGAATTTCAATATTTGCTTGCCGCACAACTTCATCAACACTTGGTGCTTCTAAATGAGTTGATTAAAAAAAAGAAAAGAACGCAGTCAATAACGAAGCTTGGACACAATAGCATAAGATTTAAATTTGGCTCAAAAAAAGATTGCAGGTCAGAATCTTCCAGTATTGTTTTGAGGTAAGTTAAATTTCAATGTTAAGAAAAACTTGAAACTAAAAATTCTAGGGAAGTGTGTGCAGTAATAGATAATGGAAAATACATATATATAAAGAATTTAGGAACATCCACTAAATTTCTGATGTAAAGTGCCGAATTTTCAGACAAGATTTTGAGTGGAGAATTAGGCTGTTGCACAGTTTATTGCATTTCACTTAGCAAAATCTAAGAAAAAAAGCTATACTTTGCATTTAAAAAGTAAAAATATCAAACATCTTTTAATTAGTACTTAATAAAATAAATAATTTTAATGTAAATTAAATTAAAAATTTCCCGAGTTATCAGTGACTTCTTCACTTAGGAGGCAAATGTTTATTAGCCCAAAAAAATTAATAATATCTTCTAAAGGGAGTAGTGAAACGGTCGTAAAGCTAGGCTACTAGATTGGTCAAAATTATTTAAAAGAGGGATTCGTACCATTATTCAACTCTCCTTTTAAAGCAGCAGTAATTTTTTCATTCCTTTGCATCAGGCGATCGAAAGCCTGAATTACTTTGGCAACAGCTCGCTTTGACACTTGGACTCGATTTGCTAATTTCTCATCCAGTTCTTCTTTGTCCCATGTTGATAGCTGCATAAGGAAAGAAGTTGTTGCTTCGTTCTCATCTGGAAAAAACAGGATTTAAAATCAAACATGGTATACTTATTTTGGGCATCATTCTTCTCATTACCTATTTCTTCGTAGCTGTCGATCAACACATTTCTGATATCAGAAATTTTTTTTTTGAAAATTTCCAGCAAATGAGCTGTTTTCACCCTGGAGTAGTTTTGGTATTTTGTGAAAAATGAAGGTTCATACCTGTACGTGTTGTGGAAGATAAACACGAATGGCTTACAAACAACTGGATGAAGTTATCTGAAATCAACCTAACTACATCAGATGTTGCGTAACTTTTTGTGATGTCTTATTGTTAGAACAGAAAACTAAGCAATATTGATACTTGAAATTTTGTGAGTGCATACTGCATAATCTACAATAAATTCTTGGCAAGTTTCAAGTGCATCAAGTATGTAGTTCAGTTCTTTCTTTAAAATAATGGAAAACAAGAGAAAAATTGGCAAATTTGAGAATTTTTGTAGATGTAACTGGTGCAGATTTGTGCACTTGCTTTGACTCTAATTGTTAGAAAACGAAGGGTTTTTGGGCGATCTCAGAGTTTAAACACTGTAAGTCAATGATAATAAGAACGTTTAATCCCCTTCTACATTACGGTATGCGAGAGAGGCTTATACGTGACTGAAGTAAAATTCTGATAATACTTCTATCTGGTGTGAGATGCACAGTTGGCGACTAATGACTCGCAGTGAATGCTGACAAGAGCAGATACAGCTATGCAAGGGCTTTGCCATGTGCTTTGAGCAAAATGATTTCTTTTCAACGGTTACCAGAACTGATAGATCCTTATTGGCTGCACCTGATAGTTTGCCACCCACAACCAAGCGGTAACAATGAAATAACGCCGACTTACTTTTACTCTCAGACTCATCTGCGGTTTCAGAGTCAAATCTTTGCAACAGAATTCTGATATCCTCATTGAGCTGATTCCAATATCGGTTGACAACGTTGAGGACAGCATCATCCTGAGTCTGTCGCTTTTCCAGCTGCTCTATTCGCTGCCGCAACTCAGCTTCTGTCCGGTTCTTTTGTTCTAACCTCTGAAATGAAAAAAGAGGCAGTTTGGATTCATCAAATCGAATAAGAGGGGAGCTAAGTTCCCAAGCATTGACAAAAGTGAAGTAAACGGGTATTCATGGACTTATGCAGCAGCGGCAGGGGCTTGCAACTATGCCAGCAACTGGGGCCAGGTTTCCAGATATATGACAGAATACAAGCTGCTAGAGGGCTGTTTTTTACCCGTGGAACACTTAGTACGCAATGGAGCAGGATCCTCTACGGTTCGGACAGGTTCCTCAGGAATACAAATTCAAAAAAGAGGATTATTTTTCCGTTAGTTTATGTTTATGGTAGCGTGTAATAAAGGCATGTTACTTGGACGAGTGTTCAGTGATTTCAGTGTCCTTCTTAATTATGGCTAGATATTGATAAAGGATGAACAAATGAATTTAATGCCAATTTTGATTCAAGACGCCTCAAAAGTTTTAGTAGAACTATAAGGATGATTATTAATGGAAGGCAGGTTAGGATTTGGTATGACCGCCCTTTGGACCCACCTAAGAAGAGCAATTCAAGCGTTTTACTGGAACGTGCCAGTGGACCGGAATAAAAGAGTGACATGTTTCATCACGTTCTATAGTGATCCTCTGCGGTTGCAGATAAAAAAAAAGCCCCTAGATTCAGTGGTTCTTTGGTTTTGCATTTCATCTCAACGAAAATGAACTTCGCGGCAAATTTAGCACTGATTGAAGTTAGGGACTCTGAATACACATAGCCTTTAACTTTTAGATCCCTGCCCCTAACAACGGTTGAAGAAACTTAATGAAAACTTTGATGCAGCATTACTTTCAGCTGCGACCATAAATTACGTAACATTTAAAGAGGCATCACAACCGTCGGTCTACATTGAGGGATGTCCCTCAACCAACTATCTGACTTCACCTAAGATTAAAGTTTTTTTTATCTGAGCCGCAGAGGATTGCAACGGAATGTGACGAAATGCTTCACTATTTTATCTTGGTCCACAAGCGTGGTCCAGCCCATTCCTTGCATTCCAGAGGAACGCTTAGATCGCTGTTCCAAAGGGCTTCTTTTTTTTATCCGTGGAACGCAATGGTGGCGGTCCGGGCTGGTTCAACAGGCCTAACCGCAGCTTAAACCAACCTCAACCCACCTTGGAAGAGCGGTCCAAGCGTTCCACTGGAACACAGGGAACGCACCAGTGGAACAGAATAAAAAAGTGATGCGTTCCGTAGCAATCATCTGCGGTTCGGATTGTAAAAGAGCCCCAAGGTGGGTTGAGATCGGGGTAACGCCAAATCTTGGCCTGTAAAGCTAGAGCCATCCAAAAAACATACAACCACTATGATAAACACCCTTTAAATTTTTTCCCCCTGAAGAAATGGTCCTTAGCATGAAAGATGCCAGTCTTTCACGTTTGAAGGATAAAAAAAAAGCCCTAGAGGTGACAAACATTCAGTTCAGAAGTATTCTTCTTACCGGATTGAAAGAGGTTATGTTATTGTTTACATCCACTTCGATAAGAGAGCTTCGGGCTTCTTCTCCAAGCTTTGAAGTTAGATCTACATAAGCACATGACCTCATAAAAAGCTGAACAGAGGAATACTTTTGAACTCATGGAGTAATCTTTATCAACTTTAGACAAAGGTGATATTAGGTGTATAAGTTAGTTCGGCTTCATTCTCGAAAAGATGGTAGGGTCCGAAAATCAATCAACTCCTGAATGCCCAGCTCATTCATTGACATATTAAAACAACCTTGGTAGTGACCAGTAAAGAAATCAAATAATGACGATTTGTATCGTAAGCGACTGAGTGAATCATAACCCAATATTTTAGCGGTAAACAGGTATTAAAGGGTGTTTCTCTCAGCATTGGATGCTATGGTTCCAAGAGGTGCCTCTTTAGAAAGGGTGAGAGATGAAGGAATTTTATACCTGCGCTAATTTCTTGTTCTGGAATTGTAAGACTTTGATGTCCATTTCTTCTAATGTTGAAATTGGGCCGATCCTGATCGGTTCAAACTGGACTTTCTTTAGTGGTGGTTGGCCGCTGCCCATGGGGTCGTTGTCCCCTGGCCTTTTGGCCATGGTCTTCAAATTCGCCTGGAAAATTAAAATTCTTTAGTTATTACACGAAACTGGTTGTAGGTGCAGAGCAAGTAGTCATCTTGTAATGTGATCGGTGGCTTCCAGTAGCGTTGACGGATAACTGGAGAATCAAGTGAATCTGTGTTAGACCTAAGAATAAAAAGGATGAACCATATTAAATATAGTTGAAAGTGAAAGTATGAGCTTACAAAAGAACAGGAAGTGGAGGAAACGCAGAGATTCCTGAGACCGGGGAGAAGTTGGTTGACTTTACATCACAGATTAGCAATTTCGGGGAAATTCGCCGTAGTAAATAAAAATTGATACGGTCTTGTTGTGAATATCGACCAATCAGAGCTCGGTCTGACGTCGCCATGTTCAACGTTTTTCCTGTTGAATGTTGAATTAGCTAAGTTGCCAAATGTAAAATAATAAAGCGATTAAAGTGGCCGAACAGAACTTTGGCTGTTTTCTTTTGAAATCTGATTCAGATATACAGGACTGCTATGAGTTTAGTGAAAATTTGATGCATTTGAATGTCTTTTAATGATCGAACTAAAATTTTGAATTCAATAAGAGTGATATAATAACTTTTTCAAAGTATTTTTCAGAGGATTTAAACTTTAGCGCTTTTTTCATAGTAGACTCTGATTGGTCATTTGCGAATCGTTGATAAAACACTGTTGTTGTATGAAAACGGCGCCATATTGATTGCGCGAAAGTGTTTCGGTTCGGCGGCAAAAGTAATTATTCATTTTTATTTTACGATGCTTGACTGAATACTTTCAATGTATTGTTATTAACTATCAGACTAATTCCATTTATGCGCTAGTGAAGTTTTCCTCAGCCTCGAACATTGGAATATGCGTGAATCTTGAGTTTCAGGTCCACTGGTCTTCTAGGTTCCATGACCCTTTATCATCTTTCCGAAGATGTATATCAAGCAGGTATAATAGTTTTATTCAACCCTCCATCTGCTACTTGAAATTTTACTGCTCATCCCTCACGCAATTATCTAATTAATGGCTCTCCATGACGTGTGGAACACTGCATTGTTCTGAACTGAAACATGTAGATGAAGCAGCTACGATTGTCGTACTTGCTTGTCCATTTCAATCCTGTAGCTAATTACATTGCTCACCAATGCAATCTCGCTTTCGATGAACGTCATTGGGAATGTTCAATAACCAAGTAAAGCTACAAACTTCTCTGACTTAACTTAATTTGCCCACATGAATCCCTCTTGGCAACAGGCATGGGGGAATCTCGAACTCCGTTAAGTTGCACGCCACACCTCATTACTATCCCTGCATCATCAAGTATTTGGAAATTACCGTGATTACATAGACTTATAACATAATCTAGACCGTGTGTTAGATCTGACTTATGGTGGGAGAGGCAAAACAGATAGGGGTTAAAGATCGTCTTATTGAAAGATCCTAATGCATGGTCTAAATTGTGTTATAAGTGTCTGCACAATCATTATGCCCAGGTGGTCCACAACATCAGATGTGACCTAAGTAAAAATGCAATGTTTGGGAGAAGTGCAGGAATCTGTTCATCTTACGTCTACCTGGTCACACCGCCACCTGTCTGAGCCAACATTTGTCTGTACATAAATGCTGAAAAACTCAAATCTTACCCCTGAAATGCATGAAAATGCACTCTGAAAGTTCATAGAAAGCTCTTGTATTTTGAAGACTTAACCAAACATTCAACAGAAAATGGAGGAATTGATCAAGTGCGGAAACATATTTGATTTCCGTCTCGGGAAATCATGTTTCTGAAATACTGCTTTTGCACTAGAAATGGCAGCATAGGTCCAGACTCATCCGAGACTCAAATTTGTATCAAAATCTTGGTTCAGAAAACTCAATACCTAATCTAGGGTCACTAGTAAGGAAATGCCAGGGTAAGTGACGAAAGTGTGGAGGAAATATTTTTGTATTGCCTACATTTGCTACTCAGAGTGTGTTTAACATTGCCAGAGATGAACGCTGCATGCTTGGGTCTGGAAGTAGCAATTTTTATCTCTCTATAGTAATCCTGTGCATCCTCAATGTCTGCTAATTATACCCAAATTTGTCTGGAAATTGAATTTTCTTGGTAATTTCTGTGGCAACTGTGTAAATTAGCCCATGAAAATTCTACATCTTGCCAGACACAATTTCTGTATACTCTAAAGTAATGGCTATTTAACTTCAGGTACCTGAAACAATTTTTCCAGGCGCCACAACTCCTACTAAATTTCTAATCTGTGATCACTGTGTTTCAGGTCATTATCCATGGTTTTAAAAGTTACAGAGAACAAACTGTTGTAGAACCGTTTGACAAGCAGCACAATGTTGTTGGTAAGTTGTCATTAGTATGCACTTTAGATTGAATCATGAGAACAAGAAAATCAAACCATATGAAGAAAATCATATGAAATGACCTAGGTATATCTCTACTGCAAACCCGAAGTTAAAATGTAAATTCTCATATACCCATTCAATTAATTATTAAAGTTCTCTGCACTTAAGTATCCAGAACCAATCTAATATTTTATTCCATTTCACCCTCCAAAAAGTGTACCCTTCTTCCCAATGAAAGAAGACCTATGACGACAGGGTTTAATATTTAAAATGCTAATCAGCATCAATAAATCAAGCGTGCTGTAATTTAACATGAGCAAGGAGGAAATGTGGAGGCCACATAATCAGGTCAAAGAATGAAAAAGTAACAGTGAGAACTCAATGGTAAGGGTAGCTCTTGTAACTGAGGAAATGGCATTTTTTTTCGTCAAATTGTGACTGATTGTATTTTAAGACTTGGCAGAAAAGAAGGAATCGCTGAAAATATGGGGGAAAAGGGGGTTTTGAAAATCGCAAGACAAAGTGAGTAAAGGGAAGTCGAAGAACTTTCTGCATCCCTGGAACATTATGTACTACGGTGCAGAAACAAAGCAAACTTCATAACTTTGAAGAAAATAGATTTACCAAAGGTGAGTCTTTCAAATTTAAATAGTAGCTTTGACTATCATGTGAGCATATCATGTCTTGTATTTGTATTGATTTGCTTCAAAGGCCTAGTAATGGAACCAATATTTTTCTCCAAGGCCCAGGTGCCAAAATCCAAGTTTCAACAAAAGAGAGCAAGAAACTGCACCATTTGGCGTTCCCTCAATCTTTCGAGCTCAACATTTTTTTTTAAAGAATATTGAAACTGATCTCAATTATTAAGCTAAATGGTGCAGTTATATCATGTATCTTACATTTTTCTTGAAACTTGGATTTTGGGGCTTGGACTCCTAAGAAAAATATTAGTCCAATTCAATTGCAGTGCGGCAGTAAGGCAGTGCAGCCATACTGCTAATGTTTAGGATACAAGCTAATTTTGTTTCTTTTGTATTTTTACAGTTGGTCGTAATGGTTCTGGGAAGAGTAATTTCTTCTATGGTAAGCATCAGAATTTTTCTATCTCACAATTGACTAGTCCAATTATGTAGTATATAACAGATGACATTTTAACAGGTAGCACTCTTTAGTATTCCAGAGAATAAGTCACTAGCAGTTTTGATCTATTTTGCACCAAAAAGGATATGAAGTTGCTTATAATCTGGCAGTTTTGTTCCTAGAACCTGACGGATAAGAAATTTAAATGCTATTTTCTGGAAATTATGTTCTTTAAATACAAGCTTCAAACCACTATAATGGTGGTTTGGAAATTTGCAGGTGTTTTTTGGTCCCAAAGGATATTAAAACAACTCAATTTTGAGGTTTTGTGGATAAAGGTCCTCTTCCCTGTGAACAGTCATATATCTGAAATTGATGATAAGTCAAGAAAAATTGTGTGACTACCAAGCAGTATTTACTGGCATGCTTTTTTTGCGGTTTACAATTGCAACACTCAGTCTCCCCAGTGTAATCAATTTTGAAGTTGTTCATGTTTTCTTTTATTATTCCAGCCATCCAGTTTGTATTGAGTGATGAATTCTCACATCTTCATCATGAGCAAAGGCAGGCCCTACTTCATGAGGGTACTGGGCCACGAGTTGTCACAGCCTACGTTGAGATCATCTTCGACAACTCAGATAACCGACTTCCGGTAAACTAAACAGAATTTCACTTCATACTACTGTAGTCTATATACCATTCAAATTCCTGAATACTTGTCCTTAAAGAAAGAATCATTTTTAAATGTTTTTTTTGTTCCACCAACTGAAGTCTTTGAAATATGAGAAAAATTATACATTTTTTTCTATTAGTAACAGGGTGGTAGAACTTTGCTGGATTTGCACTATTCTGGAAGTCAAAAGTCAGAAAAAAGCAATAATTAGAAGTAGAGTTACAATGAACTGTAATAAATTTAGTGCAAGACTAAGAAGGAAACTGCTCAGCTCCAGCAGTTGTTTGGAGGTGCATCGCAGAGATCCTATCAAGTGACTATAGTCCACGCCACGAAAAGTGGCGGGCGAGGGGCGGAGACAGTCGGCCGGTCTAGTCTAGCGTTGAAGGGTTGAAGCGCAGGTATTGGCCCAGTCGTTACCCCGTTTCAACTACGGGCCAATACCTGCGCTTCAACCCTTCAACGATAGACTAGACCGNGCCAAGTCGCAAAATAAGATATCCATTTCTGCAGTTTCACATTGATATGCTGCAGCAGCATATCAATGCTTGATTGCAGTTTCAGCATATCAATGTGAAACTGCAGAAATGGATATCTTATTTTGCGACTTGGCAGACTTCCAGTCGTAATTCATTTTTTAAACTGAAAAATACTTGTGCTGGATAGTTCTCCTTTGATAGAATAAAATGAAAGCAGATACTTTGAAACTATGCAAACATGATAAACATTCCTGCAGCTTCTTTGTAAATATCTGCCATTTTTAATTCTTTTAATACATACATTAAACGATAAAAAATAAGTTTACTGTCTGCCATTCATTTCACAATAATGCAATTATCACAGGTTTTACATAGGTGGTGGAAATTGTTTTCCCAGACAACAGAAGCCGATACCTCGTAAAAGAGCAGTGGGTCATATTTCTTTAGTCCACATTTCTCACTGTTTTTCAGCTCTTCCTTTTTGAATCTATAAAATAAAAGTAAGTTAACAAATCAACTGCCAGGAAGGAGGATGCCTTGTAGTTTGTACTACCGGCATTCATAATCATCTTAATATGCAGATCTTGATTTTGACTACTTTCAAGCTGAAAATGAGTCAGAAGTTACTCTCATTGTCTCAGAGACTGCGCCACTGACTAGGGGTGTTCAAACGAATTCTTGCCGGTACGCTATCAGTATCGTCTTAAACCGAAACTGGTGGCACTACCGACAGTGGCGATGATACCGGTGACAGCCCGCCTTATTGAAGTTTTGAGAGCTCGCACTCAATGCATTGTTGCCCTGTTTGTTGGTTTGTCAGATTGCCTGGCGCGGTGGCACATAAAATAGATGTACACATGGCAGCAGCTTATTATCGTCAGCTTCAAAAACTTAGATCGCTATCGGTAAGAGCGCTCTTATCGTAACTTTTTCTTGACGGAACTGTTTCCGTAGCTTACCGATAACCGAGAGAACAGCCCTACCACTGACCCTGAAGTTAGGTATACATAGGGTATACATTAGGGTGAAGTTAGGATGACAGGTATTGCTTTTAAAAGCAAAGTTACTGCATTTCATGCTTGAATCTGGGGGAATCAATGTGTCGAAGAAAATCCTCACAAAGATCCCAAAAGGTATCTTCACTTGCTAACAATTAGAAAAAGCTAGATTCAAAGGTATGAAAAGATAAGAACTTACATCCATTTTTAATTTTTCTACTTCTTTAAGTGTGTCTCGGTGTTGTTGATGTAATCGATCCAGTTCAGTAAGCCTGTTGTTAGCTAATTCCTTCACTTCTTCTAATTCTTTCTCCAGCTCCTCCAACTACAGGATAGAAATAAAAATAGTAAGTAAGATTAAGACTACCAAGGAAATCATCAAAAATATACTAATATTCTCAAATAGAATATCTAGTCTAGACATAATTAAATATATATAGGTAACAATTTAATCAGCCCAAAATATGTAAATGAAATGAGAAGAACACGGGGTACAGGCTAAGTCTTGCCTCGCTGTTAAGCAGCGGCTCATTTATGTGTAAATTTTAACTTTTGTTTTTTTGGCGGTTGAAAAAGGGAATGTGAACCCTGAAACGTCCCGTCCAAATTACTTTTATTTACAGCCTGTACCCCGTGTTCTTCTCATTTCATTGACATAATTAAAAGTGGAAGGTGTTCTGCAACTGATTGATAAGTATAGAACAATTACTTGACGTCCTCATTATGAGGGTAAGATAGTTGACTTGAGTGATGAAACGGATAGTGTAATTCTTAGGGTGCTGATCCTTTTTCAACCTACATGAGTCAAAAATCAAAGTCCAGGCCATCATTAAATTTTTCGATGCAATTGCAAAACGACATCCATTGCTCAATTAATTGGTTCAAAAAAATCTATCTGTAAAAATGGGAAGCTCACAATAATTTTTGCTCAAAAGACAGTCCTATTTCAGAATATGTGACTCACAAACGCACACTCAAATCTGCACTCACAAGTATAAATTGCAACTTTTTAGATAAAAATTTCTGGAAGCCATCTTGTTTCTAACCAATTTGGATTCCACGATCACATGATCTATTTCTTGTCGGTTGGGAATCATGTCCTCCTCGTATCTGTCCGCAAAGCTTTATTCATGTTTTACGGTCATCAGAAGGAGTAATTTAATTTAGGAGCTTGGCATTTTTTCACATTTTCCGCCATCTGGAAAGGTGAAAAATACAGCTCCACAGCTGAAATTTAAGTCACTTCAGTCATTGGGTCAAACGTTGCACAAAATAAAAATTCCTTTCCCTCCCAGGAAGTCATAAATGGCTGTTTTTACCTTTTTCTGATTGATTGTATTAGTGACGACGACAGCCTGCTTTTTGTCCTTCTCACCGCTCTTCTCGTCTGTCTGGTGCTGAACCTGTTGCTGGACGTTTTTCAACTTTTCCATTGCTTCGGCAAGATGGTTTTCTAGCTTATCGTTGCGGGATTGCACTTTCTGAAGCTCGTACTGCAAATCATCGATCTGATTCCGAAGCTCTGCAGCTTCGGTGTCTTTACCAACTACCTGTTCTTCCAGTTCTGCCATCTGCCAATGATAAAATTAAGAGTGTTAACATTCCGCAAAAACAGCAAAAAATGCCTTGGGATCCATTTTCACTTATTTAATTAGAAAATGCATCCTTATGCAGTAAAATAGTTTATTTGTAGAAAAAAAAAAGAGGCAAGGCAATGAAGCAAGGCAATGAAGACGGTAAGATTATACAGTCTGGAATATGAAAGGCAGCACACTTTTAAGCACTTTTAGAGATACTTACAAATGTAGTTTTAGGCTATCTACAGAATTTACAAACATTTGATTTATTAATTTTTCACCTTACCATGAAATAAAATGACAAAATAACTCCGGCTTTGTAATCAGTGGTTTGTTGAAAATGACCAATTTTTTATTGTAATTTGAAAATAACCTCAAGGTCGTTAGGTATCCTGATTTAAATAATAATTTTTTCACAAAATTTTTAGACCAAAATGTAAACCGAGGCAAGGGGGAAAAAGAGGATTAATTTTTAATTATTTTAATTATTGTTCATTTAATGAATAACATTTCAGGAGGGCAAAACATAGGGAACAGTGAGAGTGTGACTTAAAGCATGCAAAGAAGTATTTTGCCAAGCTACAGAAAAGTACTACATGAATCTTCGAACTTTGCTAAACTGTCTCTGATAGGATGAGAGTTTCCAGGAAAGCTTGTGAATTTATTTCTTCAAGTTTTACAATAAATGTATTTTCTGCCTACAGTTTTCTAGAAAATTAATATCCCCACAGATTCAATAAGTAAAGGAGGAAATTTCAAGAAATATAATAATTTTTCTCGACTTTTTTCCCTCTCTATTTTATTAGTGGGTTGGATTTAGTAAAATTTGATAGCTCATATGGTATTTTCTCTTGGCACAGCATTAGAACGCTTGAACCAAGAGAGCTTGGGGGTGTGATGCATAAATTACCTTTAAAGAGTTTGCGTGATATTTTTTGTGCAGCGAGGTGTTCAATGCTTGTAAGTTTCGATTTTCAGCTTGAATTTCAATATTTGCTTGCCGCACAACTTCATCAACACTTGGTGCTTCTAAATGAGTTAATTAAAAAAAGAAAAGAACGCAGTCAATAACGAAGCTTGGACACAGTAGCATAAGATTTAAATTTGGCTCAAAAAAAGATTGCAGGTCAGAATCTTCCAGTATTGTTTTGAGGTACTTAAGTTAAGTTTCAATGTTCAGAAAAACTTGAAACTAAAAATTCTAGGGAAGTTTGTGCCACAATAGATAATGGAACATATATAAAGAATTTAGGAACATCCAGCAAATTTCTGATGTAAAGTGTCGAATTTTCGGACAAGATTATGAGTGGAAAATTAGGCTTTTGCACGGTTTATTGCATTTTGCTTACCAGAATCTAACAAAAAAAGCTATACTTTGGATTTAATAAAAAATGACAATATCAAACATCTTTTGATCAGTAATAAAATAAATAATATCAGCCCAAAAAATTAATAATTGCTTCTGGGGGGGGGACTAGTAAAACAGTCGTGAAGCTAGGCTACTAGATTAGTCAAAATTATTTAAAAGAGGGATTCGTACCATTATTCAACTCTCCTTTTAAAGCAGCGGTAATTTTTTCATTCCTTTGCATCAGGCGATCGAAAGCTTGAATTACTTTGGCAACAGCTCGCTTTGACACTTGGACTCGATTTGCTAATTTCTCATCCAGTTCTTCTTTGTCCCATGTTGATAGCTGCATAAGGAAAGAAGTTGTTGCTTCGTTCTCATCTGGAAAAAACAGGATTTAAAATCAAACATGGTATATTTTGGGCATCATTCTTCTCATTACCTATTTCTTCATAGCTGTCAATCAACACATTTCTGAAATCAGAAATATTTTGTTTGAAATTTCCAGCAAATGAGCTGTTTTAACCCTGGAGTAGTTTTGGTATTTTATAAAAAATGAAGATTCATACCTGTAAGTGTTGTGGAGGATAAACACGAATGGCTTACAAACAACTCGATGAAGTTAACTGAAATCAATCTAACTACATCAGATGTTGTGTAACTTTTTGTGATGTCTTATTGTTAGAACAGAAAACTAAGCAATATTGATACTTGAAATTTTGTGAGTGCATACTACATAATCTACAATAAATTCATGGCAAGTTTCAAGTGCGTCAAGTATGTAGTTTAGTTCTTTCTTTAAAATAATGGAACACAAGAGAAAAATTGGCAAATTTGAGAATTTTGGTAGATATAACTGGTGCAGATTTGTGCACTTGCTTTGACTCTAGTTGTTAGAAAACGAAGAGTTTTTGGGCGATCTCAGAGTTTAAACACTGTAAGTCAATGATAATGAGAACCAGGGTTGCCAGCCAAACTATTTTTTTCCATTCCCTGACTTTTCCCTGACTTTCCAATATTTTTCCCTGACTTTTAAGTATGGATCTGACGCAGTCTGTTAATCGAACGCAGTAGTCAGTTGATCCCGCAACGCGAGCCCGGACTGCCCGCGCCTAATTCCACGAAAAATCAGAAAAATCCCTGACCAACACCGAAATTCCCTGACTTTTCCCGGTTGATTTTTTTCCCCTGACTTTTCCCGGTTTTCCCGGTCGCTGGCAACCCTGAAGAACGTTTAATCCCTTTCTACATTATGGTATGCGAGAGAGGCTTATACATGACTGAAGTAAAATTCTGATAATACTTCTATCTGGTGTGAGATGCACAGTTGGCGACTGATGACTCGCAGTAAATGCTGACAAGAGCAGATACAGCTACGCAAGGGCTTTGCCATATGTTTTGAGCAAAATGATTTCTTTTTAACGGTTACCAGAACTGATAGATCCTCATTGGCTGCACCTGATAGTTTGCCAGCCACAACCAAGCGGTAACAATGGAATAATGCCAACTTACTTTTACTCTCGGACTCATCTGCAGTTTCAGAGTCAAATCTTTGCAACAGAATTCTGATATCCTCATTGAGCTGATTCCAATATCGGTTGACAACGTTGAGGACAGCATCATCCTGAGTCTGTCGCTTTTCTAGCTGCTCTATTCGCTGCCGCAACTCAGCTTCTGTCCGGTTCTTTTGTTCTAACCTCTGAAATGAAAACAGAGGCGGTTTGGATTCATCAAATCGAATAAGAGGAGAGCTGAGTTCCCAAGCATTGACAAAAGTGAAGTAAACGGGTATTCATGGACTTATGCAGCAGCGGCAAGGGCTTGCAACTATGCCAGCAACTGGGGCCAAGTTTCCAGATATATGACGGAATACAAGCTGCTAGAGGGCTGTTTTTTACCCGTGGAACACTTAGTACGCAATGGAGCAGGATCCTCTACAGTTCGGACAGGTTCCTCAGGAATACAAATTCAAAAAAGAGGATTGTTTTTGCGTTAGTTTATGTTTATGGTAGCGTGTAATAAAGGCATGTTAGTTGGACGAGTGTTCAGTGATTCCAGTGTCCTTCTTAATTATGGCTAGATATTGATAAAGGATGAACAAATAAATTTAATGCCAATTTTGATTCAAGACACCTTAAAAGTTTTAATAGAACTATAAGGATGATTATTAATAAAAGGCAGGTTAGGATTTGGTATGACTGGCCTTTGGACCCACCTAAGAAGAGCAATTCAAGCGTTTCACTGGAAGGTGCCAGTGGACCAGAATAAAAGAGTGACATGTGTCATCGCATTCTATTGTGATCGTCTGCGGTTCCAGATAAGAAAGAGCCCCTAGATTCGGTGGTTCTTTGGTTTTGCTTATCATCTCAACAAAAATGAACTTTGCGGCAAATTTAGCACTGATTGAAGTTAGGGACTCTGAACACACATAGCCTTTAACTTTTAGATTCCTGTCCCCTCTCCCCCTAACAACGGTTGAAGAAACTTAATGAAAACTTTGATGCAGCATTACTTTCGGCTGCAACCATAAATAATGTAACATTTAAAGAGGCATCACAACCGTCAGTCTACATTGAGGGATGTCCCTCAACCAACTATCTTACTTCACCTAAGATTAAAGTTTCCTTTATCTCAGCCATAGAGGATTGCAACGGAATGTGATGAAATGCTTCACTTTTTAGTCCTGGTCCGCAAGCATGGTCCAGCCCATTCCTTGCATTCCGGAGGAACGCTTAGATTGCTGTTCCAAAGGGCTTTTTTTTTTTAATCCGTGGAACGCAATGGTGGCGATTCGGGCTGGTTCAACGGGCCTAACCGCAGCTTAAACCAACCTCAACCCACCTCAGAAGAGCGGTCCAAACGTTCCACCGGAACACATGGAACGCGCCAGTGGAACAGAATAAAAAAGTGATGCGTTCCGTAGCAATCCTCTGCGGTTCGGATTGGAAAAGAGCCTCAAGGTGGGTTGAGATCGGGGTAACGCCAAATCTTAACCTGTAAAGCTAGAGCCATCCAAAAAACATACGACCACTGTGATAAACACCCTTTAAATTTTTTCCCTGTAGAAGTGGTCCATAGCATGAAAGATGCCTGTCTATTGCATTCGAAGGATAAAAAAGAAGCCCTAGAGGTGATAAACATTCAGTTCAGAAGTATTTTTCTTTCCAGCTTAAGAGAGGTTATGTTATTGTTTACATCCACTTCGATAAGAGAGCTACGGGCCTCTTTTCCAAGCTTAGAAGTTACTTCTACATGAGCACATGACCTCATAAAAAGCTGAACAGAGGGATACTTTGGAACTCATGGAGTAATCTTGATCAACTTTAGACAAAGGTGATATTAGGTGTATAAGTTAGTTGGGCTTAATTCTCGACACGATGGTAGGGTCCAAACATCGATAACTCCTAAATGCCCAGCTCATTCAATAACTTATTAAAACAACCTTGGTAGTGACCAGTAAAAAAATCACGTAATGACGATTTGTATCGTTAGAGACTGAGTGAATCATAACCCATGATTTTGGCGGTAAACAGGTATTAAAGGGTGTTTCTCTCAGCATTGGATGCTATGGTTCCAAGAGATGACTCTTCAGAAAGGGTAAGAGAAGAAGGAATTTTATACCTGCGCTAATTTCTTGTTCTGGAATTGTAAGACTTTGATGTCCATTTCTTCTAATGTTGAAATTGGGCCGATCCTGATCGGTTCAAACTGAACTTTCTTTAGTGGTGGTTGGCCGCTGCCCATGGGGTCGTTGTCCCCTGGCCTTTTGGCCATGGTCTTCAAATTCGCCTGGAAAAATAAAATTCTTAAGTTATTACACGAAACTGGTTGTAGGTGCAGAGCAAGTAGTCATCTTGTAATGTGGTCGGTGGCTTCCAGTAGCGTTGACGGATAACTGGAGAATCAAGTGAATCTGTGTTAGACCTGAGAATAAAAAGGATGGACCATCTTATATATATTTGAAAGTGAAAGTATAAGCTTACAAAAGAACAGGAAGTGGAGGAAACGCAGAGATTCCTGTGACCGGGAAGAAGTTGGTTGACTTTACATCACAGATTAGCAATTTCGGGGAAATTCGCCGTAGTAAATACATTGACGTATAATACAATCTAGACCGCGCATTACGAAATTCAAGCGAGACGATAGGCAACCCAGCAACACACAGCAAGTGTACCGGCGAGACAATGGTGGAATTCGTGGAAATGCCAGTCTTGCCAGTGCCGTTGCCTGATACGGGTACACTTAGCTCGTATATCCGGCGGTATCAACTAAGCTGAAGGCGCGTCTTTACCCCCCTAGCTGTCTTACCTTCCCCGCCCAAAGTCGGGCCCAATGCGCGGTCTAGATTGTATTATACGTCAATGAGTAAATAAAAATTGATACGGTCTTGTTGTGAATATCGACCAATCAGAGCCCGGTCTGACGTCGCCATGTTCAACGTTTTTCCTGTTGAATGTTGAATTAGCTAAGTTGCCAAATGTAAAATAATAAAGTGATTAAAGCGGCCGAACAGAACTTTGGCTGTTTTCTTTTGAAATCTGATTCAGATATACAGGACTGCTATGAGTTTAGTGAAAATTTGATGCATTTTAATGTCTTTTAATGATCGAACTAAAATTTTGAATTCAATAAGAGTGATATGATAACTTTTTCAAAGTATTTTCCAGAGGATTTAAACTTTAGCGCTTTTTTCATAGTAGACTCTGATTGGTCATTTGCGAATCGTTGATAAAACACTGTTGTTGTATGAAAACGGCGCCATATTGATTGCGCGAAAGTGTTTCGGTTCGGCGGCAAAAGTAATTATTCATTTTTATTTTACGATGCTTGACTGAATACTTTCAATGTATTGTTTTTAACTATCAGACTAATTCCATTTATGCGCTAGTGAAGTTTTCCTCAGCCTCGAACATTGGAATATGCGTGAATCTTGAGTTTCAGGTCCACAGGTCTTCTAGGTTCCATGACCCTTTATCATCTTTCCGAAGATGTATATCAAGCAGGTATAATAGTTTTATTCAACCTTCCATCTGCTACTTGAAATTGTTTTGCTCATCCCTCACGCAATTATCTAATTAATGGCTCTCCATGACGTGCGGAATACTGCATTGTTCTGAACTGAAACACGTAGATGAAGCAGCTACGATTGTCGTACTTGCTTGTCCATTTCAATCCCGCAGCTAATTACATTGCTCACCAATGCAATCTCGCTTTCGATGAACGTCATTGGGAATGTTCAATAACCAAGTAAAGCTACAAACTTATGTGACTTAACTTAATTTGCCCACATGAATCCCTCTTGGCCACAGGCATGGGGGAATCTCGAACTCCGTTAAGTTGCACGCCACACCTCATTACTATCCTTGCATCATTAAGTATTTGGAAATTACCGTGATTACATAGACTTATAACATAATCTAGACCGCATGCTAGATCTGACTTATGGTGGGAGAGGCAAAACAGATAGGGGGGCAAAGATCGACTTATTGAAAGATCCTAATGCATGGTCTAAATTGTGTTATAAGTGTCTGCACAATCATAATGTCCAGGTGGTCCACAACATCAGGTGTGACCTTTGTAAAAATGCAATGTTTGGGAAAAGTACAGGAATCTGTTCATCTTACGTCTACCTGGTCACACCGCCACCTGTCTGAGCCAACATTTGCCTGTACATAAATGCTGAAAAACTCAAATCTCACCCCTGAAATGCATGAAAATGCACTCTAAAAGTTCATAGAAAGCTCATGTACTTTGAAGACTTAACCAAACATCCAATAGAAAATGGAGGAATGGATCCAGTGCGGAAACATATTTGATTTCCGTCTCGGGAAATCATGTTTCTGAAATACTACTTTTGCACTAGAAATGGCAGTGTAGGTCCAGACTCATCCGAGACTCAAATTCGTATCAAAATCTTGGTTCAGAAAACTCAATACCTAAATCTAGGGTTACTAGTTAGGAAATGCCCAGGTGAGTGACGAAAGTGTGGAGGAAATATTCTTATATTGCCTACATTTGCTATTCAGAGTGTGTTTAACATTGCCAGAGATGAACGCTGCATGCTTGGGTCTGGAAGTAGCAATTTTTATCTCTCTTTAATAATCCTGCGCATCCTCAATGTCTGATAAGTATACCCAACTTTTTCTGGAAATTGAATTTTCTTGGTAATTTCTGTGGCAACTGTGTAAATTAGCCCATGAAAATTCTACATCTTGCCAGACACAATTTCTGTATACTCTAGAGTAATGGCTATTTAACTTCAGGTACCTGGAACAATTTTTCCAGGCGCCACAACTCCCACTAAATTTCTAATCTGTGATTACTGTGTTTCAGGTCATTATCCATGGTTTTAAAAGTTACAGAGAACAAACTGTTGTAGAACCATTTGACAAGCAGCACAATGTTGTTGGTAAGTTGTCATTAGTATGCACTTTAGATTGAATCATGAGAACAAGAAAATCAAACCATATGAAGAAAATTGTATGAAATGACCTAGGTACATCTCTACTGCAAACCCGAAGTAAAAAAGTAAATTCTCATCTACCCATCAATCAATTATTAAAGTGCTCTGCACTTAAGTATTCAGAACCTATCTAATATTTTATTCCATTCCACCCTCCAAAAAGTGTACCCTTCTTCCTAATGAAAGAAGACCTATGACGACAGGGTTTAATATTTAAAATGCTAATAAGCTTCAATAAATCAAGCGTGCTGTAATTTAACATAAACGAGGACGAAATGTGGAGGCCACATAAACTTGTCAAAGAATTAAAAAGTAACAGCGAGAACTCAATGGTAAGAGTAGCTCTTGTAACTGAAGAAATGGCATGTTTTTCGTCAAATTAGGACTAATTGTATTTTAAGACTTGGCAGGAAAAAGGAATCGCTGAAAATATGGGAGAAGAGGGGTTTTTGAAAATGGCAAGACAAAGTGAGAAAAGGGAAGTCTAAGAACTTTCTGCATCCCTGGAACATTATGTACTACGGTGCAGAAACAAAGCAAACTTCATAAGTTTGATGAAAATAGATTTACCAAAGGTGAGTCTTTCAAATTTAAATAGAAGCTTTGACTATTATGTGAGCATATCATATCTTGTATTTGTATTGATTTGCTTCAAAGCCCTAGTAACGGAACCAATATTTTTCTCCAAGGCCCAGGTGCCAAAATCCAAGTTTCAACAAAAGAGAGCAAGAAACTGTACCGTTTGGTGTTCCCTCAATCTTTCGAGCTCAACACCTTTTTTCAAAGAATTTTGAAACTGATCTCAATTATTACGCTAAATGGTGTACTTATATCATGTATCCTACATTTTTCTTGAAACTTGGATTTTGGGGCTTGGACTCCTAAGAAAAATATTAGTCTAATTCAGGCAGTGCAGCCATACCGCTAATGTTTTGAATACAAGCTAATTTTGTTTCTTTTGTATTTTTACAGTTGGTCGTAATGGTTCTGGGAAGAGTAATTTCTTCTACGGTAAGCATCAGAATTTTTCTATCTCACAATTGACTAGTCCAATTATGTAGTATTAACAGATGACATTTTAACAGGTAGCACTCTTTAGTATTCTAGAAAATAAGTCACTAGCAGTTTTGATCTATTTTGCACCAAAAAAGACATCAAGTTGCCTTATTATCCAGCAGTTTTGTTCCTAGAACATAGCAGATAAGAATTTCAAGTGGCTTTTTCTGGAAATTATGCTCTTTAAGTACGAGCTTCAAACTACTGTAATCCCGGTTTGGTTTGAAATTTGCAAGTGTTTTTTGGTTGCAAAGGTTAGTAGAACAACTCAATTTTGAGTTACCAAGGACAAAGGTCCTGTTCCCTGTAAATGGCCGTATATCTATAATTGATGATAAGTCAAGAAAAATTCTGTGACTACTAAGCAGTGTTTTTCATACTGGCATGCTTTTTTTGCGATTTACAATTGCAACACTCAGTCTCCCCAGCGTAATCAATTTTGAAGTTGTTCATGTTTTCTTTTATTGTTTCAGCCATCCAGTTTGTATTGAGTGATGAATTCTCACATCTTCATCATGAGCAAAGGCAGGCCCTACTTCATGAGGGTACTGGGCCACGAGTTGTCACAGCCTACGTCGAGATCATATTCGACAACTCAGATAACCGGCTTCCGGTAAACTTAACAGAATTTTACTTCACACTACTGTAGTCTATTTACTAGTCAAATTCCCGAATACTTGTTTTCAATGAAATAATCATTTTTTACTAATGTTTTTTGTTTCATTTACTGAAGTCTTTGAAACATTAGAAGAATGATACATTGTTTTCTATTAGTAACAGGATGGTTGAATTTTGCTGGGTTTGCACCATTCTGGAAGTCAATAGCCAGAAAAAAAAGCAATAATTAGAAGTAGAGTTACAATGAACTGTAATAAATTTAGTGCAAGGCTAAGTAGGATACTGCGCAGCTCCAGCAGTTACATCGGAGGTGCATCACAGGTATCCTGGAACTGGGGAAAGATAAGAAGAAACAAATGTCACATCCAAAAATTGCACCATTCAACAGATATTTACATGCTAACCAATGGGCCAACTGATGATTGATGCATCCAGACTGATGTTACTTTTGTCTCCTCTTTTCTTTCCCCAGTTCTATCAAGAGACTAACACTGGTTTGTCTCACATTTGAGGACATTAGTTAGTCATTCCCAATTAGATTGTAGCTTAGCTCCTTGCAAAATCCTTGATGCCGTTAAAACGGTGTTATGGATGGATGGTATTTCTCTCCAATGTCTTCTCATTCCTTCTTTGTATATTAAGTTGGAGTATTTTTGTTGTCTTATTTGTTTTTATTTGAGGAACTTAGTCACCTAACCATTGCCATTTTTAGCCCTGTGTGGAATTGTGAAACAGGGGTGACACATTTGTTCAAATCATGTCGTTGCCAAAGTATATTTCATGGAAGGAGAGACTGAAAATGAGCAATTTCTCATGCAGATTGTGAAGTTCGGAGTGAATTTCAAACTTACTTGATGTGTAGGGATGTTCAAACGAATTCTTGCCAGAACCCTATTGGTAATAGGGAGGGGTAAAATAGGGGGTAAAATATATGTACACATGGCAACAGCTTATTTTTGTCAGCTACGAAAACTCAGACTGCTATTGGTAAGAGCGCTCTTATCATAACTTTTTCTTGACGGAACTGTTTCAGTAGGTTACGGACAACCAATAGAACAGCCCTAACTTGATGCGCATATTGTAATTTCACTCTTTTTTCATCAGAAGTTAATCATTTTGCTCCAGCAAAAGTTTGCAACACAAGTTTTTGAAAAAGAGGTAAAACTGCTTTTTGCTCAGTACTCTTTCAAAATTGATGATGTCAACGCATTGACGTTTGATTTTTAATTAATAAAATTTAAAGGTCAGTGTGCTAAACCCTTCGTATTGTGAGCGAGTTGGCCTCAACTCCTAATCTTTTTGAGCCAATACACCAAATAATTGAATCTTCTCTCTTTTGTTTCCCAGATCGAGAAAAATGAAATCGTCCTTAGACGTGTAATTGGTGCAAAGAAAGATCAGTATTTCTTGAACAAGAAACTAGTCACCCGATCAGATGTCGTGAACCTCCTCGAATCGGCCGGATTCTCCCGTTCCAACCCGTACTACATAGTCAAGCAAGGAAAGGTATGTGTGCTTTCATTTATTATTTATTGTTGTATTTTTCATCTGATTATTCTGATATAATTAAAAGCAAACTCCTGAGCAGTGTCGGCAATCTTGCCCGTCACAGGCAGGAGCCGAGGAGGGAACTCATGTTGAAGTCTGTCAAATTTAAAAATATTTCATTTTCATACTTTTTTATATATTCCATTCACTATTATGAAAATGAATGCATGCATTCAATCGTAATATTTACGGAATATCACTCATGATTCCTTTTCTCAAAGATAAAAACTAGCAACAGAGATTCTAAAACTCTGCAACCAAGAAATGCCCGTTTTGCACCCAGTGCCTCAATTAATTAAACAATTTTGTATACATCATTTAATTTTATTACATAATTAGGATTGGAAAGTTCCTTCCAGTTCCTTGGTGACTGCCTTGCATGTCAGTAACTCCATCAATATTAATGGTTGGTTATTTTTTGAGCTGTTTCCACATCTTCCGGAAAAATTATGTCATCAGCCAGGAATTGTACTCCTGTTTTTTTAGCTTGTCAACATGTATTCTAAGCAAAGCCCAAGTAGTACCTCTAGTACTAGCAGTATTTTTCGGATCTCAAACTTTAATCAATTTCTTAATTCCTGGCTCCAAGTTCAACTTCCGCCTTATTTTCAAACAGCGACTGTGGACTTTAGGCAGCAATCATCCATAGCCTCCAAATCATTTTATTTACTGATACGCTTTTAATCAAATACTTTTATTTTCTTGTTTTCCTCAGATCAATCAAATGGCCACTGCCCCTGATTCTCAAAGGCTGAAACTACTCCAGGAAGTAGCTGGTACTCGAGTGTACGATGAACGGAAGGAAGAATCCATGGGCATTTTAAAAGGTGAGTGGGCATTTGATGCAAAATTTCTAATACCAGTCAAAGAATTTGTGAAGTGGCATTTGGTGCATAAAGTTCGAATAATAGTTGAAGAATTTAAGTACCTATCAGTAAAGAAAATCTAGAAATATATGCAGATATGACACTATAAATTTTTTCCCAGCGTGAGTGCTGGTGTTTTTGTTGGATCGAAACAAATTTAGCATGTCGGCCTCCTAGGGTGTAGAGGTTGTAGTGATGGCTTTCTGGTCCTAGAGATCCTGGGTCCAATTCCCAGTCATGTGACCCTAGTTTGATGATCTGAAACAACAGTTGCCAGGGACTGGTTGTATGGACTGAGGAAGGATGGGGTTCCCTGTCTAGTACTTAAATTAATGTAGACAGCAGCACTAAATGATACATTCAAAATGCCTAAAATGGCAGCCAACTGATTTTGTATTTTATGGAGGGATGACGAATTCGTAATTTTGACACGCTCTAAAGGGCTACACAACAGTTGTATGCAACGTACATATTCAAGAAAGTCTTTTCGAAAATCTTTTTTTCCGCTCTTGAAGGCCTTTTATTTGATGGATACTCTTTCACTTAACATGAAGACATTTCAGTTGTATCTTGAATTTCTAGCCCTAAGTTTTGACGTTCTGTTTGTTCACAGATTCGGAAGATAAGATAGATAAAATCAAGGAATACCTACGGACCATCGATGAACGTCTCGGAACCTTAAAAGATGAGAAAGAAGAACTGAAGGAGTATCAGAAATGGGATAGGATGAGACGGTCTCTTGAGTACTGTATCCACGACAGAGAGCTAAAAGACACTAAAAGAAAGCTAGATGAGGTAAACAATACATATCCTGCAGAAGTTATCACTTTAGAACTAACCAGAAATTCTCTTATTTAGAAGAAAAATTGAATTTTGTAATTTTTTTCTGTACCTATTTCTTGTTTCCTTACAAAGCTTTTATCGATTTATCTCTATGACGACAAAATTTGGCTATCGCACCGAATTAAGTTTCTATCTGGAAAACTGTAAAAATGCAACCAGTTCACAGGAAAATCTATACAAAAGGCAGATTTTTGTGAATTAATGAACTTTTAATAGAATCTTGCTTGGAAAATGAAGGATATCCTCTTGAGCTAATAAGTAAACTTTATATTGTTAAGATGAAATCGTACGGATTCCAAAAGGATACAGCGCTGGCAAAATTCAATTATTGTTTTACATTGCTCTTTATGACCTCCCGAGCTCTATGTAGCTTGAAAAATGAAAGCTATGCAACTTAAAAATTTCATTGGTGAAACTGCAAAAGTGCTTATCTCAGTTTGCAGTGCTGCATTTTTCCTGTGATACTTTGTTTTTGAACTGACAAAAGACTCAGCATCATCTCTTTAAGACTTCTCTGGTTTTACTTTTCTCTTTATGAAGAGTATTCTGTGAAAATATCTAGCAATAGCGTTGATTTGTTTTTCTTCGATAAAGTAAAATGGGAGTGGAGAATTTGAAACACCGCAAATGAGATCCTTGTTTTTGCAGTTTTACAATTGATTTGCAGAATACTAGTATTCATATGTAATTAATTGTGTTTCAGTTGATGGAGAAAGTCAACAATTTTGATGAAGAGCAGAAAAGACTTCAAGCAGAGGTCAAGGCAGCAAGTGAAGGTGCGAAAAATGCGGCACGGAAGCTAAAAGAAGCCAAAAAAGATGTTCAGCAAGCAAAAGAAGATAGGGATTCACTTTTAATAGAGCAACAACAGCTACTCAAAGACAAAACAAAGTTAGAACTCACTATTAAGGATTTATCAGACGATGTGAAAGGTGATAATGAATCCAGAGATAGAGCAGAAAAAGAACTTGAGAAACTGAAGCAAACGATAACGCAGAAAGAAGCAATGCTTGAAGAAATCAAGCCGCAGTATGAAGCAATGAAGAAGAAGGAGGAGGACTGCACCCGTGAGCTCGCGCTCAAAGAACAGAAACGGAAGGAGCTCTATGCAAAGCAAGGTCGTGGAAGCCAGTTCACGTCTAAAGAAGACAGAGACAAGTGGATTGAGAAAGAACTGAAATCTCTGAAGAAGCAAATCAAGGATAAGAGTGAGCATCGCGACCGGTTACAGGAAGATCTTGAAAAAGATGCAAAGAAATACGCTGAGTTAGAGCAAAAAATTGAGCAGCAAACAATTGAATTGGAACGACAACGAGTTTCAATAGACGAGTATAATAAAAAACAGTATGAATTGAAGAAGCAGAAAGACCAGCATCAAAGTGTGAGGAATGATCTTTGGAAGAAAGAAAGCGACCTGCAGAGCAGGATCACGACTCTTAAAGAAGAGTTGGCGAAGGCAGATCAAAACTTGAGGAGCATGGTCGGTAAAGCAATCTTGAACGGTCGTGACAGTGTAGGAAAAGTTCTGCGAACGATGCGTGAAAGAGGTGGTAGAGATGCTGATAGAGCCAATGGGTATTATGGCCAGGTTATAGAGAATTTCAAGTGTGATACGACAATTTACACTGCGGTTGAAGTCACTGCTGGGGCAAGGCTCTTTTTCCACATAGTTGAATCTGATGAAGTCGGAACTGCAATTCTAAGAGAAATCAATCGGCAGAATTTGCCAGGAGAAGTCACTTTCATGCCTAAAAATCGATTGGTTGTTAAGGACATGAGGTATCCTTCTTCTGACCATGCAATTCCGATGGTCAGCAAGCTAACGTACGATAGTCAGTTTGATGTTGCTATGAAATATATCTTTGGTAAAACCCTCATTTGCAGGAATCTCGAACGAGCGACAGAAATTTCCAAAGAGTACATGCTTGACTGTATCACAATTGATGGAGATTCTGTCTCATCAAAAGGTACCCTCACCGGTGGTTACTACAAAAGTAATCGCTCAAAATTAGAGATGCAGAAAAATCGTGCAGACTACATCAAGCAAATCAAAGATCTCGAAATAGAGTTGACTGAGCTCCGCGATAATCTCAAAAAGTGTGAGAAAGATATCAACTATGCCGTTTCTGAAATGCAAAAGAGTGAAACAAAGAACAGCAAGGCGAAGACCAACTTTGACGTCGTGAAAGGTGACATCCGACTGATGAAGGAAGAGCTGGCTGGAATTGACCGTTACAAGGGACCAAAGGAAAGATCATTAGCACAGTGTAAAGCAAGTTTGGAAGCTATGATGTCCACGCAAGAAGGGCTGGAATCGGAGCTCCATCAAGATCTTCTTTCTCAGCTCTCGGTCCATGACCAAGTTGAAATGGACAAACTGAATGATGATATCAGGCGTCTGACTCAGGAAAACAAAAACGCCTTCGCATCACGTATGAAGCTAGAGGCTGACAAAAACAAGTTGGATAATTTGCTCACAAATAATTTAAGACGGCGTCGAGATGAGTTGATGCAAGCATTGCAAGAAATCACGGTTGAAGAGCGGAAGCAAACTTTAGCCAATAGTAAACTAGAGCTTAACGGAGTGGAGAGCCGCATTGAACAGTTAAATAAGGAACTTAAACTGGTTGAGAAGAAAGTTCATGAAGCTGTAAAGAAGCAGAAAATCGAGCAGGAAGAACTGGAAAACTGGCGAGGTAAGGAAAAAGATGCGCAAGACAAGCTTGACTCCGACTCGCGTGACTTGTCAAAAGTAAACAACAAACAGGCAATGTTGCGCACAAAAATTGAAGAATGTACGACCAAAATCAATGAGCTTGGATCGTTACCGCAGAAAGATATGATCGACAAGTATATGGCATACACACAAAAGAATTTGTTCAAAGAGCTAGAAAAAGCCAACAGCCAGTTGAAAAAGTACAGTCATGTAAATAAGAAAGCTTTGGACCAGTTTATGAGCTTCTCCGAGCAAAAAGAAAAACTAGAGAAACGGAAGGAAGAATTAGATCGAGGTGAGGAGAAAATCCGAGAGCTCATGAATGTTTTAGAACAGCGGAAGGTGGATGCTATCAACTTTACCTTCAAACAAGTATCAATGAACTTCTCTAGCATTTTTAAGAAACTTGTTCCCAGCGGTCATGCACAGTTGGTAATGAAATCTAGTGACGGCACGGAGCAAACAAGTCAGCATGACTCACGGGATGTAAATATTTACGATTATGCAGGAGTTATGATCCGCGTTTCTTTTGCTGGCGGTGGAGAGATGAAGGAAATGAATCAGTTGTCCGGAGGTCAAAAATCACTGGTCGCCCTTGCATTGATCTTCGCCATCCAGAAATGTGATCCAGCTCCCTTTTATCTCTTTGATGAAATTGATCAAGCCTTAGACGCACAGCACAGGAAAGCGGTTGCCGATATGATCCACGAAATGTCCAAGGAAGCTCAATTCATCACAACTACTTTCCGGCCAGAATTATTGGCGCATGCTAACAAGTTTTATGGTGTTAAATTTAGGAACAAAGTCAGTCACGTTGAGTGTGTTAGCCGTGAAGATGCATACGATTTCATTGAGGATGATACTACTCACGGTTAATTCCATTTTCAATTCGTGGTTTATGCAAAGAACTCTCAAGTTTGTGACATTGTTTTTATCTAATTCTTCAGTTTTTACTGTAAAACCGACTATATCTCCTCTATGTGTGCAGACAGAAGACTTATGTTAAAAGTTGACTGATTTTACGAAGTAATATCAATTTTAATTTTTAAATTTCAGTAGTCTTATCACTGGAAAGAAAATATGCATACTTTTTTACACTCGATGGTTGCTACTTGGCCTTACTGTCTTGGCTTACATGATTTGAAGCATTTTTTCTACATAAATACTATCAAAATTCATCTGACTGTGCCAATATAGCCCCTCATATAGGGTTGCAAGAAACCTGTAGTAGAAAGCAAGATCAAGAAATATTTGAGACCTTGAATTAGGAAATCTCTCAAGTAACTCTGTCAAGAATCGAAAACATAATAAACTCGTCCACCAGCGCAATCAATCCTCAGTTCCTCATTCACCAATGTTTGTGGGATCATCAGTGCTCTCCTATCGCAGAAATGCATTGATCTTCTCTCAGTTTATTTCTCAAAAAATTCAGTGAAGCCTCTTGATAACCTCTTTTTTTCCTTCTTTTGTATTTCGTAAATATCAGTCATTAATTGTGCCAATAAGCCAAAGAAATTGCTTGACCCAGAACATATATTTCATCTCATCAAAATTAATCTCCATCTCTGGCAGAGAAGTTGCATAAAATCATTGAAATATTGATGTTTATTTCTTCAAGACCCTTATTTGACCTTATTTCCTTATCTTGTTTGTTTTCTCTTTTCACTTTAATTCACTTTTGTTTATACTTACTTGGGATGATTCATCTCCTCAATTGCCTATTTCTCTAATTTTTTTTTGTGTCTATTTGCTGAGCTTGGAAGAAATCAGAATAATAAGGCTCTAAACATTTAAAAGCACTCAGGAGTTAGTCGAAATTCAGTTGTTGTAATATTTTTCTTCTTCTGTTGTAATGCTATTCTGAATTTTTCACTGTTTTTCCTTAAGTTGTATGGTTGCCATTGGATGCTGCAACTCGTCAAATGCTGTCGCATGTTTTTAACTTTTCATTGTATAGGTTTACTTTATTTTACTTTTTTGATGATCCTCATAATTTTACTTTCTTATATTCTAGAGAGCACGCTCTGGAAAGGAGATGTTTTACGAAGAATCGGAAGAGATCTGACCTCTCTTTAAGTTGGCATAGTACAAATTTTTTGGTCACCAATGGACTAATTTAGTGACAACGCCATTAGGTATTAAATATGTTCAATGGTTCCACTCAGAACCAATGACCTGTTTTGATGTTGATTGTTTTGCTGCACTTCTTGAGCAGGGCACAATTCAACAACAATATATCAAATGACGTCACCACTAAATCAGTCTGAAGAAAAGTAATTGTTGGGTTAATTATAGAATCTAGCAAAGAACTGTTAAACTCAATTGACCTCAACCTGGAAAATGTAGTTTTCGTTTCACCTTGATTTGTGCATAAGCTGAGTCTGTGATTTAAAACAATTTGCCTTTGATCATGTAATTTCTCTCCATCATTTTTAAATTTTGTTGTTTTTCTAACATTGACCATTAATTTTTATGATTTGGCTGATGCTTTTAAAATATCGAATGGGTGATCAAGAGTGGCTGATATTTGATGTTGAGTCTTGGCATATTTAGATTTTTCCACCATGCATGACTTATCACTGCCACTCATGATATACGTCATGAAAGATATATGTTTACCTACCCCAAGGATGAGAGGACCAGGCATCCCATGTGCTACACCTGTCTCAATTTAAAGAGTTCTTATAATAATAACTAAAGACCTTGGTTTTTCACTGCGTCTAAAAAAAGTTTTCTTATCCCTAACTGAAAGACATAAACAGCCTTTCAAAAAAGTTATATTTTAATTACATGTTTTAAGGTGTGTGATGCTTTTTGTAAGGATGTGATGAATTTTAGTAACAAGGACAGAATGTAGATATTTGGTGTACTTGGAAGCTTTGTCTATGTAGGTGAATCAAATGCAATTGCATTTGGAGCTTTTTGAGAGGCTGAAAGTTCGCCTCAAGTTTAGCGGAAGTTTGCCTGCATAGATAATGCATTTTGCTTTTCAGGTTCGACTCGGAACACATTTCCTTCTTGTAATCTAGTTGTTTCCATTTTATATAAAAACGTGTAAATATTTTAAATAAATGAATTATTGTATGTATTTTTTAGAAGATATGTCTTGTTTTTTTTTCTCATTAGTATACTTCTCTCAAGTATTTCATATAACAAAAATGACAGTTTCATAATGAATGAAAATTAAATATTCAAATGCATGTACAGCATTTAGCAGAAAGGAACAAACAGGATCACACCTTTTTTTCAATATTGAGCAACTTCTGTTTTGCTTTAAAAAGTACTCAACATGTTCTCAGAAATAAAATTTATACAATGGTTTTTTCGGCAAGAAGACCAAACCCATTTGCTATTCTAGGCATTTTTGAAGATAAAAAAGAAAATGCTTGATTTTTAATATAACACCGCAATTGCATTAATTCCCTTCTGCTAAATGCGATCCATGTAGCCCAGAAAAAATTCAATCAATTCTTCAAACTTTAAAAACAAGATTCACATGCCTACTCTTGGTAAAAAGGACATCTTTCCAAAGCTTTCAGTTGCTACGCAGTCAAAATAGCTGGACGTTAAGTTTTACGTGTTTCTTGTTGGCAGGTTTCAGGTTTGCCATTTGCACTGACTCTTCATCACTGTGATCTTGAAGCAAAAAAAGAAAAAAAAATGCGACGAAAATGTACCCGAAAACGGTTTGCGGGGGCACAAGTTGCACCGGGGGAAGGGGGGGGGGATATACACGTGGACTTAGAATCGAGAAAAATCAAAATCTTGACTGATCCTAATTTCGAGACATCGCAATTTGAAATTTTCGTAGTAAATGCAAGTTTTCTACTGATTTTGATCCGCTTTTCTAATTCTTTGTCCATTGAATCAGTATATGTTTATTAATTCGTTTGATTTATGTCAATGGAACTCATACCCTCTCATTACATGCAGACTACCGATTATACTATTTTGTTCTTTCTTTATTTTTTTTAACTTAACAATTCGCCTTCTGCTGTGTATTGTTGTTACGAATGCGTGCTGATTTCAGCCTCAGCTCATTACATTCTTGACTCTCTGTAGCGTTTAATGTGCGAAAGGAATTCGCCTTCAGTTGCGTCTGCAGCAATTGTTGTTAACAACATGTTGTGCGTGCTGATTTAAACTCATTACATACTCGACTCTCTGAAGGCGTTTTATGCGTGCAAGTAGCGCAGTCTGTCGGAGAACGAACAAAGTAGAAATTACGCGATTCATTCAGTTTCACTTCTGATGCTCTCCAACAGGGTGCTCTATTTTCGCACATTAAACGCCTTCAGAGAGTCAAGTATGTAATAAGCTGAGATCAGCACGCACAACATATTCGCAACAACAATTGCTGCGGACGGAGCTGAAGGCGAATTAAAAACAACCGTATAATTCACGTTGAGAAACATGTTAGCTCTTTAATGAATATTGTTAGGTATCAAAAGAGAGGTATATTTTATAGTCTTTATATGAGGGATTCTCGAAATACTTTTCACCATCAACTAAAACATAGATTAAGTTTAAATGCAAAATAAAATAATAGCAAAAATAAAACAAATTGCGATATCTCGAAATTAGGATCAGTCATGATTTTTATTTTTCGCGATTTTAAGTCCACACGTACCATTGACTCACTCTCTGCAAACCGTTTTCGGGTACATTTTTATCATGTTTTTTTTTTAATGGTTTAAGACCACTGTATCATATTAAAAAACAAAAAAAAAACTTGTTTGACCAATCCTCGTCAGCTTTACTCTTAAAGAAACTCCTGTATTTTAAGGTGAATCTACAGCAAGAAATTTTAGAGCAACCTTCAAGATATTAGGCACTTTGCTAAAATACTTGTTTCATATGAAATTTTTGGCAGCAAAAGGATAGATCACACCCTGAGACATGCATCAGCTGTTTTACCCAAAGATTCTATTTTGTAAATCCTAAAATAAAGCTGAAAGTATAAAAATGCGAAAATTAAATTTTTGACTGATCGATTACAACATTTGTCATTTGCACACTCTCAGCTTTACTTACGAATGCACGAAAAAGATTCCACAGAAAAAAACAGTTAAGATGTGCCTTAAAGCGTTTTCGATCGAAAATTTGTTTGATATCTCAATGTTTGTTTGTTTTCGATGTGGAATCACCCAGTACTAGATTGCCAGGTTGAATTACATAGTGCTAATCGTAGTCTGTTGGATAAGATCAGTTAATTTAGAAAAATGGTGGGTACAAATTAATGAGATAAGAATAAGACACACATTTTGTAAAAATTATATTTATAGGATTAAGAAGGAAAACAAGAAAATGATTGCACAAATTTAAAATTTTAAAGAATTTGAAAAATAAGGTCTAATTTTGACTTGATAATCATTTTAAAACGTCTCTCACTGCTATTTACATTGTTCAAAAGTCTCTTACTACTAAGCACGCATAGGAAACGAAAGTTTTGAACCAAACATTGCATTCTAAATTTGATTCCAATCACTTTGTACAAGGAATTACGTACGTTTACAACTAAGAATTTGTTGACACAGAAAAATAAGCAGTGCCTTAAAAAAAATGCCCTCGCAAATAGTATCAACACTTGATTTCACTGGTAAAAAAAAGAAAAAACAAGTAAGTCACTTTTTAAACAAAAGCAAGCAACATTTGCCGTAACTTAACAGCTAGAACAGGTAAGTTATCTCACTTTTAACGCATTTAAAAACTAGATAGGCATCTATGAACATTTGTCTAAAAATAGATGATCAAACAGTAAGCCAAGTAGGAAGGTGAACTTTTAGCGAGACATCTCTCATTGAGCAGGCCTTGGGATGGAAGTGGAAACTTTTCTGTTTTCTGAAGCATTTCCGGGAAACTAAGGGTGATTCAAGTGATCCAGGGACTAGATCCACTGCTACACAGTCTGTGTCTTTGAGGAGCAATAATTATCACAATGCACAAGTTAGTGCAAGACACTGATTCATAAGGTGTAGCAACATTAATACTAAGCACCAGGCATGACATCAAATTTGTGAAAACTTGTTGAAAAAATACACTGGCTACCTCTCTCGTACACATTGAGTCAATAATGAGCAATGTCAGTTATGGTGGTTTCCAATATAAATTTTCAATATATCCTTACGAAGATGTCATACTATTTAGTATTAATGTTGCTACCTGTTAAGGATCAGTTTCTTGCATTGACTTGTACATTTCAATAATTATTGTTTCTCAAAGATACAGACCGTGGAGCAGCGCAATGTGATAGCAGTTCTTCTCCCTGGATCTCTTGGAATCACTTTTCCAGGGGAAAAAAATCACACAAAAAACATTTATCCCTAAAGACATTAATCGTTTGCACCTAAGTGGAAAACAGGATCTTTCCCGGGAATTGCTGTTGCGGGCACTCAACTTTCCAGCAAAACTTTTATCCCTCCGCAGGTCTTGCTTGACATTTCTGCACCTAGCCTCATTCACCTCAATCTGCTTAGCATTATTTCATGACATAAATTCCTATGAAACAATGGAAGGAATTGCTGCAAAGCGTACAAATAAAGGAGCCAACTTCAAAAAACGGGCAACATGAATTTACAGAGAAAATTAAGCATCTTACTTGGTTCTTAAGCTTCGTTTTAGGGTACATTTACCTTCATGCATAAATTTTCACTTTAAGGTCCTGGAAACGTATCATGACTCAATTGCCAGGCCATTCTTTTTTGACAGAGAAACTATATAAAGATCACTAATTCAAAACATCCTTATACGGTGAACATGGTTTAAAATGCTACTATCTTCCTTCCTCTGAAGATATTGTGTTTCTGCCTAAAGGAATAAAAGGACATACCATTCTATCACGGAGCAGGATTTGCTGCTGCTTTCTTGGCGACAGACAAGAGGGAGAGTTGAAAGTGTCAATTTCCATCTCTAATTTTAGGAGTAGGTTTCTTTCTTTTTTTTTTAAAAAAAAAAAAAATAAATAAAATAAAATTGAGCGAGAAAATTGATCTTTTGAAACTTGGAACAATCTATGAGTTAGTCATTCAACTTAAGCTTTTCTTGGGCAACTGGGGTCCTTCATTTTCTTATGAAACTGATACAACAGCCGTCACCAAGTCTGAAGAAAACGCTAAGTACAGTTGAAAAAAGCGCACCAGAAGTTATTTTTGTTTTGACCAGCCCAGTTATCAAATAACTGCCAGGATGTAATACTTGGACACTTTTAGTCATCCTCGTAGTTTGTGTTATTTGAGTACACGTAACCTTGTTGCTGAAGAACGCACAGCCTTTTTTCCACAGCATCACGGTCTGAAAAAAAAATTAGATACCTCTCGTCATTCATTCACAGACTGGTTGAATCAATTGATACTTATTTGGAGTTTGAAGGAATGATCGTTCTTTGTGAGGAAAATTCAATTTCAGCAAATTGATATAATCTATAACGAAAATTTGATATTTGATTAAAACTGCAATTTCTGAGAATTTTACTGGAATTACTTGACATTTCCTTAAATTTTTTTAACATTTTCTTGATTACTGCAACTCAAAAACTAAAAATGATCCAAAAAGACTTGAATTCTGTTGTTGCATGACAATTTAAACAAGGAAGCTCATGGACAAAATGAATGCTACTTTCGAATATTCCAAAAAATTTTGATTTTTCAGATTATTTATGCAAAAAATCTACATTTGAAATTACTAATTTGTGACCATCCATGGAGATAGGAACCTCAGTCTACAATGGCAAAATTTTTTGTAGAACTGTTCTTATCGAATGTGGTAGAAAAATCAGATTCTGAGATTTTGACCGAAAACTCTCTAGTGTTCTAAAAATTATAGTTTTATACAATTTTAACATCATTTGTAAATATTTTTGTGCCTAGAGATTTCAGGAACCTTACAAAGATCCCATTGGATCTGCTTGAAATGCATTGGTGCAACATTGGTGTTTTTTCTTCCTCCTGACAGGATTTTCAGTTCAGGTAAGGAAAAAATGATGACATGAATACTAAAGCCACCTGAGGTTCATATTACTTGGCAGTTAAAGATGAATTTAAAAATTCAAGGGAATAAAGTCGGAGAGGAGATTAAGCGAAAAGCTTACATTTTGTCAAGAGGGCTTTGTCCTGGTGATGATTAACCTGCTGAGAGAGACTATGGAGAAGAATCTGCGCTGTCTGGTACCTTTGGAAACACTCAGTTGGATTGCCAAACAATTCATCTAAAGCTGCTGACTGGCACTGGAAATATGAACATTTTCGGGTTAATAGAGAAGAACAGATAGAATAATATATATACTGATCATTCGTAATAGAGAGGAAGAGATAGAGTTATATACATAATAATCATTGGGATGGAATAATCGTTGGGATGGAAAACAGGAATCTGAACCTGAGAAATCTTGAACGGATAATTTGATTTTTTAAGACTTCCGAGTTGAAGTATTCAAGTCAATCTTCATTGACTAAATACCGTCCGTTATACCGTTAGTAGAGGCACACTACACATTTTTGAAGAGACAGTAAATGGAAAATTGAGTAGAATTCATCATCCGATAGAAACTTACCATTTGAATGGCATGATTGTATAAAATCTTATCAGCTGTTGCGCTTGCGTTCTGTAGAATACCAGGAGAGTTCAGTTGTTTGCAATCGCCGAGACACTGCCGGAATCGGACATTCAAAAGCTTCACAACTAAAACCAGAGCAAAGGTAAGTAATCAATAATTGTTTCAAAAATAGTGTGGAAACATTCTGAAAGATTAGAGACCATTTTCCTTAGAGAACATACTATGTTTTGTACTCATTGATTGCATTCTTGTTTTGTTTTCTTTAGCTTTTTCAGCAAAGTTGACGGAAATTTTAGTCACAAACAGAGAAAACATGGTGAAATTGCCAACAAAGCTACGGTATCAACTGATTCTCGTCTCATGTCAGTTTGAAATTTTTTTAAGTAAAAAAATACAATAAATTCCACATCTTTTCTAGGTTTCCCCTGACCAAAATGATCAAAGTCTCTCATTTTTCGCATCAAATATTTGTGCATGTAAAGATATAAATTTTGGAAAAATTGCAGTCCCAAGTTGAAACTAGTTTCTCAATTCACTATTCAGAGAGTAACTTGGAGCATTAAACCCTTAACCAGACTTCAAACTTGAATTAATGGCACAGAAAGTGTTGATGTTTCCTTAGATTTCAAAAATTAAGATTTTTCAAAATTCCATTCTTGTGCATAAATTCTCTGTTGTCCCTGAGATCCCTGACCTGATGGAATTCCCTGACAATTCCCCAATTACCAGGTTTTTCAGACCTGTACATACCCTTCAGCTCATAGCAGAAACTAGTTGCTAACAGAAAACTACTTCTGCCCTGTGAGATTTCAAAATGACCAGGAGCCGCTGGTTCAGTTTTGTGGCTATTCAGATATTCATCAATGAGATACAAGGTTTTTTAGATTGACCATTGACACTATCATTTAGTCTTCCAAAATCAAACACACTATCAATCCTGTAACAACATCTTAAGCTTCCTTTTTCGAGAGAATTCACATCAAATTCAGGCCAAATAGAGAGAGATCATAGGCAGAAATTCTTCTTTATCCCCTCCTCTTATCTACTGACCGGCAATTAATAGAATGTATCTGAATTACCATTTTTGACTGACGATGAAGGTTGAAGTTGCCCAGATCTGAGCTGATTTGTTGCTAGTGTTAGTGCAGAGCTGAGTAGCTGCAGTGCACGAACCAAGAGGACCAGTCGCTCTGTCCTGTTCCGAGATTGCGAGACATCTATGACACAATCGACTAAAGCTAGGACAAAGTTTAACTTGGCCAGTGTTTCATTGTGCTCGCGTTCTAAGATTGTTTCTGGGGATAGTTCAGGCAGGTTGAAAGTCATTATGCCTTCCGTGCCACCTAACTCTGCACAGAGACAAAATCTTGTTAGAAACCATCAAACAATTTATTTTCACAAGAAAAAAAGTGTTCTCGCTATGGACAATAAGAAACAAATCAGAACAGTGTTGAGAGGCTTGCAATTAAAAATCTACGATTACATATTATGTATATCCCTAAAGGAAAATTAATAAAAATGTTTCCTTGCAATTTTATGCAATTTTCTTGGTGGGCCGAAGCAACTTTACAGAAAATTTAGATAGAAACTCATGGTTAGTTTCCCTTTGAAAAAATAACATATGAGTAGAGACTTGCAATATCACAATCTGAGAAATACATTTTTCAGCTTCAGCCGTAGCTATGCTTATTACAGTGAGTTTGGAGACTTGTCTTCCATCATTTGCTGAATAAATGCAATGTTGGAATGTTTACGGCTGTGGCAGTACATTGCAATTGCAATGATGAAATTTTTATTAAAATTCATAATTAAATGAGAGAAAAATGACAAATTGTCAAAAATATTGCTTAAGATAATCTGATCACTGAACAGTAAACAGGTGGTGCGATTAGAGAGTTTCTAATGGCTTTGAAAATTATGGAATCAGGTTAATCTTGGGTGTTTTACGAAGTTTAAAAAGTCACAAATCTAATTCTTGAGTACAAAGTAATTACCTGGCAAGGTCATGGCTCTTGAACTAAATGGAACTAAAGGAAGATTATTTGAGTTTAATGCCGGAATAGCACCTCCGCTGACTAAAGGAGCACTGAAAACTAAAAAAAAGAGAGAAAAGTAATTAGTTATAGAATATAAACCTTAAAACTGAAGTGACCCTTTTTGAAAGAAAAATGTGTTTCTCATCTCTGTTTCTTGGACTCATTTGAAGAAAAAAGTATTTGATCTTACTTAATGTTGTGGCTGAAAACTGGGGACTTAAGGAGAAAAAATTCACATTTTCTTTTTTCCAAAAGCTTAAAACCNGGGGGGGGGGGGGACAACGAAATTTAGCGTTGTACATTATGAGGGAAGGTAAGAAAAGGACCTTTAATTTGAATAAACCAATTAACTTGATGCTCGTTGTAAATAGCTTTATCTGAAATTAAGAACTAAACATAATTCTGTGTCGGAAGATTGAAATGATTGTGCTTTAAAAAAAAGGGGGAAAAATCCTTATTTAGCTGTCATGGTAATAATTTTCTGTAATTTTAGTTCCATCAATCCTGAAAGTTGTGAAAGCAACAGACTCACAAAGTAAGGGGGGAAAGGCACAAGAGAGAAAAAATAACATTTGTATTTTTAAAATTTATGAACGCTTCCACCCATTCCTCATCACTTCCAAAAGAATTTGTTGCTCTTTGAATTCCTATAACCTTACCTGATTTGCGCAACGGAGAATTGGTTGGCGTGACAGTCCAAGTATTAACTGGAGGAGGAGTAGGCGGTGGGTTTCGACTTCCAGGAGGAGTTCCCAGTACAAACTGCACCTAAAATTTGAGAGAAAAGAAAAGGTTTAGAAAATGTAAAATGAACATGAATATAGTATACATATATTATCACTTTTCAAAAAAATAAAATGCTCCCTTCAGGGGTCCGAGCAGGGCATCTTCAGCACCATTAGAGCCCAGATGCCATGTTACCAAACATCTCAGAGAGGCTGAAGTTCTTAAACAGGTCACATCAATTAAAAAACTCTGATTGGAAAAATTTTTCATTTTCATTGCATGCTGCTACGAACTTTTTTGACGAGTTTTTTTCCTGAGAACAATGGGTCATAGGCGTAACATTTCCACCCACTATTTGACAGTTGTTTTGAGAGAAAATTTCATAAACTAACCAAAAATTCCATTATTAAGTTTGGAAAAGCACTTCTCAGGGGATAAAAAACAGGGCAACAGTCGTGATGACCTAACGAGGCCTTGTCTTTGGCTTGGCTTCAGCCAATCGGCAAATGTAGACTCCCTTGTCTGCCCACATCATAGCGGACAGCCATGAATATCGTTCCTAAGTGGGTCCAAATTTTGGCGACTTCAAACTCGATTTTACCCCTTATTTCGAGTAAAAAAAAATAAAAGTTATTGGGGGAACTCAACTTACTCAGAGCCTTGAGAAAATGAATTTTAAAAAATAGGTAGATGTAATTGACCCATTGAGCAAACACCCTATGTTGCATTTTTGAAAGAAAAAAAAAAAAGAATGGACCACTAGACAAGGTACGAATTTCAGCATTCTGATACATGTTTCCAAACCAAAAGGACTCTATGCACGGACCCCCCAAAATCGCCCATTTCAAAAGTTAACGAAATTCATACCAGTGACAGAGGGGCACTTCCGGCCTCCAAATCCGGGGTTGGTTTAGTCCCCAGCCCCCCGAGTGCGACGTTGCCATTTTTTAAAGTTGAAACATGTTAAACCCCATAACTTTTGAGCAATTAAAGATACAAAGATGCGGTTTGTTTGAATTGATAGAACATAAAAAGAGCTATCATTTCGTAAGTATATAGTTTTTATCCATTGTTGCCAAATTTACCCAAAAATCGGCAACTTTTCCATTTTTTTAAGGTGCAAAAATACGGTTAACCTAAAAAAGTCGGTATTGGGACACCACGTAGGAAAATAAAAAACACGCGTAATTAAAGCCCATAATGTGAGCTTTCCAACGGTATATCGGTTTTTTCGGGGAAACGATTCTACCGCGAGATACAGGCCTTTAAAGTCAGACTTGGCGTACTTTTTGGAGGTCTCGCGTCATTCGCACCTCAAAAAATTAGTATTGCGAACGCTGGCAGAAAAACGAAACTCATATGCAATGAAAGCTTTTTATGTGAGCTTTTCAACGGTATATTTGTTTTTCCGGGGAAACGATTCTACCGCGAGATACAGGCCTTCAAAGTCCGACTTGGCGTACTTTTTGAGGTCCCCCGTCATTCGCACCTCAAAAAATCAGTACTGCGCGCACACATACGAAAATGAAAATTATATGTAATGAAAGCCGTTTGTATGAGCTTTCCAACGGTATATTGGTTTTTCCGGGGAAACAATTTTGTCGCGAGATACATGCCTTCAGTGTTCACTGTAGCGGGGTTTTCAGGTACCCTGCGCGGCTTGTTTCTTTGCCCATCGTGATAGTGCACGTCCCAGGTGCCAAACCCCGCTACAGTGAACACTGGAGGCATGTATCTCGCGACAAAATTGTTTCCCCGGAAAAACCAATATACCGTTGGAAAGCTCATACAAACGGCTTTCATTACATATAATTTTCATTTTCGTATGTGTGCGCGCAGTACTGATTTTTTGAGGTGCGAATGACGGGGGACCTCAAAAAGTACGCCAAGTCTGACTTTAAAGGCCTGTATCTCGCGGTAGAATCGTTTCCCCGAAAAAACCGATATACCGTTGGAAAGCTCACATTATGGGCTTTAATTACGCGTGTTTTTTATTTTCCTACGTGGTGTCCCAATACCGACTTTTTTAGGTTAACCGTATTTTTGCACCTTAAAAAAATGGAAAAGTTGCCGATTTTTGGGTAAATTTGGCAACAATGGATAAAAACTATATACGAAATGATAGCTCTTTTTATGTTCTATCAACTCAAACAAACCGCATCTTTGTATCTTTAATTGCTCAAAAGTTATGGGGTTTAACATGTTTCAACTTTAAAAAATGGCAACGTCGCACTCGGGGGGCTGGGGACTAAACCAACCCCGGATTTGGAGGCCGGAAGTGCCCCTCTGTCACTGGTATGAATTTCGTTAACTTTTGAAATGGGCGATTTTGGGGGGTCCGTGCATAGAGTCCTTTCACGTAGAACACGATACGCACAAGGAAAATTACCGAAATTAACTCCTTATTGAGATATCTAGATAAGAGCTTCACTCTTAATCTTAATTATCCGCTTCTGTCTCTCGTAATTTTTTGATAAAACGTTCCTTTTTATCGAATTGATCTTTTGATTCTTGTAAAGAGCCTGAGCTCTCAGCGAGAACACTTTCTGGCCAGGAGCCTCGGCCTGGTTGGAACTCTCTCTCATTTCTGGACTCTGGACTTACCATTTTTGGAACATGGAACCCCGGACAACTTTGGTGACTCGTCAAAAGACTTTTCTTTCTCTCTCTGAAATCTTTTTCATTTTTAGACCATTTTAACATTTTAATTTCGCTAATATTTTCAATGTTTTATCTTTTTCAAAATTCTTAAAATTTTCAATCAATAAAATTGTAAAACGCCAGACTTCTTTGTCTTTCTTAACTTGAAATAATCCCGATCGTAAAAAGCATGAATGTTTAAATATTATTTTTCTTCAGTTTGCTAATTTGCTCTCCCACACTATTTTAGCAGGTATAATTGTCCAAATACTTGGATCTTCACTTTAAGGGTGAATTTCAGAGTATTTCGTCAATTATATCTCACAACCGCTCCTCCAGTGATAATACTTGTTTCCATGTAAGAGTATAAGTCGTAAAGTTATAAAATTACGCCTTGTATGGAATCGGGTTTATCTCTGAAGGAAGGATGACCATCCCGATGAGCCTTCTGCTCAATTTTCTCCATTGTAAAACGGTGGTCGTTGCAAGTGGCGGCGAAACCTTTCTTTCAAATTGTTTTTCTTTTGAAATAGAACCAATAACTTTTTTAATAGTTTCGCATCTTCACGGTGCCGAAACCTCAATTTTCAATTTGTTTTGTTGAGTATTGTGCATTCAATTAATTTTTCACTTCTCATTCAGTTTAAAATGCTTTCAGTTTTAACTTTGTTTTTTAAAAAAAAAGACAATCGAAGGGATATGTTAATCTTTAAAGGCGTTCATAATTTTTCTTTTAGAATTTCATCCTTAATTTTTTATCTTTTGACTTGTTCCTAATCATTTATTTCATTTTTATTAACTTGTCAGTGATTCAGTGCCCTACAGGAATTTTTTATTATTTTTGTTGAGTGCCTAAACTTTTTTTACTTAATTAATGCCAGTCCACTGTAGATTTGTGAGTATTGCTGTGTCTCTGGGCAGGCATTGCAACACCCACGAGGTACAGTTTAAAAACTTTTTTTATGCTTAAAACTTCTGCGTCGAATTTTTGTATCTTTAAAAAGCGTCGATTCTTTTTTCTTAATTCCTTTATTCTTGGTTGCGACAGTAATTTGCTCAAAGTTTCGTTATTAACTTTGTCTTGTTCGAATAGTAAATTCAATTCTTAATAACTTTCTTTAGTCAATTTTTAGTTTTCATTAAACGCATTATTTTTCGTTTAAATGTAAGTGCTTTTGTTCGTGTGAAACAGGCCTCTTATTTTTAGAACGCAGTTTAATTTTCGTTAGCGCTACTAGTTCCAGCAGAGATTAATTTATTAAGTTTTGCTACTTTGTGAAATGCAGACTTTTAAATTTTTCTTTTTCCTCTTGTTAATTTGTGTAAAATCGAACCTCTTGATTAGACCAGCTATTTTCTTTGTTTTTGAAACACTTGGACCTCCATCCTAGGCCATTTTTAGTGCCGAGATAAAATCTACGTGGAAGAGTGTATGTTAGCGATAGGGAAAGGCCACCCATGTTATATGCAACTCCTCTTTCTACATTTTTAGGGATCCCACGAGCCTATAGATTGCTCTTTTTATTTTCTTTTATTCCTTTTTTGTGAGGGTTTTGCCCAACAGACGAAAAAGTCATTTTTTTTTTACATTTTTGTGAGGGTTATAGTTATTCGCTAGGTGCTAACTTCCCAACAGGCAAAAATTATTTTTTTATTCCATTTTTGGTGAGGGTTTGGTAATTCACTGAATGACAACATCCCAACAGACAAAATGGTATTTGATTTTCTTTTACTTGCTGGGTTTCAGGTAATTCACTGAGTGACAACTGGCCCATGCATGTTAGTAATTCCATGATTAAGTAATTCACTGAGTGACAATTAATCTAAGAATTACATTTTATTTCTAGAGGATTGGTAATTCACTGAGTGACAACAATCTCAAAGAAATTTTTTTAGTTTGATATCTTCAAGTAATTCACAGAGTGACAATGGACCACTAGACAAGGTACGAATTTAAGCAATCTGATACATGTTTCTTCACCAGAATTTCACGTAGAACACGATTCACACAACGGGAATTACTGAAACCAACTCCTAACGAAGATATTAACGTTTTTATTTCACAATGATTACGAGGAATTTGAACTGCCCGCTCACAAGAAACTCAAAGCTCTACGTGAGTCAAATCGCGCACTACAACGGTTTCAACAACCTCCTCAATCAAGCAATGTTCATTGCCCATCATGTGTTGTTCAAACTATAAGCAATTTGCGATAGCTGAGCCAAAGCGTCAAGATCGAGGTTGCCAGATTTAAAGATCGCAGGGACTGTCGTGATAACGTCTAGCGCGAGATGTGAATCAAGTAGAACATTGAGTTTTCATGAGCGGGTGGTTTGAATTCACTCATCAAAAATCATTAAATATCTTCGTAAGGAGTTGATTGCGGTAATTTTTGTTGTGCGCATCGTGTTCTACGTGAAATTTTAGTTACGAAACATGTATCAGAATGCTGAAATTCGTACCTTGTCTAGTGGTCCATTGTCGAATATCAAACATTTGCGGTAAGACAAGTAATTCACTGAGTGACCATTGCACGCATTGGATTGGAGAACAGGAGTTTCAGAACAAATATATTTTTGTGGCCGCCAAGCTTTATATAAAACTGGTTTTTCATGACCCAATATATTCTTTTAGGGAATGGTGTCAATTTATTTTTGTTAAAGGCCATTTGAGAGCCATAATAATTTATCAGACTCAAAAGTCATATTTCTGAGTTAGCGCCGGCATAAATGGCTAATCTCTTTGACAGTAGTCGCATTTTCTTAAATAAAAAGCTTTTAAATATTTGTGAAATCATGTAATTTGATTCTCTTAGCTTTTTATAAATACTGTTTTAACTTTTTGCACTTAATTTTCTTTTATTATGAATTTTTAAAAATATGTAAGTTTCAGTAACATAATTTGTCGTTTTTCAATAATTTTGAGACATTTGTTACTTAAGTTCTGTGAAACTTACGAAACTTTATAGTACTTTTTTTTCTTTTTTCTGAATAAAACGCAATACTAAGTTTATACGCATAAAATCAGAACATCGCAGATCAAATTTTCTACTCTGGCTTACTTTCCTACGAGTAAATTTATTTTTCCTTAAATTTTCTTATATTTGATGGGCCAAAAGTGGTTTGTCTTAAGTATTGGTCAATCAACCCGTTTAAATTTTTGCCCTTAAAAGTTTCGAATTGATTTCTTGAAAAATTCATCCATTTTCAGTATGAATGTTTTATTTTAATCTTGCGAGTATTTATCTTTTGTTAGACTTTCGATGTCAATAAATGGATCTTTGAATCCTATTTTAAGTGATTTTTATGAAGTCTTTGAGCTTAAAAGTGCAAAACAGTATTTCAATTATCTTTTATTTCTATTTTTGATTTTCTTTACATAAATTCTTATTTTGATTTTCTTTTCTTAAAATTTTTATTAAATGATAAAATAGCTGTGTCAATCATGTAAAGAGTTGTTTCAATATAGATATTTTAATTTTATGATCGGTTGAATTTTATTTTTTTTTTGCTTTTCTAGGTCTTATTTATTTTTGGAATTTCTTTTTCCAATTTTCTTTCTCTATGTCGTGAAAACCTACTTTTGCTTTTTCTTAAGCTTGGTTTCGACGTTTTCGTAGTCAAAAGACTACCTAGGTATTTTTCATTTTTTCGTTTTATTTAATTTTTCTGGGTAAAATTCAAGTCTCTTTTTCCAGTTTGGTTTTTGAGTTATTTGAAATCTATAAGTAAAATCTGAACATCTTGCAAACAAGTAATTAATATAAGTTGTTGTTTCAGCTTAGTAATTGCGGTAATTTCCGCTTGAACTATTTTTGAGAGTTCTTACGCAATTTCGTTTTTACAGTGATAAAATAACAATCTTTTTTATTGCGGTTTGTTATGAAACTCTAATTCAAGCAGGAAAGTCCAATTTACTTTTATTGCAATGCAATTTGGACCCATCACTTTAAATTGATCCAAATCTATGGTTAATAATCAAATGCAATTAGTTTTTGATAAAAATTTAGATTAAGCCAGTGTTACGTGACGATTTCCGTTACTTGCAGTGACCTGAATTTGTTGATTTTCATTATTGATAAAAAACTTTAAATTTTCTTCCTTAACCTTTTACTTATGCTTGCAAAATGTTCATATATTTCATTTTCTTCCAAAATTAAGCCTTTTTAGTTTCTATCTTTTGAACTTAGGCAATTTTACTCACTTTTTAATACATTTGCTTGAACTATTCTTCAATTCTACGTGGATATGCCTTCGAGCATAGGTGAAGAGAACTTCACATTGATGAAAAGATAATTTTTCTTTTCCTGATTAGATACTTTTTTTTTCTCTTGTAATTTTCTTAAATTTTAGCTCTACGTGGACTTGCATTTCCTTAATTTTGTCTGATTATGCAAGGGTTGTGACAACACAACGCTAAAATTTTAATTTTTTTTAAAATAATTTTATATGGTTTGCAGAAGTTTAAATGCCTACTTTTTGAATCAGCAGTCAAGTGATTGCATAAAATCGTATTGTGATGACTCTTAAGGGAATTGTTAAGTCAGTAACTCTGCTTCTGGGTTGATCATTCACCCGAAAAAGAGAAATCCGATCAATTTTTCTGCTTCGGAAGGTATCTTCACGGAATAAGGACTATGGTGTTGCGTTGATTTCTTTTCCTGAGTCACATCTTTCGTTAGATTCCCTCGCTTTTTGTGTTGTAAAGTTTTGGTAACTTTTGCCAAAGGAATAAAACATGAGCATCCATTTCAAAGGAACAGCGCAAAGTATTACTATGGCAAATTACAGAAAAACTTAAAGTGGCTTTCTACTTCCTGTTAGACTCCGGTATGTTTGAACCGTTCTTGTAAACTTGTGAATGGGATAGTGACATGCATCCCTTGAAACAGATTTAAATGTATCAATCTATGGCATCCTTTTTCACGGACAGCGCAAAAGTATACATTTATTATCTTCACACAGTTTTATAAAAATAAGTGAAAACTTAAATTTCAATAGCTCTCTGCTCAATTATTTCACATTCTATGGCCTCGACTTTCACTCGCATGGTGCAGAAAAGTAATTGTGTAGCACAAACCAAACTCCAATCCCTTTTACGTTCAACCTATCATATCAAAACTTCTATCATGTCAAAAATATTATTTCTACGTAAAATTTTTTCTTAAATTTCGTTCTTTTTACTATGACTTTTATTTCAATGACTTTTATGTCAAATATATATTGAATTTTTTTTTTTCTTGTTGCCATGTTTTTGTGATTATTTTTTCATTCTTTGAGCCTCATTTCTTGAGCAAGCTCAGTTTGGAACATTTCACTAACTCTAGTGCAACAGATCTTATTTCAATTTTGATTTTAATATCCTTGAGCTTTCATTTTTTATAAAATTTTGCTTTAACATTGTTAAAATTATTACTTTTTTTTGGAACTTTTCTTTTAATGTAACTCTCTGGACTAGTACGCGTTCAACTCTGACTAATATTAATAGATTTTGAATAAATTTCATTTTAATTAATTTCAATAAAAGGCACTGGGCACTGCATCATCTGAATCACCTATATTTTACTCTTTTGCACTAGTATGCATTCTTATTCTTTAATTTTCGTATCTTTAGTATACTTTTCTATGTATTCTTGTTAAAACTGTTATTCTTGTTTCAGTTTTTCCTACGATGACGGTAATATGTAATCTAAAATTTTTTTTTGTTTTGTTTGGCGTTCTAACTTTTTTTTACAAAATGTACCTTTTTCCCCCCTCCCCTTTAATTAATTTTTAATTGTTTTCTTTTTCATGGCCTTCAGCCACATTCACCACCCATCTTTTTCATTATTTTTTAAATATCTTTCTTTTTTTTACGACGACGTGGGCGCCGTCTTTTTCAGTAAGGGAGAGATGAGATATCTAGATAAGAGCTTCACTCTTAATCTTAATTATCCGCTTCTGTCTCTCGTAATTTTTTGATAAAACGTTCCTTTTTATCAGATTGATCTTTTGATTCTTGTATAGGGCCTGAGCTCTCAGCGAGAACACTTTCTGGCCAGGAGCCTCGGCCTGGTTGGAACTCTCTCTCATTTCTGGACTCTGGACTTACCATTTTTGGAACATGGAACCCCGGACAACTTTGGTGACTCGTCAAAAGACTTTTCTTTCTCTCTCTGAAATCTTTTTCATTTTTAGACCATTTTAACATTTTAATTTCGCTAATATTTTCAATGTTTTATCTTTTTCAAAATTCTTAAAATTTTCAATCAATAAAATTGTAAAACGCCAGACTTCTTTGTCTTTCTTAACTTGAAATAATCCCGATCGTAAAAAGCATGAATGTTTAAATATTATTTTTCTTCAGTTTGCTAATTTGCTCTCCCACACTATTTTAGCAGGTATAATTGTCCAAATACTTGGATCTTCACTTTAAGGGTGAATTTCAGAGTATTTCGTCAATTATATCTCACAACCGCTCCTCCAGTGATAATACTTGTTTCCATGTAAGAGTATAAGTCGTAAAGTTATAAAATTACGCCTTGTATGGAATCGGGTTTATCTCTGAAGGAAGGATGACCATCCCGATGAGCCTTCTGCTCAATTTTCTCCATTGTAAAACGGTGGTCGTTGCATTACGAAGATATTTAATGATTCTTGATGCGTGAATTGAAACCACCCGCTCATGAAAACTCAATGCTCTACGCGATTCATATCGCACGCTAAACGTTATCATAAACGTCTCAGCGATATAAAAATCTGGCAACCTCAGTCTTCACGCTTTGGCTCAGCTATAGCAAATTGCTTATAGTTTGAACAACACATGGTGGGAAATGAACATTGCTCGATTGAGAAGCTTGCTGAAACCATTGTAGTAGGTGATTTGACTCACGTAGAGCTTTGAGTTTCTTGTGAGCGGGCAGTTCAAATTCCTCGTAACTGATGTGAAATAAAAACGTTAATATCTTCGCTAAGAGTTGGTTTCAGTAACTTTTGTTGCGCGAATCGTGTTCTATGTGAAATTTTGGTTCAGAAACATGTGTTAGAATGCTAAAATTCGTGCCCTGTCTAGTGGTCCATTGGAGGTAATTTTGATTTCAACTTGTGGTTAGTTTTTTTCTGTCAACGATTTAAAGTCGAGAAAAATATGTTAAACATGAAATTGAAGTTAAGCGTTTCCCTTAATGTTGAGTCTTATGGAGGAATAAAACTTTGACTGCTTTTTCTTGCTTCAAATTTTATGTAACTTGGTAAATTTCTATTAGACAATGTCTACTTTTTTTTAAAAGTTTTTTTTTTTTTCTTTTCCAGGAGAGTTTTGGATTTTTGAATTCCATTGCGCTGATTTAGAACCTAGAAACTTACAGATGGCGGTGAGATAGAATGAATATCCGGCGGGGTGTTATTATAGCGCTGCATGCTAATTGGTTGAGATCTTGGAACTGAGTTCTGGAAAATAATAAAAGAAATTATTAAGTTTTAAATCATGAGTTTGAAAGAAACTTTTTTTTTTTTTTTTTTTTTTTTTACTACTTCAAATAGCCCTCAAGGGCTAATCCTACGCTTTAAGTCCCATCCCCCCTCCGTCCCTACTAAACCAGTCCCAGGCAACCATTGTTTGAGACCATCAAACTCGGGTCGCCTGCCCGGGAATCGAACCCAGGACCTCCCGATCATAGAGCAAGCGCTACAACCACTACACCATAGGAGGCCGACTAAAACTAATAATTAGAATGAAAAAAAAAAAAAACCAAAATGAGGTTTAAAAAGAATAACAAATCGTCATTGCCTGCATGAAGGAAAGTATCTTGATTGTGCTCTTTCAGTATTTCTTACCTTTACTTAATTTTTCATAGATAAACCATCACATAAATTTTCCTGAAATTTTTACTGACTAGTTTTAATCCTTGTTAGAATAAACTCTGAATTTTTTGGATCAATTTGTGCGACAGTGTACCCACAAAAAATAATGATCCTAGAAATTTGGAAACATAGCAGACAAGATACATTCCAAGATACTCCTCCGAGAGACGACAATTTGGTGTCCCTTAGGCAATATAATTTCTGATTTTATCAGTTTTAAGTTATGAGTCACCTTACTTTTTAATAAATTTAATACAGACAAAACATAGCTAGCTGCGACATCTCCCTAATTTTTGATAATGTTTATTTTACCGAGTCTCTTCTCAGGAAAAGTCTTTTTCTTCCGAGATTTATTTGCTTGAATTTTGACTAATAAAAAATTAGGCACCTTCAACAGGAATTATTCATACATATTTGAACTATACAAAAAGGGACTGTTGGAATAATTTTCCACTTAGAAAAGGATTAATTATGGAAAGAAATTTTGTAGAAAGTCATTTTTTTGAATACGAGGTCTTGTCTCTCAACACCTAACTACCAACATCAATATTAACACAATCATATTAAAGGTTTTACCTTCGTGGGTGAGTTTGCACTGGTTTGTTGATTCAACGACTGGTTTGGAACGGGAATCGGCACGGGAATAGAGAGTGAGCTGGGCCGATGAGGACCAGTTGCAGTTTCTCGAGCACTGAAAAGCAAACAAACACCATGAATTACACCATTTTCGAAAGATGACAACAATTTCTCTTGTTTGCACGTTTTTCAGCCATATAAACATCATGATTAAACGCTAGGATCACAGATTCCATTGATAAAAGAATGATAAGTACCACAACTCGTTTCTTTAAATGATCAGCCTCTGTTAATCAATGAATGCACTAAAAGCTTAACCGACTTTGGCCAAGATAATATTATAGGTTGCAAAATGGAAAAGAAAAGTTTTGCGCTCAGTTAGATCAAGAGTTAATATACTGTTGTCAGTTACTTTAAGTTAAACGCAAACGATATGAATGAATACAAAATAAAAAATGTTAAAAATTAAAAATTACTAACTGTTTGTCAGTAGGCAAATTTGATGGCACAAGAACAAAATCATCTGATCCATCTGGACTGATGCAAACAGGAAAACCTGTAAAAAAAATGAGAGCAAAATTGAATGGGCATGAATCTTGCTAAGCCAGGCGTAACAATTGCACATACCTGTTTTGAGCCATTGCAGAAAAGTCTATTTTGTTTGAGTTTTACTGAGCGTTTGTGGGCAAAACTCATTGAATTTGAATTTTCTTTCTCTTGATTCGCAACACTGGCGTACTATTCTGTTCAGCAACAATCGGAAAATCATACAAAATAGGTTCCAGGAATTGTCAGGAGGTTTCTAACTTAACTTTTCTCGAATCCTCTCTTATTGGATACTCTTCAATTGTGAAAAATAACACAAGGATCAATTTTAATGAAACATGTTCCCCTACTACTGTTTAACAAAATACACCTTACGGCATGTAGCACAAAGAAATTTGGATGAAGAATCTAGAGTTCATCATCAGCTTACTATGGTGATAGAAGGGTGAATTAAAACCCAGTTTTTTACATTCATTAAGCAAATACAATTTTCAGACATTTCTTCTATAAATTTTTGGCCAAAACGTGGAATAAATTCGAGAAAGCAAATAAAGGGGATTTGATGATTTTTCCCTGACACTTTCGTCATGTCTCCTGAAATTTCCTGATTTTCACAGATTTTTTAAAATTCTCTGACATTTCTTGGTTTCCCTGACTGTGGAAACCTGATTTAGATCTGGCAAAGCGTCCCCTTGGCATGGCAGACTAGAATTTTAATAGAATTTTCTTAAAATTATATTTTAAGAAAAATTACATTTTAAGAACTACAAACTTCAAACCCTATTGATCGACTTTGGTTTGACAGTTAAGAGCGTTTTTTAAATCAAAATTTTTTGTAAAAAAGTCCCGAAGGCGCCCAAATTTTGACCAGTTAATTTTGAGTTTCTATAGCTTGAGATATTTTTACCAACCGCCAGTCACAATTTGAGAATCATATACTGCAGTTTTAAATTCCACGTTTGATGAGTCTGGCTGAGATATCTTACCAGGTTCATGAACTGGGCTTGTGGCCAATGGTGTCGGCTGATTTGGCTGCGGGGGCGGATGCAGGAAGGCATGATTGAAAAACACATCAAAATCCATTCGCTCAGCAGCGTTCCGTCGCAGTAATCCTTGAAGTAGATTTGTTAGTTCTGGTGAAGTTCCACTTGGAATCCTGAAAAAATACAACAATAAATTGGTAATTTTATGCTACATTCAAAGATTTAGAAAATTCGGGCATTAAGGACTCTCAACTTTTTTATTTATGAGACAAGAGACTTATTTTCACAACAACCAATGTAATGAAATTTGGTAAAAAAAATTAAGTAAGAAACTTCTTGGCCATGCTTCATGGGAAGTACAGTGTGTAAATCCTAATAAAAACACTCAGCTTGACTGCTGCACTCTTCTTCCTTATAATGCAATGAAAGCTTAAGTGTGTCATGACACGACAGTTCCTCATTTGAAGCATACAGCGCAGATATTATTTAGTTAATATCAATTAATTTTTACTTGTATGATGTGCAAGTAATGATCGACCAACACACTCTGATAGAGTAAAATTGTTTTATTTCAAGAGTTGATGATTTTAATTATAATTATTTCCAAAAACCAAAAAGAACGATTGATGAGCCTCGAGAGTATTGATACAACCACTTCATCATATTAAAGATACATGATATACATGTCGACAGTGAAACTTCCAAATCTTGTATCTCGCTTTACAATGTTGCAGACTGCCTATCATACTTTATTTAACGTCAATGCTTAAAAACTTTCCTGTCTGTTTTTCTCTGTGCAAATAAAATTCTGTGAAAACTTCAAGGAACGATGTTGATTTATTCTCCTTCAAAAAAATAAAATGGTGGGGCAGAAATCACTCACTTTATTAAAGATTTAGGCATTCTGCCATAAAATCAGTTGCACGGCCATGAGGCAATTCAAAAATAAAACCGTGAGGCAAGAACGTCAGATCATAGCATACAGTTAGCATTTTGAAATTTTTTCCACCCCTAAAATGATTTCAAATGAATACTGGGAGAGAAATTCGCTTGAAAGTTCTCATAACATTCAAAATTCACCTTCAAAATGTGTCATCACAAGAGCAAATCAGGTGTAAACTGAACTTACTTAGGTGCCAAATTGGGATTTTGTTCGTAGAACTTTTTGAGTACTTGTGGTGTTTGAGCTTGGAACGGTGCTTTCCCAGTGAGGCATTGGAAAACAATCGTACCTAAACTCCACAAATCAGCTTTGGCATCATACTGGAGAGACATTATTACTTCAGGAGCCTGTAAGGAGTAGAGAGAAAAGAAAACTAAGCAGAGAGCAGGGAAAATCACACTGTCAATCAAAACACTGTGTTTCTGGTGATAAATTTTAAAGTAAAGTGCCTGTAATATTATTGCACTGACTGACCCTTCAGTCTGTCGAAATCAACAACACTATCATCTACAATGACCAAAGCATATGGAATCAGTGGTGGTTAAAATTGAGGATGAATTTTCTGGGTATTTTATTTTTCTGACCTCAGGAACCAACCCCCAAGATCGGTCAACAATCTAGCGTAAATCAAGATAGAAACGGTTTTTACTATTTATCGACAATGAAACTGCAAAAGTGCATATCTCAGCTGCGGAGTTTCAAAAACTCCTCTCCTATTTTATTATTTAAAGGGGATTCATGGCAATACAATTCTCACGAAATTAGAGAAGAAAATTCGCTAAAGTTTTTAAAATATAGCATTTCGTGTTTTTCTATGTAAAAATAAAGTTAGAGAGGAAGGCTGCAATGCCCAATAGACCAAGATAGACATTTCTGCAGTACCATCAACGTTATTTTACTTAAAATTGATCTCAAAGTACTCGATTTTCACATTTAAAGTTACGATTTTAAGAAATAATTATTCTAATGATCAGGAAAATTTGAAAGATTGGAAAAATGAAGCAAGACAAGGAAAGTTGAAATCCCTTGAAACCATTGTAGTGTGTCTCTTTGCTGATTTTTTAATCTTCTCAGAGAAAAACTGAATGATATGATGCTAGAATGATCATTTTCATGAAAACGTGTATCCAATTAATTCCAACAGTTCGATAGGGATGTAGTATGCTTGAGCAAGCAAACTTGTGTTTGCACAGGGCATGAAAAAATTTTCCAATGAAAAGTTTTCTTTTCATGAGTCATGAGAAAAAATTAAGAAAGACCAAGACAGACTAATTTTTGCAAATTTTCTACTCAACGCATACTTTACGCATACTTAAATCTACAAGCAGAGTGAGAAAAATTTGTGCAACTCAGGTTGCAATTGATTGATGTCCTGAAGTGCTTGTGAATTGAGAGAGTGATGATATCTCATAAAATCAGGGTTTCCATAAATAGGTTTTTGGATTCGTTGACTTTCCTTAACTCATTTTAGTTTCCCTAAACTCCAAAATTTTTGAATTCCCTGACTTACTTTGACCTAATTAAGTTGATTAAAATCTTTCAGCAACTCTGCAGTGCAGTGTGCAATACATTTTGCTTTCGATGACTTTTTCATGAAGCTGTTGCTCTACCTGAAGCTTATACATCGTAAATTTTTTCCAATCCATAGAAAATAACGATAATTACCATGTACATGGGAGACCCACAAAGAGTAGCTGCCATAACCCCATCTTGTAAGAATCGTGCAAAACCAAAGTCAGCTGAAATTAATACACATTGATGAGAAACTGATCATTCATGTACACAATAAAGAAAATTGGGAAAAATTCATAATTATTCAGAATAAAAAAGAAATGCACGAATCTACACTAGGGTGTACACATCTTAGCTGGTGCATTAACCTCTGACCACTGTTTAAATCTTACAGAGAAATTTAGGAGCCACTTCGGCTTGCTTGATCAATATTTAAGGACCATTAAGCTTTTTTTAGGGGCCAAAATGTTTTTTTCTGAAATACTTCATGCTGAGAACCAGATGTCTTTTGGCACCTTGGAATCAGGTTTGTTCTAACTGATCATACAGTTCTTCCGCTTTCCATCACCCAACTGAATCCTGCCTGAAGGGTCCTTAATAGATTTTAGCATCAATCAAAGAAGTTTGTTTTGGTTCCAGCGTTTCGGTGCATTTTACACATGGCGCCTGTTGGATTCACCACTGCCTATGAACCTAGTTAATTATCAAACTTTCAGACAGCATGATTAATTTAAAAGTAAAATTGAGCTTTTTAAAACCTCAAACATGGATAAGGTATACTAATCAAAAAAAAAATTGCTGATTGATAAAATTGCTGAAAGTAGTAAGTATAAGTAAAAAATAAAATAGCAAATTGTAAAGATTCTGTTTTTGAAACTTAGATTTTGGAAAAAAAAAAATCAGATGATTACAATCAGATATAAATCCTTCAAAAGCAATTTAGAGAAAAGCCGGTACCTATTTTTAGGCGAATGTGTTGAGGCTGCGGATAAGGTTTTGTTCCAGCGTGACTTAACAAAATATTTTGAGGTTTCAGGTCTCGATGGACAACACCTTTTGCATGGAGAGCTTTCATAGCTCCAGCTGAAACGAAAAGCAACAGATCAGAACAGCATACGAAAGTAAAGAAACAAAGGGGGAAAATATTAAAGAAGAATAAATAACGCTCAAGAAACTGAATAAATGTTTTGCTCGGAAAACTTTTTAAAGCCAACTGTTGAAAAAACCTGGGTTGATATGTGATGGGTTAGAAATTATTTAACTACAGAAACAATGAGTTGCTTGCACTTTGCTTTTTAGTTACAAAAAGCGGCTGCAGCTTGTGAATTGAGAGAATGATGATATCTCATAACATCAGGGTTTCCATAAATTAGTTTTTGGATTCGTTGACTTTCCCTAAGTAACTCATTTTAGTTTCTCTAAACTCTAAAATTTTTGAATTCCCTGACTTACTTTGACCTAATAAAGTTGATTAAAATCTTGATTTTTTTCTTTGGGCTATGCTGTTTTTTGCTAAACTGTGGGCAAAATCTGCGGTTACAGATATTTAAATTAAATAAAAAAACTCTTTGAAATTATTTTTTTTCTCTAGACTGGCACCGGCTGAAAATGCTGATGCACTGTTCATAAAATTTACTGATTTTTTCCAGAAATTCATGACTTTCTCTGATTTTTCCAGGCTGCCGTGAATTCATTAACCTTCCAGGTTTTCTTGACTGTTTGAAACCCTATAGTTGATCAACAGACAATTTGATCTATTTATTGACTGACTATAAGATAGGTCTTTCAAAAAGCAGAAGTTCAAGACAAAAGGTCTTTTTACAATATATTGACTTTGATCCTGGATCTTTCTAATTCAGGCTTACTTATGAGAAAATTCAATTCTACAGCACGCACAACTGACCTGATGAGATACCTACAGGAGTCAAGACCAATTATCACAATAGAGATTTGAGTGAACATGAAAGAACTTACCTAGTTGTGTAAGAAAGAGTCTGATGGTATCTTCACTTAAAGTTCCTTTTTCTGGAAACGGATACAAAATAACGAGTTAATAAAGTTATCAAATTTGTTCGATAGTTGTTCGTTTAATATTTAATTCATCCAAAATAACAAGGTTTCCTCAGGTTTTCATTCTTCCTTTTTGGTAAATTTAAAAACTAAAAGATAGATGAGAAAGGAGAGCATGAAAACATGGACAGAATTGACAAAAATCAACTATTTACTTGGTCTCAAACTCTTTTCAGAGGCTGAGGTTAATTGGAAAGTTTGACTTATGATACTTCTAGAGTTAACAAAATTTTAGTTTCATAATGACATTGATTGAAACACAATGTCAAGGTTAAAAAATGAATCCTAGTAATTTATCTTCTACTGTAGAATATACACCAATCAGTAAGGTAACTGTCCCTATGCTTCTTTTGATGGTCACTCTTCTTAAGCACACTTGGTAGGGCTGCAGGGTGAAAGTAGACTAGACTTGAAACTGTTTAGGCAGAAAAACTTAGAACCTTAAGCCAAGATGGGATCTCAGGAAATAAGGCAAAGATGACAAACTGTGTTGCCCTTCTGGTGGTTAGTATCCTACACTTCAACTTCCTCCTTCCCAAAAAAAAAAAAGAAAAAATGTAGAGATGAAAAAAAGGATACTAAGTATAAAATTGGGCCGTTGATTACCTGTTAAATAATCTGCCAGATCCCCTCCATTGCAAAACTATAAGAAGGAAAAAGAAAAACAATACTCAGTAAAAGATGCAAAATGAATGAGGAATATGAGACTTGATTCACATACTGAAATTATGGTGATAAAATGATTGTTACCTACTTTTATTTGATGATGAGTAAAAATACATCCAGATATCACACAATTGAGATCCAAAGAAATGTTAATTAATTAGTGCTGCACATCTGCTTCATTACTATTCTGAGCGGCATAGAAAATAATTAAGGTCACTCAATGAATAAATTTTCAGTTTTAATTTTTTACACATCCAGATGAAAGAAAAAAAGCAGCTTCTAAAAACTTGAAAGTTTGAATCGATCAGATGCAAATAAAACGAGAGAGAAGTTGCAGGAATTTCTTTTTTTTTTAAGAGAGGACACTACTAATTTATTATTCGACAAATTCTGTACAAGATACTGAGATGTGATGGGAAGATAAGATCTCTTATCACAAAAGGGTATCATATTTACCTCCATGACCAGGAAGACATGCATTGAAGACTCCTTGCAATCCAATAAAGCCACAACATTTTCATGGTGTAGTTCTGTCAGTTCCTGACAAATAAAATCAGGAGTCATCAAAATTTCATTAATGAAAACAATTTTAATACAAAGATTGAGAAAAAAACACCCGAGGCAGTGAGTTTGAAAATGCACAATACGTACTATGCAAATGGTGCATTTTGAAGAGTTGCAGGATTTTCAATCAGCTCAACATGATTTTTATGCAATTTTACAAAACAAGAGTCTTGTTGATTGAGAAAGCTTAAAAGTAATACAATTATTGGTCGAAGAGAAGTTTCTTTCCTGGGCAAATAAATTGAGAAAAAATTCCAATCACTACAAGGGAATATCAGTGAAAGAACAGTATATACTTGATAGATTACTTACTTTCAAAATTTTGATTTCCTTAGCAAGCAAGTTTTGAGACTTGGCGAGATTCTTCTTAGTTATACTCTTGATGGCCACAACAGATTTTGGATTCTGAAACAGAGAAGATGAGCATTGAAAAACTAATAATAATAATAGTAAAAAATACTGCGACTGGTATGATCCACTGCATACTTACCTGATCACATCAGTCATGTCCCAGAAGATGACCGAAGTTGTCGACACGTGTCGGATATTTATTGAAATTCCCCTCCGACTGGTGGGCTTTAGATATACTCTTGATATTTTTAGTTATGAGAGAGAAAAACTTCAAAACTCTTTTCGTCAGTTCAACCTTGGTGCATTTTCATCATAGAATAAATAGACTACACCAACAGAATCGAAAGCCACCGCCATTTATATATGTCATCGAAGCAAAAGTGAGTCAATAAGTCTGCGGCATGTCGACGTTCTGGAGAGGCCGGATGATATCAGATACAGACATTTTTAGGAATTAAAAGAGATTTTTTTACGCTTATTTGCCACTAATCCAGAGAAGTACAATCAAGTTCTTTAAACTTCAGGTTTCAATAAGTACGAAGATTCACCGACCCTGAGAAGAAGAATGTTAACATTGGTTCTTACGGAGCTTTCGCATCTGATGACGTAGTCTATTCAATGTATGAAATGGGGCAAGTGATTTTCGCTACAATGGCTGATGTAATATCACCCTCCATCGAAACACATTGACACGAGAGTTGGTTTACCTTTTTAAGTCTCCCTTTGTAGACGACTGCAAAAGCTCCATGTCCGATGAGATCCCGGGAGTTGTACTCGTAGTCCCCGATCGTCTCCATCGTCATTGTGTTGTGTTCCTGGGTTGTAGACCTCTTGAAGGCCTACCGTACTCGCGACCTAGTCAGACATCATCTTCGGGTATAGCTCTTCACGCTCCAACTCAAGACGTTACGAACGCGTAGAAAAATGGAAAGATGCAAGAAAGTGTCGCATTGTTCGAAGACTCAATGGGAAAAATGAAAAAGCGAAACGAAAGTTGCGTGATACTAGGCACAAAGCGAGATGCGAGGAATGACTAGAGAGGTTTCTCAGTAAAAAGCACTTAGATTAGCTTACACGGTACGAAAATTAACAAGGTGGCGTGGAAGGCTGATGAAAGCTTAGCGGAAAAGTACTGACTGTAAATTTAAAACGCCCGATTAATCATGTAATTATGTCGTAGAATTTCACAGAAAAAATGATGGAAGTGTGATAAAGGACTCTCGGGCACTCAATATTTACAGAGGGCAGCACCATCTCAAGTATCAAGTCAAATCTAAGAATGAAAATGGAGTGATAATACGATTTTATTAATGATGATTCAATACTTTTGCAAAGATATTTACATAAATTTTTCAATTTTTCTTTTGGTTTTTTAAAATTATTTCTTTCCTTTTTCAACTTTTAGCTCCATAACAAAGTTCCGAAGTTTAAATGGCTAGTGTGACTTACGTAGTTTAATCAGATATTACAAGGTAGCCAAATTTATCTCTATTATTGTTGTTAATTTTAATAGCAACATTTTACTTCAAAGTATAATGATGATAGAATTTTCCCCGCATACTTTTGAAAGCATGAATCTAGAGAAATGTACTGTGAATTTTTACTCGGGATAGTTTTCAATAATAGGGCACGATTCACTGGCGTTATCAAAGAAGTTTAGAAATTCGGCAACAGTGTGTAAAATCGACGTCCATGTAAAAAACAACAACAACAGTCACATGACGTTCCTTTCCCCTTTGAAGTTTGTGATAAGTGCTGCTACAAAATGATTATCTAGACCCTCCCTTTTATCTAATTTTAAGTATTAAAGTCGTTTCCCGGCCTTCTCCGTGAGTGCAGTGATTTAATATTTTATTTCATATCGCTTATATCCATCAATCAAAATGGGTATGCGTCACACACTTCTATATATTTGGTCTGGCACAGTTTTGTCGGGTGTCACAGGAATCGGTCTGTTCTATATGCTGGCTGGAAAAGGTCACAAAATAGATTTTGGATGGCTCCTTGAAGGAATTTCACCATACATGTGGGGAGTGCTCGGTGTAGCTCTGTCTGTGGCTCTATCAGTAGTCGGCGCAGCCATTGGCATTCACACGACGGGAGTGAGCATCGTGGGTGGAGGTGTCAAAGCACCGAGAATCAAAACTAAGAACCTAATCTCTGTTATTTTCTGTGAAGCTGTGGCCATTTATGGTCTCATCACTGCCATAGTACTGTCTGGTCTATTGGAACCTTTCCACATCACGGATGCGACAGACCCTGTAATCAAAGCGCAAAATTACCATGCTGGCTTTATCATGTTCGGTGCAGGACTCGCAGTAGGCATGGTCAACCTGTTTTGTGGTGTTGCAGTAGGAATCATTGGGTCAGGAGCAGCCCTAGCAGATGCAGCTAATTCTGCACTCTTTGTGAAAATCCTTATCATTGAAATTTTTGGTAGTGCTATTGGTTTATTTGGTCTCATTGTTGGAATTTTCATGACGGCAAAAGCCAAAATGGGTGACAAATAAGATGGGACCTCTGGACTGAAAGTTAGTGATCAAAATCTGCATCATATTACATCTCGCGGGAACGTCTTGCATCCCTGTGTGGTATTGGCTACTGCATAACCTCATTAGGTGATCATCAAGCACTTTTTCATACCACCTGTTATGCGAGTTTCACCTGTTGTCCTAAGCGTCTCAATGTTAATATTTTGTAAATTGAAGGTGTCTTCAGACTGTAAATAAATCATGAAGTAGATTTCTACCAATTAGTTCTTTGTAAGAATGATGCATGATGCTTTTTCATCTGAGAAAAAAAATTAGACCATTCCAGCTGTCACTTATTAATGCACTCATGGATGAACTAATTTAGGCAAAGAAATCCTGTTTAGGAAAGAATCCTCCTGTTTTACTTTTTTCTTTTCTAGGTTTTCGTTTGTTTGCATACCATAAATGACAACTAACCGCTCCCTTTAAAGTCGTTTTTCAGCGGTACACTTACCCGACTTCCCAATGCTACCGATGTATTATCTTTTTTTGCAAAGTGCGGTAAACCTTTCTTTTTTTCCAAGTTTAACACTTCATTACTACTAAATTTGCCTTAAGCCTCTTGAAGTTTAAGTTGAGGATTCGCCACCATTCCATTTCATCTGTTTTTTGTCATAACCAAAGCTCTGAATTCACTGTAATCGTTATCTATTATTTAAGCTGCCAGTATACTCTTTAGCTTTTGGTGTACATTTGAATGTAAAACTTACTGTTAGCGCCAGAAGTTAAATATTAAATCTGAAATGCATTTAAAAGTGTGAATTTTATTCTTCAGCTCTGTCAACAAGTACTTACTCTTATAAAGCGGAGACATATTTTTTTAATTATGAAGCCAGAACTATATATTTCCATGGAAATATTGAACAGCTACTGAAGTGTTAGGAAAAGTAACTGGATTCAGAAGCGTTGCAGCTCACTCAATTTTTCAAAATTAAAATTGATAACCATAATCGTTTGAAATCCTCTGTCACTTTAAGCCTCTCGTGGGAAACAATCTCTGAAAACTGCAGATGAACACGACTCAAATGTTGTCTTTTCAAAGTATACACCAAGGATTAATGTCTTGAGGTCTTCCAGGCTATTCCTCTCTTGTGCACATTAATATTCAAGGAAGTAGGAAAGAAAAAAATTTTACAAATGTGGTGTGATCTGAATTGTGAAAATTCACCCGCGAAGTTAAAATGTAAGCAACCTGTTGAAAATTTATTTTGACCGTCATTGTTACCGAAAATTCGTGTAAAATACAAGAAGGAACAACATTGGAAATATGGATTTTGTTCTCATCATTTTTTCCATTTGCTACCTAAATGTTATTTAATGATAACTTTGTAGAATTATTAGTTTTTAAGAAGAGTAGGTATGCAGTATTTAAATTCATGGAGAAAATATAGGAGGTGGTGGCAAAGCAGTCTTTCTCAGGTTCAGTCGTAATGTTCATATGTACATCAGCCAATAAGAATGAGGCTACAGGATTGGAGCAAACACGGCTTCATGTCATCATGATCCAACACTGTCACAACTCCTATTAGACCAGCGTTTGCTCGCTGTGGCGTAGAAATGTAGGCCCATTTCTCCGTTCACCACCACCTGCTGAATTTTCTGTAGAAATGATCTAGGTAAAATGAACCCACATTTAATTTTTTCTCTGAAGTATTTTCTTTTTGTTTTAGTTAAGAAAAAATTATAGAATATGTAACAACTTCACTCATAACATTTATGATAGTTTTTGAAAATAAAATGTACAAAACACTGTAGACTTGCATGGAAGTTGCATATCTGTTTCGTACATTTATCTACTACAGCTTATTGCCACCATAGAACACCATTCTTCCTCCTCAAGGCCAATTCAAAAATTAGCCTGATAATTTTAATTTGTTTCATCAATTGTTCTCTATCTAGTAGTCTGACAAATTTTTCTTACTGTAAAAATCTTGTAAAATCAAAATAATCGTATCTGCAGATAAATTTTTCACTGCTGAAGTTCACATATTTCCTTTAATTTTGTTGGAAAACACCTGTATTTTGCTTGAATGATGCATAAATGAGCAACAATGAGCATAAATTACCACTGTCTTTTGAATTACAAGTATTTTTAATGTTTTTGGTTTTCATGAGTCATCTGTTTTGAGGATGTTGTTGAAAATTATTTTGATACCCTCCTTTTGTAATTAGAATTGTATTTTTTTGTTATTTGATGTTGACCTTGAATTTTCTTTTTGAGGATAATAAATTATTAGATCAAAAAATAATAACCATGTAGTTGTCGTCTTTCTCCTTTTCTCAGGTTAAGAGAATTAGTGAATTATAAAGGTTTAATACTGGGAATGAGAGAACCTTATCCATGGCTGAAGTTGAGAAAATGCATAGCTCAGATTGAAATGCTATAAAGTCTCCTCTTATGTCTCATCTTTCAAGGGGAAACTAACCAATAGTTTCTGTTTGAATTTTCTTCACTCATTATAAGACTGGCACAAAATTGCAAGGAAACATTCTAATCAGATTTCCTTGAAAAAAAAAAAAAAAATTAGATAGAAAAACTCATTTTTGGATTTTAGTCATCTATATCAATGGTCAAGCCAGAGAAACTTGTTTTTGGTTTGTTACAGTGTAAACCTCTTGCCTTGTTTCATTTTATTTCAGAAAATGTAACTACCTCTGAGTAACTCCAAAAATTTTGCACAATTTCTCTGAAACTCAATACTTAAATTTGAATTTTGGCAGCAACTTTCTGCACAAATATTTCACTTCAAAATTTAACATAGATTAAAAAGATGTAAAACTCACTTGTGACGATAATTTTTGTTTAGGTACTCTGTGTTAAACTTTAAAATCATAACTTAAATGTTACAGCCGAAATTTTGTGCGAAAAAATTGGTTCTTCTCCTTCTGAAAATAATTGAAATTTTGAAACATCCCAATTGAGGTTAGATTTTTCTAGTTTTTTACACCATGAATGTATGAGTTGAGATCCAGAAGATTATAGCAACAGATTTGGTAATTTGATGTGATACAAAGCATCTGAACCAACTTCTGGTACTATAGGACGAATTTCTTTTGTCATAAGTAGAAGCCAGAACACCTGCTTTGTAAAAGTAGCCCCAAAAAATTGTCACACTATTATTTTTGGAAAACTGTGACACATTTCTGACACACAGATTCATTAGTAAATGAATCTGCAGTTGAACTCCCCTGTAATTTGTCGATTCCAACACAAAGGGACTTATTTAATCTTTTCTTTCAGAGTTCCTGAACACATTATGTTATTTGTGGGAGAACTAACACACGGATGAATCTGTAGGTTTCAGAAACTTGTCTCCCAAGAGTGAAGAAAAATCACTGGAAATTTCAGAAAAACTCATGCAGTGATTCTGCTGCGCACAAATAAAATGTAACAAAGAAATTCTGAAACAGTGCAATCTAGATACGTTCCTTCGTGTGGGAGAAGACTAATTGTGTCGTGAATTCATTAATCAGGCAATCACAAGATATGGATGCGATAAGGGCACTTATCCATTACAGAGCTTCAGAACTTTCATCAACAATTACTTTTTTATGGGAAGAAATACTAGATCACCGAGTCCAAGATTTATGCTGAAATCTTGTCGGATTTTATATCTATGTCGGATTGTCTTCCATAAAATTTCGTGAGAAAACCAAAAAGTTCATTGAAAAGTTTGAGAAATCATTTCTAGGAAGCAAAGAAGATCAGAAATATCACTTCAAACATCCCATTTTTGCCATTTTTAAAATGAAGTTTCTTCGCCATTTAGCGATGGAAAAATCTGAAAAAATTCCTAGAGGCTTTGTTTGCTCTGTACTTCCAGAAACTGAATTTAAAAAAATGGGTGCTACTGAGCAAAAGAAAGTTAACAAAGAGGTATGGTTTGCATAATATCTACACATTTATTTCTATGGATTAATATTTGACATCACTTTTTTAACCCTATTAAGTACAAGACTTAGGTTTTCATATTTACCTGTTGATTCAGGTAAGTTTTCGAAATTGATAACGTCGCTAACATTCTTCTGGAATTTGTCGAATGAAGGGAGTTGTTGATAGGGGGATAATTTCAAAACTGGGGTGCCCTGCTCCATTGACTTGACTTTTCCGAGAGATGCCACAGGTGTCCGATGCGCACCGGTCGCACTGGTTGTGTTGAGCTGGTTGAGGAGCTCATTTTTGTACTTTTCTAATTGCGTCAAAGATGGTGATTGACTCCGCTGAAAAGAAATTAATGGAAAATTTAGAGTTATTTCAAACATAATGAACATACGTATTTAAATTCATGAGCAAGTAAGTTTAACACTTGTTTGCGAATCTGCACTGAATTTTTTCGTTCTCAAAATACTTACATAAGCCATATATAAGGTCGGTTGCTCAAAGTATATGGAAAAATTCCTGACGGAGGTCAATAAAAAAAAATATATAAAAAAACTTAGACCAAAAGCTGATAACTACAGAAATTTATAGAGTTTGACAAACTCTTCATAAGTGTGTAACAGACTTGTAGGGCATTTCCATAAGTTGACTTTTTATTCAAGCCTTTCTTAGAGTGTAATTTTTCGATCACATACTGCTGTTCAACCCAATATTAGGTAGATGAAATTCAATAATTTTCTTGTCATTGATTGCCTCTTTTTTTAAATATTCCAATATTCACTTTGCAGAGAATTTACTTGAGAAGGGAAACCAATTTCTCTGCACTATGGGTATTTTTGACCTCAACCCATTTTTTTGTTCGTTTTCTAAGTTAAATCTTAAAATTTGAGTATTAAACCTAATTATGTGTATCCCAGGGCTTCAGATTCACAGTGCAGAACAAGCAGGAAGCTTCGCTAGCTTTCATTTCTGTGTCTCTTTTAATTTCATTATTTGTATTTGAAATGCATAAGTCCTTTGTAAAAAAGTCGGACCTAGAAGACTGTATTACAGAACTGAAAATTTTGCACATTTAATTTGACTAAAAATATTCTTTCAAGGTTCATGCGATCAGCATTATACAAATGCGGTGTTTTGCATCCTGATTTTTCTGAACACACAGTCTTAGAGGCAAACATTTTAGCAACTGCTTCTGAGTGGCAGCAGAAAATTTGTCCGTGGATGCATTAGAAAAATCAGTGTATAATTGAACATGGATCCTAGGTCATGGTAAGGGCAGATAAAAAATCTGTAACCCCAGTTTTATTCATGCATAGTGGTGAATAGAAAATTCCGCACCACTAGGCCAGGCACCACACCTGCAGCTTTTGAATATATAGAGACAAAGAATTGAAATTTTGTGAGTGCTCCTAGATCAATGGCAACGACTTTTAGGATTTCCCAAATTTTAGGTGGACCTCGCTGAAAAAAAGGCAAGATACATGATATCTATAGGGGTGGTAAGGGACTTGAAGATCACGCTGGATATTTGTGAAAATGAGATTCCAAGGTACTCACAGATGAAGATTCTGCTTTTTCCTCCTTTTGTTCTTCTACTTCCTCCGTTTGTTCTTCTACAACTTCTCCTTCTTCCTCATCATCCGGTTCTGCTTCTTTATTGCTTTCGTCAGTCGGAGGAGGGGGTGGAGCAGGGGGCTCCTCTGGAGGAGGACAAGGCACGAACTTGCAGGAATCTGGCGGTAACTCTTTTCCATCTGAAATCAGCATTGAATAGACATGAAGGAGGAGTATTGATACCCGCCTACCCAGAGGCGGGTCCAGCAATTTGGCAACACTGGATTCCCTCCATTTAAACCTATGTTAAATAATCGATTCTTGTCGGAGCACCCGGCCCCTCCAAGAATTGGTACATTTCCATTGATTTAAATTGAGAAAAACAATGCTGCCGATTTGCTGGGTTCGTCAATGGACCCACCCTAGCTGAATTTTCTCAGCCCTATGACTCGTTGCTTATTGAAGGTCTATATTTTACAAAATGGCTCATGATTTGGTCATTAGGTCTCACCACTGGTCTAGTACTGACCAGAACAATAGTCTGAAGGCAAAAAATGCGGATTTTTTGGCACTTTCCGTCAATTTCAGCCTTCAAATCCACTTTCGGACTAGTTTCAGATTTGAAAATGACCAAATCATGATGCATTCCATAAGCTGTAAACTTTTAATGAGCAAAAAATCGTATAAATGAGGAAATTCAGGGTGGGCCGTTTTTGAACCCTCATCGATATCTCTCCTTCAGACACCAAAACATAGCAGTCTAAATATAAATAGACACAAGTCCTGTTGCACAGGAAGTTCATAATGACAGTGAAACTGCAGAAGCACATATCTCGTCTATGGTTTTTCAAAATTCACACCCTTTATTTTATTTCTTAGAAAGAGAAGAGACCAACATCATGACTTGAAATTTTCACAGAACGTTCTTCACACAGAGAAAAGAGACCATAGAAGTTTCCAAAATATATTGTTCGGGAGTTCTCCATTTAAAAAATGAAATGTACCAGGAAATCTGCAACGTTGCAGAGCAAAATATGAATTTTTGCAGTTTCACCACTAATGTAAATTAGAAGATTTTAAAAAGGACCTACCTGCATAAAGCTTGGATCGAAATGTAAGATTGGGGTCTGAAGGACCATTCAGTGCTAATTTTAAGCCATCAGGTGACCATTAACAGAGGACAAAGCTGGGAAAAAACATGACAGCCTACAGCAGATAAAAGCTTTTTTTTTTTTGCAGCTCTCATACTCAGACTTAGTTCGTGTAATGCTGCTCCAACTTTCAGAATTGTATAAGCAGAGAGCGTCTATAGAAAGGAAGAAAACCCGTCACTGCCACTGACTTTTAATGGAGCCTTGGGTGGTATTCCTTCTTGTTGACCCACTTGTTCCCTTCCTGTATTTTGTGCACGTTCATATCTAATATTTGTTAGCAGTTAAAGACTTGTCTACGTATGTATTTTCTTAAAACTCTCAATGCACTTGGACTTTTGTAACATAGAAGCGTTTCATAAAAAAATTAGCTTTTTCTAGTAAATATGTTACTTTCGAAAGCTTTAAAGTTTCTCTCAAGGATCAGGAATCATTTTGATCCACGACAGAGAAATTCGAAGGAGGGGGAATTTCAATCGATCTACATGAAATTTGAAAATTGTTTGATCATTTCTATTGAACAGTATCCGAATGATTAAAGATTTTTTTTTTCTTAAAAAAGATCCATTTGGGAAATGGGGCTTTCTATATTTATTTCTCAAAATAACCTGATTGTTAACTATACTGAAAATGAAAAGCTTCAGAAAATTTTAGCTTCTTGGCTGAAAAAATCTATGGAGTTTAGTTAAATTTTACCTTGAATTTCTTCAGTTTCCATGAAATCGCCATCACTATCATCTCCATTGGCTGCATCCTTTTCCAGCTGCTGCATGGCTTCTTTTCTTTTACGGTATGCTGTTACGGCTTTTGGCTTCAACCTAGCGATAAGATTCTCTAAACTATGCGCATCCTGCATGGGCGGAACTTGGTATAATTCACTTTCCTGTAAAAAAATGAAATATTGCATGTTTGAATGAATGTATTTTGAGAGAGCATTTACATCATTTATTGATTTAAATACTGTTTAAAATTATAAATAAGTAAATAGGTACAGCCAGTGATGTGTAAATGAAAAGAATGGTGCCTTTGGACTTGACATAGAAAAACTCTCAGACTTTTCCTGGTTTTCCTTGATCAAGAATTCCTGAACTTTTCACGTCAAAAATTTATATGCATAGAATGGGAAATACGGAAGATGAAATATTTTTCCCAAGCTGCCGGCCTGGCCGAGAGCCTGGTGATTTGGCATGTACTTGTCTCCTTTGGAGATTTTTACGCCAAAGAGACCGCAATCAATTCCTCATCCATAAGTTTTTTCATTAAAAGGACTTGGAATCAAATCCTTCCTTCAAAGTTGACTTGCCGCTGAGGCTCATATACACGAGGCTCATCTGCAAGAAGGTTGCTTTTAGCAGAGGTTCTACGTAATTCTCCTTTCAAGACCTGGAGGTACATGAATAAGGCCTTATGAGAAATAACTGAGAATTAACTTACATCAAGAATGTCTTTTGGTGGCGGAACGTTAAAGCCTGGAAATTCAACCAACTTGTTTAGATCAAACTGATCCCTTTCACCTTGACCCACTATTTCACCATCTTCATCATTAGGGTCTGAGATAGCTGTTAGGACAAGATTATTCTTGTAAAAATGAATGGAATGAGTAAAACAACAACAAAAATGAGGAATAATAGAAATTATACAAAATAATAAACAACTTAAAACGCTTAGACCAGAATCTGCCGAATGGTGATCGATAGAACTCTAAGAGAGAGAAAATTCTAACGGTGGTCCATTTTTAAAACTCAATTGCTACAGATATCTAAGAATGAGTCTAATGAGACAGTGCCAGAGGTGTTCTAGGTTTTTACGATTCTCATGAACTATGTTTGCAACTTGAGGACTAGCGAGGACTCAACAAAAAAAATTCCCAGACTATTCTAGGATTTCCCTGGTTAAAATAATCAAATTTCCTAATTTTAGGCATCGATAATTTGTTAGATGGTACATTATTATTTTAAGGTTTTTTTGCATTTCCAAGTCTGTGCCCAATGACTTTCAAAATCCACTCGCTTTATAGCATATTGCCCTTAAAATCACGATAATTTCATCTACTCCCTTCAGGCTTTGGAGTTTTTATAAGTCACGTCCAAATACTTACAAAAGCCATTTCATTCATAGCTTGCAATTCAAAGAGTCAAAAGCATTTCATTTAGCACCTTCATGCTTTGGCCCTTCAGTTAGTCAGACAATGTTTAATCTGTTTGAAAATAGTCAAGCATTTCCAGAATCAAACATGAAACTTACGTTGACCAGTAGAGTCCAACAAATTAATGCCAGAGTGGCGCACTTTGGCCTCCTCCAACCACCCTGGAGGATAGCCGAGGACCCTCATCCTATAAATATACTCAGGTAACTGGTTGTCTTCAAGTCCCATTGCTTCTCGTAGCTTCTGACTTGGCATTCCAGGGATGGGCGTTCCATACATGGTGCCTTCGTCTTCATGATACCTAGTTTGCCTGAAAAATAAAAAAAAGGGTTAATGAAATGCACAATGACAACTCAAAATTTACAATGATGAATAATTACTTGGGTTGATCTTTTCATTTCTGATTATTCAAGTGCTTTTCAGGATTAAAATCATTCAGACTCAGGATTATTATCATAATACATTGGGGCTGTGCGAGCCTGGTTTTTTGAGTTCGAGCATTTTTTCACTGTAACGAGTCGAGTTCGAGCTTTTTCGAGCTTCGAAAATGACCCTCAAGCCGAGTCGAGTTTGAGTAATTTAGAGTTTTGACACACGATTTTACAATAAAAAATGATGAAAAAACTAAAGGTAATAATAGAATGATCAAAATATTTAGGAGTTGGACTCTTAGGGCATTTCCAGCTTAGAAAAGCTCGAAATACTCGAAAAAACTAGTGTTATCGGCACTTGAGCCGAGTTTGTGTACTTGCTCAAATCTAACCTAATTTTTGAGCCGAGTTAAGTATTCAATACTCGGCTCAACTTGAAATTTGAGTACTCGCACAGCCCTATGCTGCACTATATTTTATTGAAATCTCAAATGGGAGAATGTACGATGACCAGATCCTTATTGAGGGATCACACTTGGAACTGCAGAGAAAATTTGTAAAGCATCGGTCTTCACTTGGAATGTTGAACTTTTATTTTCAAATTCGTACTTGATTATTTCCTCAAAAATTCAGTGATTTCAATACATTTTCAGAACAGAGAAATTTAGAGGTTTTCAGTCAAAATCTTTCAAATTTTTGGGAGAAAATTTTTGTTTTGGACCAGCTTGGCAACACTGAAAGATATTTTAATAATACTCATTAAAAAAGACTGCACAAGAACTCGAGATAAATCACAAACTAGTGGAAATGAGCCTACTAACTTCTTTTTCTTGAGAAATAAGAGTACACTTACGACAAGCGAAATGCTTTTTTGGCTTGCATTTCCATTCGAAACTGATTTATCATTGCTGGATTTCTTCGCTGCTTGCAATCTCTGATCTGATGCCCACTGGTGCCACAATTCCAACACATGGGACCCCCGCGACCTTTGGGTTTCTCCTCTACCGGCTTTTCCTCGCCTGTTATCACTTCATCCGCCTCAAATTTCTGCAAGTAGAAAATTTAAGTCAGTAGATGTGATTAGAATCCGAGGTATATTTCATTAATATAAAGACTGGATTTTCAGTAAGACATATTTGGGCTTGAGGATTCTTCTTAACTGGACGTTAGAAGACATGATGGATCTATTTTTCATTACATTAAATTAAACAGCCAACTCGGTCTTGCTCTATTCATGATGTGTAAAATTTATAAATATGAACTTTTGGATAAAATTAACACAAATCCAGTTTCAATCTGTACTTAAACAGCAGTAGTATACTTCCTTCACTGGACATTAGTTTCAAAGAGATTCAACATCAGTAGGCAGATGTAAAACAATGAAGAAAGTTTACTTACGCTACGATATTTTGGGACAGCTACAAAGTCTTTCGTTGATGGAGTAGTGTCAATTTGAAACAGATCATCGCAATTAACATTTTGCGGAGTTTCAAAAAGAGCTAACAATGAATTTTTTCGTCGAACTGGAGTGATAATTTCAACACTATTGTCTATTTCGTCATGGGTTGAACAGCCTGGGGCATCCTCGTTGGTTGAGTCAAGTATTATTTCTTCCTTGTCAGACTGTTGAGGTGAGAATCCAGTGGAATCAAGGACTATGAAATCTGGTGCGCTGTTCACATCTGCTGTCGGTTTTTTGTTCTTTTTCTTCTTCTTTCTTTTCCTCTTAGGGGGAGGACCAACACCTATTTCATCCAGAACTATCAGGTCCTCTTCGCATATGACATCAGAGTCGTTAGAGTCTACACTTTCTTCAGGGGCTACCATCTTTTTAAAATGAAGCTCTTAATTTTGAAGGAAGAACTAACTATTTTGGCAAAATCTGAAAACAAGACCCATCATAAATTTAGCATAGATAATATTTAAAAAAAAAATGGTTCACGTATTAATGATACCATGAAAAGTATTTTGGTGAATAAATTGCAAAGATTGCATACATAATTTTTAGAATAAACTTTTCAATAAATCAAAATGCAATTTTGGACTAGACGCATCTACTTTAGAAGTCGAAGCTCATCTGGTTGTTTTATATGACAGGACATACATGATAGGTCATAACTATCCTTAAACGACCAATTTTAAATGATAAATGGAATCTTATGGTTCATTGTTAATCACAAGGTTGCACACGGTCTAAAATAAAAATGAGTTTTTTCTGGAATGGGGTTTTACAATCTCTGATTTAGAATTCACTCCAGGTTGTCACAGTCTGACAATGCTCAGTTCATTTGTTTAAATATTGGGAGCTTTGTCAGTGGGAAGATTAATAAAGTCATACATTCCTCTACAGGACAAGTCTAGAATAAGAAGCGATCGAGCTATATGATTAGTCAGCTATGTCGATTGAATGATGGGCAAAAGCATGGCCAGCCCTTAATTGGGCTGAATAATCGACTAGTTGCTGACCAGCAAGGGGGTGCCATTGGAAAGTCAATTTTGTATATCCTGATGAAGAGCTCGAACTGCAGATATCCATAGATGTCTGAATGGCATATCAAACTAATTAAATAGTTCCATTCCACATTGGTGTAATCATGTCCAACAGAAAACCACTTAAACTTAAAAATCTGCCTGCTGACACAGTAAACAAGATTCAAAGTTTTAAAACAAATGAATTAAAAAGTTGGCAGCTGAGTTGACGCACAGGTTTCCGAAGATCTGATATCTGTAAAGGGCTGGACACGTGTTCAAAGTGAAGCTTCAGAGTGGTGGCTGTTTAGTCAAGTGTTGCACATTCGGTGCGGTAATCAGTAGCAACACTTGGCTAAACAGCCACCACTTTGAAGCTTCACTTTGAACAAGTATCAAGCCATTAATAGTGTTGTAACTCACCTTGGGTTTTAAACTGCAGATATCGTCATCTTCTGCACAAAAGAACATATCTTGACTGCGCCGTTTCAGTATTTCTGCCAGCATATCAGTTCTCCATAGGAAAACTGTTGCCAAAACTTGTAAATTTTAGTTTCTTTTCTCACAAATTAAATGAAAAATGAACACTGAAATATTTAAAAAGTTCGTGTGACATTTCTCCCATAAAAAATTACATGTTAGCAAGAGATATTGAAACAATGCAATTGAAATGCGTTCCTTCTTATGGAAATCGACAAAAGAAGTAAGGAATATTTAGACACTGGAGAATCACATCGATATACAAAATACCTGGGCAATAAATCACAGAGCTGAAAAAGAAATAGCTGACAGCTTAACTTACCTTTTTACTGTAAGCTGTCAACAATTCATGTCAGGGTAAATCATCAGCAGATCATGCAGCTACATATCAACATCAACCAGTTTCGTTCTGCCACCTGTCGCAAGAAAAAATAGATGATAGAATCACTGCATATCATTTGCAGGGTAAAATTTGTGTCTAATCACAAAGCTATACTTCATAAATTAATGCTAACAGTCTCTATTGCTAGCCTTTGCACTCCCGATTGTTGATAAAGGAGAGCATTCAGTCGACGTACGGATATTGTTTCAGAGTACTTCTACTCCGATAAATGATGAATCAGGAGGTTTACTTCTACTGGATTTTAATTTTGGCGTATTCCCACTTAATTGACTGGGAATTTCAAGCGAATTGGCAGCTTTCAGGAAAATATACTTAGATAATTAGTTAAAATGAGGCAGATAAACAAAATTCCAAATGCAACTAACCTCAAAGTCTTGTTTTGTGGTGAACACTGGCCAAGACGAAATAATAAGCTTGACAGAAATTTGATCGATGAAACTCACATGTAGACCGCTGTCTTGAGATTCTGTAGTGGAACTAGTGGATACTATGTAGTTGAACTTTTTTAAATTTTAGGATATGTAGAAGGTAGGAGTAGGAAGAGGGCAGCTTTTTGGCCGACAAAATTTCTGTTTTTCACCGTACTTTCTCGTAATGCCAATAGAGAGCGCCACTTCTGCAAGTGAAAATGCCTTCAAAACTATGGTTATGTAAATAACCTGCATAACATTTCTATTGCAACAATTGCTTCCGATAATATTGAAGGCGCACTTTAACTGTGATGCTGATCTAACAAAAACTGACTAAAATGTTAAATTACTTTTTTAGCGCGCTGATTAAAATTTAAGTTATATATTTGTTGCTAATGACTGATTATGCTTTGACTGGTCAAAACAAATATCTGAGAAACTGATGATTTCACATTCAGGGCCAGATTTGTGATTTCACTGCCTACAGCCTCGGGCTGAAGACAAATTAATGCTCCAAGATTTCAAAAGTGAAGACTTCTTTTTTTTCATCTTTCCAATCATCATTCACTAATAAAGTGGCAAGTAAGTCACCCTAAAAATATCCAATTTTTTTACCCCCTTCCTTACTTCTCTATGCTCCGGTATCAATAACTCAAAGTTGAATTTTAGCTAACATGAGTCCTTAACCCTGCGGACAGTCACATAAAACAATTTTTTTGAGTCAATGTTGATAAACTTTTTTTTTTTTTTTTTTTTTTTTTTTTTCAAAATCAGGTTCCTACTTCCACTTAAAAGTATCATCTTGAAATGGCAGCAGTGGTGAATTGCAATGGCATAGGTAAAGATGGTACAGATTTGTCGCATAAAACTCCTCAAGTTTTCGACCGGATAGCTATTCTTGGGTTCTCCAGAGAAAAATTAAAATAAAAATCCAAAGCTTTACAGTTATTTTACAAGTATATTCTCCTTGAAAAGCTGTAGTATAGCATTTATAAAAATGTTTTAAACATTCATGGCTTATTAGAAAGCCTTAGAATAAATAAATTCAGATATCAAGATCAATAATTTACAGAACCAACTTAGCATTAAACTTGCATTCAAGAACATGTTTAAAAAATGAACCGGTCATTATGAGTAACTCTTACATTCCTATAAATATTAAAATTCTAAGAGCAATTGGCTCAGTGAAATATGAGGTTAATCCTTTAAAAAAGAGACATCGATTGTGAATTTAAACAGGATTAAGCTTGCCTTAAAGTTTCATCAGATGAGTTGACGTTTGATAACTATGAACATTTGTACACAGTTGACCGAATCACATATCTGCACTTGGCAACAGTGCTTTTGGTCCATCCTCAGGTATTACTAGCTGGTGGTGGCACAATTGCTAACAAACGAGGTGTGAACAACTGTCACCATCTAACATAAGCTCCACTAAAATTACATTACTTGAGAGGAATACAATTTCTTCTAGCCTGTAAAAAATAAGTCTTTAAAAATCTCTAATCAGTCTTCGCAAATTAAGACACTTATAAAAAATGGTTTACCTGGTGGTTGAAGATGGAAAATAACTATTGTACCTGCATTGTCTCTATTATTTTATTGTTGTCTCTGTTATTTTTTTATTTTTATTGTTTCTATTCAGTTCGCTGTGATTGTGGAGGTAATTCAGGGTGGCAGTAGAAAAAAAAAAAGTTAAGACTTTTTGATCAACAATGAAGCATAAAGAGAAATTAAATCTCATGTTGAGTGACATTAATCTACATGGTTTTCCTTATCAAAGTTATAATTTCTCAAAATCTTCCTTCAATTGGTTGTGAAAGCGAAAAGTTGAAGGAAAGGGGGAAAAATGTATGCATTATTACATTGTTTAACAGTATTGATTAGTTTTCCTTGCCTTTCCAAATTTCCTGACTCAGCGGACACCTTCGGTATGACCTGCGCACATGTAGTGCAGTAAACAGGTAACGTTTAAAAGCCTGCATTTTAGACAGAGAGGGTGAGAAGCCTTTAAAACAATTATCCACTATTTTGAATTCAGGCCCGCCACATCCCATCTCGGGCCCTAGTACCAATTTTCTGACCCGGGCCCCTAGCAAGGGGGGGGGGGTNTGTGAAAATTTCAAGGAATGATATTGATTTGGTCGACTTCAAAAAAATGAAATGCGAGCGTAGATTTTTAAACACCGCAAACGAGATACGTGGTTTGGTAGTTTCACCGTCGATATACTCAAAATCTTGAAAATCTCTAAAAGAGTAAGAAACATTTTATAGTGCCCTAGAGTGTTTTTGAAACTTTATTCACCTTTTGCGGAATTTTTAGGGTAATTTTTTCACTTTTCCCTACGAGACAAGGGTTACACATGAATTCGTAGTGGTTTGTCACCTGCGTCACGGGCCCCTCCAGGGACCCAGTATCCCCCCCCCTTGTGGCGGGCCTGGATAAAGCAGGTAATTCAAAATAGTTTAAATGAAAATTTATACCTATGATAACTTCCAGGAGAGTTCACATGTGAACTCAATGTTGCCCTAAGATGCATCTTAGGGCAACATTTTTTTTCAGGCTGTGCAGCATTACCAAAATCATATCTTTTAAATGCTGGAATATTGTCATTTTTTAACCATTGCTTTGAGAATTGTAGGTACTTCAGCTTTAAACATAAGTCTTACATTACCTTGTAGGTTAAGGATCTAGTCTGTTGAAGTAAGCCAACCAACTAGACGATTGAGCATTTCTTTCATCCAGCATTAAAAAAATAAGAACATGGCAATGTTGTTGTAGATCTTTTATGAAAGGTTATTTTGTAAAGCCTCAGGCTGAAATTTCACCAAGAAGTTTGCATCAGGTTTGGGTTGTATTTTAGTGACCTGTTCAAGTATTCAAAAGAAGGGAAAAAAAAAAAAAAAAAAAAAAAAAAAAAAAAAATCCTATTTTTGCAGACTCTTCTGGTAGCATTTAAAACGACCAGCATATACAGCAGAAAATATTTTAAAACCGATGATTTTGCACTTCAACAGATTGCTAATACAGATTACTAAAACAGATGCTAAAACCGCGATATTAGCTGCCTAAATTATACTGATTACTGAATTACTGATCCTGTCAGTATACTAAATTATACTGCCAAACAGATTGCTAAAACTGTGATATTTCAAATGAGGTATGAAAAACAGTCTTTACAAAACAAGATACATACAAATTAGACTGAAAAAGAGTACAGTAAAAAGAAGAGATCAAAAACTTGCTAACATAACTTTTAAGTACATTTCTATACATATGCCTGCAGCATTTCGATTATTTTAATTACACTTTTTTAGACTTTCGTTGTTAAAATTTATCAGGAGAAAAGCTACGGTCAAAGAAATTGCATTTCAATTTGAAAACTCATTTTAAATTTTTGACCGAATATCATGGTATGTCACCTGAGTAACCGAGAAATCATGCAGCAATATCTAAAATGGAGCAGAATCATTATAAGCATTCTGCTTGTCAATCAATAAGTAAAATTTTAAAAATGTTTTGTTAGGATGAATTTTTACTCGCTAAATATTAAATTCCTGATTTTAAAAGGCTAGAATTATTCCAGACTGAGGCGAATTTCATTGCAAATCAAAACTGAACAGAATTTTTTTCTGGTCGGCTTCCTGAGAATTTTTTCATCCTTACAGTGTTGTTAAATTTTCATGCATTTAATTTTTAGATTAGGTATTTCATAAATAATTTTCAATATTCTCGTCTGTGTCTCCTCCGACAACCAAATTACTAAAACTGTGATCTTTCAAAGGAGGTATGAAAATCAGTTGTGCAAAAAAAACGATACGTAAAAATTAGATTAAAAAAAGTACAGTAAAAAGAAGAGATCAAAAACTTGCGTACATAACTTTTAGATACATTTCTTTGCTTATGCCTGGAGCATTTCGATTATTTGAGCTGCGCTTGGGCGTTCATCTGGCACTTCCTCTGTGCACATATTAAACAACTTAATGGCAAGGCTGTATTCTTCTCCCAAATTTTCTGGTAGCTTTGGTCGAGTACCTATGAAACATTTAATAATAGGATTAGTCACAGATTGAGCCTCAGTCGTTGACAAATCTACCTTTGATCAAAAAAAAGGAAGGACATTCTGTAAAAAGAAAGGTACTAGAATGGCTTTTCGCATTCATATCAACCATCATAGAGTATGAAACTTTTGAATGAGGAGTTTGCAGCAGGTTGCGTATGTATGTTTTAGGTTCCTTGTTTGGGTAGTGCTCTCAGGTTTAAAGGCACAACCTTTTAAGCACACTGTTTTTTATGCTGGCAGTCTTTCAAGCATCCTATTTTTGGGAAAGGAAGCTGTTAGGCGCGTTGTTTTATTTAGAGGCACAATTATAGCAAAACAGCAAATTTTGGGGAAGATAAATTAGGGAAGGCTAAGAAGTTTCTGCATCCCTGAAGCACCTACAATTAAAAATGGTTTGAACGCAACTCCTTCCTCAGATTCATTTACTTAATAGCCTATGGAAAGAATATTCAACTTTTTAATACAAGAAAAAAATTACAATTTATTCAAACTCACCATAGTTCTTTTCGTAAGCCGAGAAGTTTCCACTTGATGCGGAGCTAGTTGAGGTGAGTGATACCTCATCACTGAACACATAAGATACAGAGCTATCTGTGTCAGGAAAGTGTGGTGTTCCTAGCGTCATCAGTTCCCACAGTGTGAGACCAAATGAAAAAATGTCAGCCTTAGATGTAACGCTGCTACCATCTTCATCCTCCAATATTTCAGGGGCTGACCAGGATGGGGTTCCGATGTACCAAGCATCTTTACCAGCATTTTCTTTGTCTAGAACATCATCATCAGTCAACGGCAGGCACACCCCAAAATCGCACAGTTTTATCGATGAGAAATTATCTGAAAAAATAAATAATAGGTGTGCTTGGATCAAGGGTGTAGAAAATTTATGATAAGATGCTCACAGGAATGCCTGACAGGCAATTTTTAGAAATGCTCATTGAGGTGTGACTTGCCTCACAAGATAATTTGGGGTTTTTCAGTGAAAATTGTTAGGAAATAAAAACATACCAACATAAATTGTGAAGCGATTGCGGATAGTATGTGGTGGGAGAGAGACTTACCACATTTTACAACTCTTTTCAGAGCTACATCTGCTCTCCTGAGGGGAAATTAATTTACCTGGAAGAGGAATAATTTCTCAGTTTTTTAAATAGTTGGGTGCTTACTTGAACCTCTTTGATGTTAGATTAGACAAATGGTCTTCAACAATGATACAAACCTTTTATGAGGATATTGTAGGATTTTAAATCTCCGTGAAGTATATGTTTCACACGGTGAAGATAATCAAGACCCTTTGAAGTCTCAAGCGCCACTTTTAGTATAATATCTGCTGAGAAAGGTCCCAAGTTATTTTCTAGTCTCTCCTCTTTCATAGTTCCAAGGCAAGTAGAACACTGTTCAAGAGCAAGGCAATCTGTCGAGCAGAAGACAAAACATGATGAGATTAAATCGGAGGAAAAAATGCAGTTATATTGTGGTTCAGGGTGTCTACTAAAACAGGCTGGCCAAAAATCAGTACTTTTACAGTGCTTTTTCAGTACTTTTCCGAGAAATTCAGTACCTCTCCAATAGAAAAATTCAGTGCTTTTTCAGTACCTCCATCTGACAAAATTCGAAAAATTTCAAAAATTTGAATTTCTCGCTCAGAAATGAAAAAAATTCCGGACCTCCTAGCGGAATTTCGGCACTTTTTCAGTACTTCCGGACCGCCCTTAGAAAATCAGTACTATTTCCGGACTTTCCAGAAATTTCGGACTTGTAGACACCCTTGGGTTGTATTTACTTACACAAGGAAACGGTAATGGGTGAGAACAATTTATAATCGTGTTTCCAGCACTAGCCTGAGTTTCACGAGAGGAGCATCCATTCTTCTGGCGAAATTCAATATATAGTACAATTTCAAAAACTTTCAGAGGCATGACTTTACCATTAGCCATACCTTTTTGGGGAAAATCAATGACCGAAATGGTCTTTACTTACCCACTTACATCATCTACAAAACACAAGACGTCCAAAATGCAACATAATCCTTATTTTCTCTCAGAGTGAGCTTCATTGATTGATGAATTGAAGGTGGATGGGTGATGTATGAGGACTAACAGTGGAGTTTACAACAAAAGATCTTGTTTATGAACACAACATACCGCATGGTGCTTACCTTTGTTGATGAATCCTCGATACCCGACAATATTTGGATGATCCAGGGTTTGCAAAACTTTAGCCTCTTTCTTCAAACGGGTTTTCAACTCATCAACTTTATAATTGTGCCTGATTTTCTTCAGTGCCCACGGAGATCTTTCAAATCCCTCTTTTGGAGGTCTGTTAAACTGATACACATTTACCCCTGGAATAAAATATATAATATTATCAAATATTTATCTGTATAATATGCTTACACTTGCCACGCGAGCTAAGATCTAGGCAAGTGTACTAGTGTACCTATTTGTTTGTCTCTATTGTGTTGTAATCACCTGTGGATGAATAAATAAATAAATACAAATATCCAGACAGTGTTCAAAGGAATTGAACTGAGAAAAAAATCGAATGTATTTAGATGTCACAACCAAAGGCATTATTTCAACTTTTTTAAGGAAAAATTCATAAAATTCACAACAGTTAAAAAGATGAGCTGAACTCTCATTTTCTTGGATTTAAAGGATGGATATTCACCTCAACTTCTGCAAATATTTATGAATAAATGTAAAAATAATTGTCCTTACAGGCTTTGATAACAATCTACTCACTTGATTTTTAATTTGAATCTTCCTGTTCAGGCTCCTCTGCTTGTCAAAATTACTCTTAACAGGGTTTGAGACTAGTGGAGGCATCTAATACATTTAAATTAGAGCATGTAACGAAGTTTAAATGGGCAATAAAAGATCCGAATCATGAGATACCTATTAAACTTTTCGAGTTAAAGCCGTGGAAACAATTGTAACTGACTGGAGAGGATACAATATAATGTGAATTAAGAAGCGTATCATAGCTTGGGAGTTGCATTGAAAATGACATATTCGGGTGCTGAAACCTGATTAGCAAGCACATTGAAAATAATTTTGCCTCTTCTGAAGCGCATCTTCCATGCACTTGGACGATTAGATCCTCTTCGTACCAGAATTTGTATGAAAGTACACGCTTCACACCCAAATTCGACTGCAATTGAAAAGGTACTGAAAAGAGTCAGGAGTCATATGAACTATCTTTTTCCGGAGTGTGCTGAACCTATATTCTGTAATTCGCATCCGGAGATGCATGTTTATTATAGAGTGCCCATATGAATATGACCAGTGCTCAAGCGCTGTAATACTTAATGTTGAGATTGAGATTCGAAAGAAAACTTTGAATTGTACCTGTGCCGTGACCGACATGCTTCAGCTGTGGGGTTGGAGGAATGTTCAGAGGCGAATCTTGTGAAACCTGCCTTATCTTTTTAATGACGGGAGTTTGGCAGATATTTTCCATGCTGAGCCGCAGAACTTTCAATTACAATAATAGGTCACAAATTGCTTTAGGAACTTTCTCACGACAGTGAAGACCAAAGCTTCAATTTTCGAACTCAAACTCAAACTCAAAACTTCAAAAGAAAGTAACGGCTAACGGCTGATAACAGATAACTCTGGTTTGGGAGCAGCGTTGTCAGATGGGTTTACAGGGTTTCCCTTATTAGTCCAAATCTTGCATTTTATTGAGCGTAAATGGCAACATTTAGCGATACTAACGTTACCTACCGTCAACATGTAAAACCTTTTACATGCTTCCCCTCTTCCTCTGTTTCTACCACCCCACTCCTCGCCATGCCCTGCCCCCTCTCCTCCGCCATCTTTATTCTCCTCTGCGCCCTGCGCCTGCTGCGAGGTTGACTATTGAATCGTTATCGAATGATCCCGTCATCCCGATCGATAGATTCCTATCTCAGCCATATCTTTTATCGATCAAGGACATTCGATATCAATTCAACAATCGAGCAGGTTCTCCCCGCCCCGGCACCGAGAGGCGAGATCGGTAGAAAAACTTTTATCAGCGTCTCACGTGGGACCAGAGAAAACCCACAATTTCTAGCAATTTTCGCGTATAAAGCAGTGTTAATTCCATTCAATTCTAAATTGTAGATTCCATCATGTTTGCAAGATGTTTGACAAGTGCCATCAAACTGGTCCAACGACAGCAATCCAGTATTTTCTCAGGTACTTCCATACAATTGGTTCCTATAACCTCTACCTCTCAGCCCCTCTCTCTAAATGTATCTTCTAATATATCTCATTATGACTTATGATGTAATGGTCTTTGAAAGTTTTTTCCCGACGAAGATAGATTTTGATATTCTTCGCAAGGTATCGAACACTGTGAGAACCTCTGGCTTCGTAGTTTTATTTCTCAGCATTGCTGTGGCCATCGGTCTTAGGCTGTACCGTAGCCTATGAGAATGGAGAGGCCGTAACTAGTCAGTTTTGTGACGTCAAGCTGTGTAGAGTAACGATTTTTGGTGTTGAGCTTTCATTTCCTCGATTATTAGACAATGTCACCTATGGGTTAGTTAGTTTTCTGAAGTGAAATTTCATCCTCTTTCGAAAAGGTTCTTATGAATTATTGCAACAGATCAACCCCCGAGAAGATATCGGCACGGAAGAAACACTTGTCAGGTGTTCTCCCCTAAGAACACATGTTAAACGTAGTTACGTCCTCTCCATTCTTGTAGGCAACGACTGTATCTATTTAGAATTTTCCGCAGTCCTTTGTCCTCGTATTCCAATCACTGACTTTATGTTTTTTCAGGTGTGAGAACTCTTTACTCCTCAACAATGATGGGAATAGACAACTTCGCTCAAGTAAGAGAACTTCAAATCGAACAAACTCAAGATACAGCTGAAAGGTTCCGCACAAAAATGGGTGAATTTGTTGATCCCAGCTCCACAAATCTAGTTTTTACGGAGGATTTGAAGCTCATGGTATACATAGCAGCCAATGAAAAAGATGATCTCATGTTACTGGAGAAAATGATGAAAAAGTTAGTGAAATCTTTTTTTTTCTACCTGTTCATCTCAGGAGTGAAGGAAATAATCTACCATGGCAACTCAGAATGTCATTGAAGAGTTACACTTTGTTATACCTGAACATTGATTTTTACAATCCACGCCCTGGAAAGCGGCAGGTGACAGGCAAAGACTAAGACATGCTTGGACCATCATCATAGCGGCCTGCATTACCATTGAACAACTCAGGCGTGAAACTAGTGAACCCTAAAACAACTGATCGAGCTGCTTATCTTAGTGTAAGAGCTCGACCTGCTGTTTCAGGCCCGCCACAAGGGGGGATACTGGGCCCCTAGTACCGGGACCCAGGCCCCAGAGGGGCCCATGCTGCCCGTGACACACTACTTTGAATTTAATTATGATCCTTGTCTCTCAAGGAAAGTGAAAAATTTACCCTCAAAATGTCGTAAAATGTGAATAACTTTTCAAAAACACGCTGGGGCTCTGTAGAATTCTTCTTACTTCTCTGAAAATTTCTATTTTTCAAGATTTTTTAGTGTATAAATCATTTTTTGTGTGTGAATAAACTTCTCGCCCCAAGGGTAATGATCATCTGTTTACCTTTTCTTTATTTTAACCTTCTTGATTTTCATGATACTATAAATTATTTTTCTGGGGCGGGGGGAGGAAGGGTAGCATTCCTGGGGCCTGGGCCTTAAAACTGGTTCCAGGGCCCAAGCTGGGATGTGGCAGGCCTGATCTTACTCGTCTCTCACTTACCACTTTTCATTAGGGATGTCGATACTCAGTATCAATACCGGTTTCGACACAAAGCATCGATACGGGTATCGAGCATTGAGCAGAAGTATCAATACCATCGATACTATTTCTAAGTTATGCTGTAACTCGGAGTTATGTCTGTCAGCTGTTTAATTCCGCCATATTTATGCTTTTCTCTAAACTGCCCCTGTTCGTATGCTGAGTCAACTATTATAAGCCCCTTACTGCTGTTATCGAACCGAGCTTTTAACATTTTTAACGGAAGTAATCATCCTGAAAAACCCGATTATTCCGTTGTTTGACACAGTGCATAGTGAAGGTGTAACTGAAGAGGGAGAGGTTGGTTATAAAAGAAAAAGAAGCTTTCTTCATGGCCAAATCAGATTTATCGATATCGGGGTCTGAGGATCGATACCACATGGTATCGATACTTTGGAAGCATCGGTTAAGTATCAACAACCCTACTTTTCATAGCATAAACTGAAAATACATTTTCAAGGATCAGTTAGACGGACCTGCATTTTTCTTGCTTGGCTTATTTATTTATCATGATTGGCACATGAGTCTTAGGACAAGCATGGTAAACGTTTAGTGGATACTCAGTTGGATACCTGACAATTTAAATCCTACTAAAAACTTTATTTCAGGTACCCAAAAATAAACATGAATGGAGGTGCAATTTTTTTTCTTTCTTGTAGGGCTTGCAAAATAGTGAAATGCTTTCGTAAATAATCTAAGCCCCTGCAAAGGATATGCAGTGTGGTGTGTATGGTTTACTCATTTTTCTTATGATGATTATTCTCTCTAATTTAAGAACTGATATTTCATTTTTTGAAAGAATCCTCTCTTTCTTACTGGACTAAGTTTCTTTCTTAAGAAAGAGGTGAAAATATTTTTTGATGAATTCTCCCATTAATTATGTCTGCAATGAAATATTAAATCTTTTTCTTTTAGGTTTCACAATCAAAACAAGGAATTGCGTTTTGGCACATTTTCATTTGGTCCTGTAGTCATGCGACTTTATACCTTGTTCAACTTGCCCCATGAAGCTTTCAAGGTAAGTTTAATTTTTTTATTTTCATCAAAGCAATTGCCTGCTATTACACAGAGACAAAAAATTCCTCAATAACAAAAGTAATAAGAAAGTGTCAGTCAATAAAGTTATTGGAAAACATTTTTTGAAAAATTTGAGGTAAGTAATCGATAGTTTTAGGTAAACTTGTACGAGAGTATATTTGGTTTAACATCCATGACTTGAGTTTGCTTTTAGCCCTCGGATTTGAATATGAAAATCAACAAGTATTGTAAACTTCCATTTATTTGTTTGATTGATTGATTGATTGATTGATTGATGGACTTGAAACAATTTGATTGAGTAGTTTTCTTCAAAGAAAACAAACCATCATGGGAAATCGTTTAACATTGTAATGCAATTGTGTTGTGTTAAAACTGCTAATGTCCCTTTTAGTGTATTTTCCGAAGGAAATACACTTTCCAGCTTTCAGTTTTTTTTATTTTATTAATACTTTTCAAGAGGTGATACAATCATGAAAATGGTGCAAAGACTTGCTGTGGGATTAAGATAACCCATCAACGAGTATTAACACCTTTCAAATGGTTATGTCTAACTCTGAAAAGTATCATCAACTCCATAAGATTCAAGGCCGGAAAAATAGACAATAGCAGTTTTTGCATGACATTATTCAATTTAGATGCGCGGTTTTGGTATTTAGCCATCAATATTCGAAGCTTTAAGTCTATTATTTATATGTATAATTAAAGATCAGAAAATAGTACATAAATCATAACCAATTCATACAAATCAGTCGCTGCACTATTTTCTAAGATCTATTCCAGCACCGAACTTTCTTTGTATGATGCCTATATGATGTACATTTGGCTTATCTCAAAATAATCCCATGAGAAATTTATATTTACCTCCCGCTGTCTCCTTAACTAACCTGCGTGGATTACTGCCTGGCTTTGGTTGTTGAAAAGAATGTAGAGCCATAAGTAATGTTGAGGCAACCTTTTTGGCATCATTGCTAGGCACGAGGTTTTGCGCTAAATATTTAGAGAAAAAATTTTGAGGAGGCAGCTGAAAAATATTCTCTTTTCTGTGTAACTGCCTACATTTGCTAATTTTATAATCTCTCAACTGTGCAAAACTATCTTGAAGAAGTCCCTACTTACTTACTTTTAAAATACTTACATCAGGTAACTCTTTTGTCTCTTAGCTTTTCAAGGATCCGGACCTTAATGGATTTTTTGACCAAATCACAAGTTTTGTGCTCCTAGCCGATCTCCTTTTCAAGAATGAAATGTACGAAGAAGTCTTGGAAGTCTACAAAATTATTCAAGACAAGCAAATACAGAATATGAGGTTCCCCAAGAATCTAACCACTGTTGTTTTTGCTGCTTTGTACAAATTGGTAAGTATGAGGTGCTTTTTAAACTTTTGTGAGAACCAGGCTCGTAGTAACTATAAATATCTATGTGTCTAACCCATATTGTCGATAAAACCTGAGGTTTTGTTATCAGAGCTAACGCGGTCGCAAACTACAGATCTAAATTAATTTTATAGAAGAGAAGCTCAAAGTGTCTACAGGTCTGGAAAACTAGGAATTGTCAGGGAATTTCATTGGATCAGGGAAAAGTCGAAAATTTCTCAAAATATTTAGTGCGTCCAAAAAGTATGGGGACTGGTGCTGTAACCTCAAAACTAAGAAAGCTATGAGCCTGATCTTGGTTTCATTCGAAAGATTAAGTGAGACCAAGATCAGGTCCCTAGCTCTATTAGTTTTGAAGTCAGAGCACCAGTCTGGATACTGCTTGGATCCAAATGTGGATTAGAAACTTGAAAAAGTTTGAAATCTGAATAAATATATCTGAATAAATAAATATAATAATCTCTTCACACAATCCAACTGAGTCGTGATCTGGTCCGAGGTTCACTGCCCTGAGTTACATTCTGAATAGTGAATAGAGGAATAACTTTTAACAAAGAATTGCAACATTTAGTCAATTGAAGGATTAATAATTGGAGGGAAAAGGTTTTTTTGTTCTTGTCTATCGCACTGAAATTAATGCCGAAAACTTCTCATTTTCACTTCTAAGCTTTTAAATTGCCAAGATGAAAAGTTAGCAAATTTTTTTCTTGCCAAAGTTGTGGACACCCCGGGAGCTGTAAAGGTTTTGCACCCTTCCAATAAGTTACAGGGTTGCACAGTCAGGGAAAACCTGGAAATGTCAGGGAAAAATTGTCAAATCACCTTCATTTGCTTTCTCGAGTGGGTTTGATGTTTTTAACGAATTTTGCCGGAAAACTATTCCTAACTTTGTCTTTTAAAATACTGGCATGTACTTAATGGACCACTAGACAAGGTACAAATTTCACCATTCTGATTCATGTTTCTTAACCAAAATTTCACGTAAAACACGATGCGTACAACGAAAATTACCGAAATCAACTCCTTACGAAGATATTTAATGATTCTTGATACGTGAATTCAAACCACCTGCTCATGAAAACTCAATGCTCTACGTAATTCACATCGCGCGCTAAACGTTATCATGACAGTATCTGCGATTTAAAAATCTGGCAACCTCAATTTTGACGCTGTGGCTCAGTTATAGAAAATTGATTATAGTTTGAACAACACATGGTGGGAAATGAAAATTGCTCGATTGAGAAGCTTGCTGAAACCGTTGTAGTGCGCGATTTGACTAACATAGAGCTTTGAGTTTCTTGTGAGTGGGCAGTTCAAATTCCTCGTAAGCAATGTGAAATAACAACGTTCATATCTTCGTTAGGAGTTACTTTCAATAATATTCATTGCACTAATCGTGTTTTACGTGAAATTCTGGTTAAGAAACATGTATCAGATTGCTTAAATTCGTACCTTGTCTAGTGGTCCATTGTCAGGGAAATGTTAGCGAATGTACTTTTCCAAATTCTGTGGCAACCTTGAAATTAAGGTGAGTCAGCTCTTTTCAGACCACTTTGATACAATTTTATTAATTGTTAATCACAGTGCCCGCATCCGACTGTTTTTCTTGCAGAATACTCCTGAGGCATTTGAAAAATGCGTAGGCTACATCAAAGAAATGGATGAAGCAGGTCACCAGCTGGTCAGGCGAGCAGTTTGTTTCGCAGTTAAGCTAGCCATTAATCAAAACAAACCTGAGCTTGCCAAAGAACTACTGGCACGAATCAGAGGGCAAAATTATATCACAGTGAAAAACTTACAGGTGATGCTTCCTCTTCGTTACAGATGTCTCTTCTTTAATCAAGCTCCATTTAATTTATTGGAATATTTGCTGAGATTGATTAAGTTCACTTTGATTAGATGGGGATTCTTCTAGCAGTCGGAAAAAAATGCATGTTAATTAAGAGACGTTGTTACCGCTGCATTCTTGTACAAATCAATATTCAATCATGTTAAATCAAAGTTTTACGGTGTTCATAATTATTATGAAGGAGGAAGCCAAAACCGTTGAAGAATATGACTCAACAGTCAATTTTCTTTGTGAGATCTTTTTATTTTTAAACTGTGAATGTTCAGGAGAAAAAAGTAAGGAAGTTTGTACGCCTCTTTTTTTAAATACACTGTCTGCATTGGTAATGTGTAAAATCTAAGTTTAAGGATCTGCACATGATGTATTTGTAATTTATTGACTCGTTAGTTTTAAGGTGGTTCATCAAAGCTTTACTGACAGTTGGATCTAAGGACTTTTTTAGAGAATTTCAGAGCATCGTATCCTGCTGTAATATGTCAAGTATTTTCATACAAAACTTGACCAAAGAAACACTTCAAATTAACTCCGAAAGTATCTTATGAGTCAATATCTCAAATCATTTTGCCCTTAGATTTTCAAAATGCATTGGCAACATACTTTAAGAGCTATTTCTAATTGTTTCTTGGTCGCATTTGCTGCATAAATATGTGATGTGATGCCCAGAAATTTTGCAGAAATGCCCTTAAATCTAGAAAGTATAAATCCTCTCTATTCTAATAAAATCATTTTTAAGACGCTCGATGGTCGAGGTGAGAAGGGGGAGTATGACGGTCGATGGGCAGGAGTGAGGAAGGAGAGTTCAAAGGTCAGAGTTTTAATAGAGAGGTTTTTACCTTCAGAGGCCTTTGTTTAGTCATGGACAGCCGTATGTGGCCCTGTCAAGTTCGACCTCCATAAAAATAATTAAAATTCAGAATAAGGAGAAGGTCATTGAAAATAGTGTTGGCGGAAAATTTTTCTTTGAAACATTGTTTTGTTATTCAACTAAAATTATTTGCTCATTAGCCGCCAATGGACGATTTCGTCGATTTCGCTGGCCAGGGGGCAGAGGCCCCCTAGTTAATTGATGAACTATCAAATCTCTCTCTAAAGTGCTGAAGAACCTTTGCAAGGCCATGTTTGATTTTATTAACACTCTCCTAATTTTTTCTTTTTAGATTTTAGCTTTGGCAAACCTAGGTAGGGCCGATGATGCCCTCCCACTTTTAAGGAGTGAAATAGATAATGACGTTCCTTCAAGAAGTAGAGATCAAGGAGGAGCCTTTTTACAAGAAGTTGTAAGTTTTTTCGTCCATATCTTCAAGTCAACTCATTTGCATACTAGCATTTCTTTGTTCATAGTGCTCAGGAATAATGCTTAATTTGTCTAAAATCAGTAACTTTGGATACTTCTAAAAGGTCATAGAGCTCATCAAATGACGCCGAAAATTGAGATTCTTTATCTGCACAGTAAGTTTTATCAGTAGTCAATGAAAAACAGTTGTTCAGAGCTTTTTTTGTTTTATTTACCTCTGTCAAAAATCAAGAAAGATGCTAAATCACTAAAGCAATGAGATTACAGAGTTGTAAGGCTTACCTCACCGGTTTGAAGTTTAATTTGAATTGTAACAAAATCACAGCGGTTTGGACTCGCTGTCACGTAAGTAAAATCACACCAATTTAGGTGGACGAATAAAGAAGGAGAGAATTAAAACATGGGTAAACAAGGCTAAAAGATTAAAAACACCAAAAGGCAGGATGTTTCTAGCTGTTACCAGCTCATTTTCAGCTGCAAAAAACACAAGAAAACAAGTTAAAAATTAAGTGGCGACCTGACCCCAGCCGTTATCACGTAACCACTGGAATTCAGTACGGAACATCCGAGGCAGACACAGTGGCCGCCTACACACCAACCAGTGTGGAAGATGGGTAGGCAACCCCTGCTCCCACACATCTGCCCACGAAATACGAATAGATGACAGACGCGCACTTACTGAGTCCACTTCATTGAAAAAATTGGTGATATGCAGCCCCTAAACCTTCCACATGCAACTTCCGAGCAGACGTGAATCTTTCTCCGAATTGTAGGTGGAAGCACCTGCCAAGCCGTTAACCTACCATGAGCTTCCCGCTGTAGCAACCTGGCAAAAATTTGTGGACAGCAAACTCTAGTGTAGTGTAGTCTTTCTAGTCTTTTCAATTTTTGGAAGCTATCCTGTTAGCTGTACGTCCAATGTCCACCTGGATTTGTGTGATTTTACAAGCCAGCGAGTAGAAACTGTCGTGATTTGTTCAAGATTCAAATTGAGCAATCAGGTCAGGTGAAGTATTTTTATACTTGTAAATCGAAGGACTAAAAGAGAAAGAGGAACTACTGTCAAAAATGCGTCAGATTCATAATGTTTTGATTTGTAGAACTATACCTATGGTTTTATCTATCAGGAAGTCCAAAAAGCCCAACCAAAATACTTGCTTAGGTCATCAGTTTTTCAAAAAAGACAACACGGATGAAAATTTGCAAAACTATGCCACAGAAGAAAGATCCAATTTTTAGAAAACCCAAAAATGTGTTTTTATGAATAAGTAACACTATGCTATAGAGGGTTAAAGTAATGAATTAATTGAGAATTCTGGACACTCAAATTCTTTCAATTTCCATGAAGGCTTATAAATGTAGCTGAAAAAATGTCGTGGTAAGGGTCATTTAGTCTATACATGATCACAAAAACCCGTTCCAAGGAAACAGGGGGCCGACCACCCTCCCTGCTCGCTAGTTGTACCTGTAGCAGCTAGGCACTTGTGTTCGCAGGCTATATAAAATCTTTTTAAACCTTGGGTTTCAAATTTGGGCTCAAAAAGAAGACACGCCAAGCCCTACTTCTTACTCACAACTACAAATTTCATTATGGATACAATAATTTATTTTTTTTATGTGTTTCAGATCGATAGATTAGAAGAGGAAGTCGTAAAATTGGACCAGAAAGAAGTAACAATAGAATTCAATAGGATAAAAGAAAGTTTAAATCAAAACGCACTAGTACAGGACAAGGTAAGTCTCATATTCCTTTTGCAGCTTCATGCTGTAAGAAATCATTTGCCTTTATCATTAGGAACATGGTTAGGATTGACATTTTAACCCAATATGATAAAAAGTTTGAAATGTCCACCGGTCAATATTTTTAGCTATAATCCAAGAAGTGTAAATAGCTAGAGGCACTGACTGTTTTGTCAAGCAGGAAAAGAGAGGTGTAAGACCGGCAGAATTTTCTTTATTTCAAGAAAAAATTCACTCCCCTGAGCTGAAAATCTTCCTTGAGAGATAAAAATGAAGAAGTTTTTTTTAATAAATTTGATACAAATCCTCCGAAATCTTACAAAAGCCTTAAAATGTGCAAGCACAAATTTGAGAACTACAGCAAACAGTACATCTGCCTCTGAAAGACCTGCAGCTCATGGGACAAATATTTTGTCCATTTAACCGAATCATCAAGCGTTCCTCAAGATCAGTTGTGCTTTCACTCATTGACCTATGAATCAATTTTGGCTATAACATACGCAAATCAGTTATTTTGAGCAATACAAAATCATCCTAAAATTCATTCGCTGCCATTGAAAATCAATATTATGCTTGAGTGGGCCAAGAAACGGCTCTCATCAATACCACTTCTTTCAAAACTAAGGCACACCCTGGAGGATCGATGTTTATACTTTGGCCCATTCCCCTAGATCTTTTCTATTTCAATGTTCATCTCAGTGCGTTACTCAGAACAATCTCTCTGAAGAACCTCTCTTTTATGTATAATATCCAGATTTACTTTGAAGCTCCTTACCTTAAAACTCCGCATCAAAATTTTAGTCCTAAAAAATAGATTAAATATCTGTTTTTTCGCGGTTAAGTCAATCCCCGTTTTTGTTTTTTTCACAGAGTCTGGACTCATTTTTACTGGCCGAAATCAACATTACTCCCTCTACTCCAGAGAGATCGTTTTTCGAAGGCGGCTTCAACACGAGGAACCCTCGAGACGGTAAATACCAAGACAGGGGTTTTGCACCTAGAGGCAGAGACAGCTATGACCGCAGAGGCAGCTTTGACCGCAGAGACGGCTACAACCGCAGAGACAGCTACGACCGCAGAGATAATTTCGACCGCAGAGATAACTTCGACGGAAGACGAAGAGAAAGACCAAATGGGCCAGGCCTCAGAGACCTAGTTTAGTTGCCAGAAAATAATTTGGTATCATAGATCCCTGGAAACTTTAATAGTGCTCTTAGATTGTGTTTATTCGAATCTTGGAGACTCTCGGGTAGCTGCCAGTCCAAACGGTACTTCAAGTCAAAGTTACATCTCTAGGTCATGAATCAAGGAGAGAAAATTGTGCTTTAGGTTCTAATGCGCAATCGTTATTGCAGGATAAATATCTCTGACCCTAATAAAAGTATAGTTGATTAGCTGTGGGTCCACTTTCCTCTAAGGGGAAGTCAAAACCTGGTATAACCGTAAGTTAGTATGGACTGCAAGACGAGATACAAAATGGAGCGTTACAAACATCTCATCAAAAGCTTAAGCAGAAACATTTGACGCAATGAAACTTTCCAAATTTATCTTACAAGTTGGAAAATAATGATTTTTGTCTGTGCTAATTCGCTTTTCCTGCTTACAGAGAAGCCTGAGTCTACTCTAGCAAATTGAGCGCTAAACTAATTTTGATATATTTCACGATGGAAGAATTTTCTGTGAACGAACTTTTTTTGGAAAAAATTAAAGGTATCTTGTATCAGGAGAAGAAGGAAGTGTGTGTGAAACTAAGCTTTATTTCCCCAACGCACGGGTTAATATCTCTTCCTAATTTGACCCATATTGATCATAGTCTTTGAAGGAGAGGGAAGTTGAAATTGTCTGTTAATAATGTAAACTGTGAACGTTTATTTCTCACTTTTGAGTAGAATGTGGAAGTTTTTTTATATGTTTTACCTTGTCTACGTAACATATCGACGGTGAAACTACCAGACCACGTATCTCGTTTGCGGTGTTTAAAAATCTCCATTCACATTTTATTTTTTTTAAGGAGATCAAGTCAATATCATTCCTTACAATTTTCACAGATTTTTCTCCGCACCAAGAGGAAAAATCACGGAAGTTTTCACGAATTGACGTTGAGTAGTTTTCCAATTAAAAAATAAAGTATGACAGGAAGTCTGCGACGTCGCAAAATGAGATACGTGGTTTGGTAGTTTCACCGTCGATATTGTTTAGTAGTCATGTGTTGTAGTGCTTAATTGCTTACCTTTTCTGGTTGTCCATCAGAGTTATGTTCTCTAATGAATTTCAGTGCAAAACTGTAGAAAAAGAGTGTTCAGCTCAAGTAGGTGCATTGGAATACTTAGCTGGGGTCCCACAAAAACAGAGGACTCGTACAGTTTGGCTCTGTTTTAGCGTTTTGATAACTCTCTGCCAATTTATAAAAATCAAGCATCAAAACCTTGACAACTCTTATGAGGAATTTATTGCCTATTCAGCAATAAATGTTCTCAATAATTCAAAACTATTCTTGTCAAAGAATAAGATTTAACCGTCAAAATTTTCAAAAATTTGTATTCTTTTTCCACCCTAAACCATACCATACTGCTTGAGGCCAGGAAAGGGGTCGATATGTTGCCATGGACTGTTGGCTCAGTTGCCTGTTGGACCAAGTTTAGCCAAAATTCACCGAGTTGCATTTTGGGAACAATTAAGTAAGGGATAGTTTTGAATTTAACCAATCATACATTTTCTCCTATGAAAAATTCAAAGTTAGGAGGGAATATTTGGAATGTGAGAATTGTCATTAAACTCCATCCTTGATATCATCTTATGGAAAAATATATTTTAAATATCTTTTTCCGGTTTCAAACTTGATGTGGCTGTGTACGTTTGTGTTAAACTCTGTCCAGTATTCCTATTCAATTATCTACTCCTGATTTTTTTTTCTTGATTTATGACTTGGATGTCGTAATCAAAGCTTTTCATAAAAGTTAAACCATTGTATTATACATTTTTTTTTTTGTCTTCATTTTTTGAATAATGGCCTGTAAATACTGAAATCATAAGAATAAAATTTTTTACCTGTTATCATTGTCTTTATTATTTGATTCTTTGTCACCATGACAAAATCCAGTTAGAATCCAAAAGTTTTATGAAGCTTCAAAAACCACCATCACCGAGAGGATTCTCTCTTTAAAACTCCTGAGTGAAAACATTTTTCATCAAAATTTTATGAGACATTGATCCTCTATGACCTGCTTACAACTTTTCAAATATGATTAAAAACTAGCCTTTCACCGCTTCATCTAATCACCGTCGAAAAATGTTCTCAGTGTCAACCCATCTATTTTGATGTTCCTCAAGTCAGTTAAAGCGAATCTTTAAACATTTTCATAAATATGAAACTTGTTTTCATTTATTGCAGCTATATTTTTGTAAAAACACTAAAATGGGAAGCAAGAATCAAGTTGAAAGATAAAACAGAAAGATGACACCAACGTGTTAAACTGAAACAATTTTCCTCTTTTTACTGAATGGGGGAATGAAGAAGGATTTTGGATGACTATGCTACCTCCCATTATCAGTGTCTTGCACTGTCTTTAGTCCTCAAATATTTTGGAACTGTCAGGGATTCATGACCAGCAAGGGCGCAATACTTTTTAGCTTGTCTAAACCCTTCCCCTAAATTTGGTACAAAGTTGGACAGAAAACCCCTAAAGTTTTCGAAATCACGATTATAAAACAAGGACAGATGACTTTGATTTACAGCTCTATCGCAGCATGTGAACTTGAATGTATAGGGAAAAATGTATTGTGAGCCAACAAGAATTCAAAGAATAGTTGTTCAGTACAGGAACTTTAAATTCATCAAAACCTTATTAAATGGTAGCAAGACACTCTTTACTTTTGGGTCACCCCCAACTCCTTGCTTCGTTACATTGACTCACTGACTAATAAGTGATTCATGGATGTTACATAAAATCGGCAGTTGGAAATTTTTCGTAAGTAAGTTCTAAGTCCTATGTCGATGATTCACTCTTAAACGACTTTCAAATTTTACCGCTTGTGCAACGTCACCGTGTATCAGGTTTACCAAAACTCAAAGTGAGAAAAAGTTGGTTGTTTTGTGGTAATTTATTCCTCGTAATTTGTATTTACGATCAGTAAAAAATTAATGATGGAAACGTCTGTATCCTTCCTCAAGTAATTTTTGATTTTAATAAATGGGAAAGTCGGAAGAGAGCTTTTAGTAAATAAATTGTTCACTGATCAGAGGTGTTGTCAATGAAGTTTTCGAGATCGACAAACTTGAATTCCAGTTTTGAGGTTAATTAATTACTGGAGTCGGAGTCTACCTTGAGCAGCCACCTTGAGCCGAGCCGCTGTGTACCTGTGAGATTCTTATGATAATAGAAAGTTTTTGGGGCTAAAGTCCCGTTGTTTTCACAAAAATTCAGGTCGTTGTCTTCCCTCCTTTATTTATTCATGTGCCCGTGGAATGGATGGTTCGGACTGCAAAATTAGGAAAAGGATCTTACACACTGGCAAGGAAGTGAAACAATTTCAACCCGGTTGCAAGGTAAATTCTTAGACACTTTCTTATCAGTCTCTTGCTTCTAACGAGAAATTAACGGGCCTTTTTTTTCTTTCTTTCTCCTTACACGTATGTATCCACGTATGACCTACTGCACGAGAAACTTTCTTTGCCTCAGTGAGAGTGAAATCAGATTCTGTCATCTTTGGCCAGATCAGGGTTTTGCTGATAATGAATTTCACCATTACAAGCAAATACAGTGCCTCTCAAAGAGTTCTAGTTTGGAAAAAATAAATCTCTCAAATAATTTTGTAACAGGTACTTTGATTTAATTCTGTTACTTCTGAAGTGGCTGAGGAAAAAAAGCTAATATTTAGTTTGATTATCTTTGCTATGGATTTCGATTTTACGAGTTGATATTTTACCGTCCCCTGAAATCAAGGCTTATCTTTCTTTCATTATTCCTATAATATTTTTCCTCGGAAGCAAATAAATTGTTGACCTGATTCAATTTTGCTTTTTGAATTTGATTCATTTGAAACCTGTCAAAAATTAAATTTGAGTCACTCATGGTGATTTCGATTTTCAGGTACGTTTCCACTTTCGCACTTGTCTCTGTGATGAAAATGGGACAGAAATCGATGACAGCCGTAAACTGGGGAAGCCCATGGAACTAGTTCTGGGGAAAAAATTCAGATTAGAAGTTTGGGAAACTGTTGTGCAGGCTATGGCAGTTGGAGAAATTGCAGCATTCCATGTAGATAAATCTGTAAGTAAAATTTTATTCATCACTTTTAAGCTCTGTAAGTCACTCACTCATTACTTGGTAGTCATCGGAAACAATTTATTAAACACATTTTGAAATTTTTGTCTGTGAGAAGTAATACACTAATATTATTAGGTACGGATGCGTGACTGCCTCAGGAGAGATTTTCTCAGGGCAGAAAGAAGTTATAAAACTCCAATAGTTTGCTACCACCTGTCGTTTTTGCACCTCAGTCATATCTTCAATATGCCTCTTGGCAAAATGTCCAACTTCATGATATATTGAGCAAAAATGAACTCGCCAGATCGAGAGATAGGGCATTTTCCACACCTTTGAATTTTTCCGCTTGAATGAGACTATAAAATATCTTCATGAGATTCCTCTGACAGTAATATTAGATGGAGCTTGTTTTTAATTTGGAAAGAAATTGGCAAGTCAGTAAATTAATGGAATAGGTGTCTTAGATGAAAGGAATTTGTATTGTGAGGAAAAAATATTAAGAATAGTCGTAGGCAGATGCTGAACAGGATGAGACTCCGGAAGTTAACCGCAACAAATGAAGAAAAATTAGGAAAAAAAATTCTGCTAGTCGCTTTTAATTAAAATTTTGATGGCGGAATCAGAAAATTAAACACTCCTGGAAAATTACACCTGTTCAAATGTGTTTTCGTGGTGGAAATATTTGTGCTACCATTGGTGCTGTTCTCATTTCAAAAATACTCTCCAAAAATGTTACCAATAGTGAAGGTTTGCTTTTTTATTAAATAACAGAAGCAAAGTTTTCCCATATCCCAATCGAAATATGGTTTTTTTTTTCTTTTTTAGTAATTTTACCATCATTGCATCATTTTTGACATCAATTAATGATTACCTAAATGTAAAAAATCCAACAACACTTACTCGAGTATGTAATAGTGGCATGGCATAGCAATAAAACCTTTCCAATTCTAAATTTTCAGTTCTCTTCTGCTATCTTTTATTGTTCACTTATCTCGTCAATTATCATTATTTTTTTTATGTATCTATTTTCATTTAAGATGTTCAAGTTCAAAGCAAGGAAAGTTGGGAATGTCTTGCACTATCCCTTATTCTTTAACCTTCAGGCATCTGTGAAGCTTCAGAGTTGTTTCTTGCGTCTTTTCCTTCTCCCTTGTATACTCTCCCTTCCATGAACATTCCACTCTCCAAAGTTCCGTTTTTTGTCACGACTTTCATGGTGCGCAAGAACCCCAAAGTTAGTGTATTAAGTTTACCATAAGATAAGATGCACAGTTTGTGCTAACTCTCTATGTGGTTAGGTGAAAACATGGTTATGATTTCAAGCTTGTCCTTTCTCTGTGTTACTCTTAATTAAGATGAAACAAATTCATCAAAATCTTATGATGTAAAAAATAAAAATTGAGGCACTTGTACCACTGATCGAGTAGCATGATTTTGTTCCATTCTATGCTAGAACATGTAATAATACTGAGCCCTTTGGTTTTTGTAATATTTTAAAAGGTGTACTTAAACCAAGTCTTGCAAATTTGGGAGCAACATCATTGAAGTTTTGTAAAGCACACCCAAGCATATTTTAAAGCACATTTTTGTGCATGTAGCACATCTTATCGTATTGAAGGCCGATACTGCCATCAAGATTTATTTTTCATCGATCATGGGCCAAGTGCCATAAAATAAAAAATTACGTTAGATGTAGCATTGTGCTGTGCTGTGAGCACCAAGGAAAAAATACTACAGGCATACTGCTGCATAACAGGCTAGGTGCTACCAACACTAGAGTAGCCCCCATAATGTCCGAAAAGCAGCATTATAGAAATTAAAGTGTCAAAAAAATTAATGTTATCAGAAATTGAATTGTGAATAACTCAGAATTAAATTTGTGCGCTCAGCCTGTTTTTGATGTCAGTCTTCGATTGTTCTCTAGCATTTCAGATGATTTTTGTCTTGGAAGGGGAAAACTCTAATGTTTCTTATCAAAAGTTTATTCTTTTGTTTATTTTAAAAACTTGTTCCTTATAATCAAAGGGCCTGTTTCGTATTTTCAATCATATAAAGTGAAAATAAACACCATTTAGTTATCCCTCGTGGTAGGTAGAATCATTTCTCTGTATTTTTAACTGCGACAATAAAAGCAGCCGCTTGTTTTTAAAAATCTTACATTTGTCACAAAAGTGCTTCAATGCTAATAACGATTTTCGGGGGAAAAAAAGAAAGGCTGAAAGGGTATAAGTACTGTCAACTTGTTACTCTCAGCACCTAGCTGAAAAATTTTGGCTTTGCTTCTGCGGTGCTCTCATTTTTCACTGATTTAAATGCTAAAAGTGGGTTAATGTTACTTTAATTTCTGTTTTTTGATGTGGGAGGTAGGGAACTAGTTTTTATTAAAAATAACATTCATCAATCAGTCTATTTTTCATTTTCTTAAAGGGTATTTCTTTTATTTTTTACCTAGTCACGGCGGGTAAATTTTGTCATATTTCTTTTTTTTCTTTTTTAGGTTTTATTGTGAAACTATTTAAGTTTACAGTAATTATTTTACATTAAGTGGCGCTAAATATTCTTCAAGATGGGAGCCAGGCCAGAGGATGTTGGCATTATTGCCCTTGAATTATATACCCCTGCTCAGTGCGTGTCACAAGAAGACCTGGAAAAATTCGACCAAGTTTCGACTGGAAAATATACAATTGGCCTCGGTCAAGAAATGATGGGTTTCTGCTCGGATATCGAGGATATCAACTCAATTTGTTTGACTGTTGTCAGCAGATTAATGAAAAATTATCAGATAGAGTATGCAGACATCGGTAGACTGGAAGTAGGAACTGAGACGATAATTGATAAATCAAAAAGTGTGAAGACAGTTCTTATGCAACTCTTTGAGGAAAGTGGAAATTTTTCCGTGGAGGGCATCGATTCGAAAAATGCATGTTATGGTGGAACGCAAGCTGTATTCAATTGCGTCGACTGGGTAGAGTCGTCTGCTTGGGACGGACGGTATGCCATTGCGGTAAGCGCTGATATTGCTGTTTACGCTGCTGGTAATGCCAGGCCAACTGGGGGAGCGGGTGCTGTTGCTATTTTAATTGGAGCTAATGCACCTCTAGTGATTGAAAATAGTCTCCGAGCTTCATTCATGAGTCATGTCTATGATTTCTATAAGCCAGATCTGACTTCGGAATACCCAGTTGTCGATGGAATACTTTCAATCAACTGTTTCCATGATGCTTTAGATAACTGTTACAAAACTTATATTGAAAAATTCAACAAAAGATCTGACTCGAGCAAATTCTCAAAATTTACAACCTTCTTTGATGCTTTAGTTTTCCATACCCCTTTTTGTAAAATCACACAAAAAGCCTTCGCCCGACTAATCTACCGAGACATTGTTAGATCCAAACAAACTGAGGGAGAGCTGAACAGTATACCGCCCCATATCTTAGAGGGCGTTAATGACGAAGAGGCAGAGAAAAATCTAAATGCGTTCAACAAGATCAAAAACTATGAGAAATCCGTCATGGAATTTGCATCCGCTCACTATGAACAAATGACACTACCAAGTTTATTCTTGGCAAAGAACATAGGGAACATGTATACAGCTAGTTTATATGGAGGCCTCATTTCATATTTGATCTCCAAACCTTATGAGTCATTGATTAATCAACACATTGCATTATTTTCTTATGGTTCTGGTCTATCATCCTCCTTGTACTCCATTTTCATTAAAGACAAGCCTGCTCTGAAAACATTGGTTCAAAGCATATCAAAAATTCCCAGTGAGATGAAAAGCAGGAGAGTTGTAGCGCCAACTGAGTATACAGAAATCTTGAAATCAAAAGAAAATTTTGCTAGTGAATTACCATTCACACCCTCTGCTTCACCCGACTCACTGAACAAAGGTGTGTACTATCTAACGCTTGTTGATGAAAAAAGACGAAGGTTTTACAAAGTTACTTAGATTCAACATTTTGAGGGTATCGGTTACTTTCGTGTGCAATGGTATTATTTATTAGTTAGGTAAAGGGAAGATTTGCTCAAGACAATAAAAAATTGTCACTTAGGATCGGGCCTGTCTTCGAAAAGATTCTGATATTTTTTGAACTTATTCAAGACATAATATCGATTTTTGCCAAGAATTCTCATAAATCAATCTTTTTTCCGCGTAAATTTTGGTCAAAGTTGATCTTATCCATAATATAGACTTAAAAACGTAGGTAACAGACTGCTTAAGACAAACTAACACTTTTTTCTTGTTGAACTTACCTAAGTAGAGATGAGGTGAAGCTGTGTTTCTGTTGATTATTGTAATAGAATTGAGCCACATTTTGCAATGAATGATTTATACTTCTAGCTCATTTTAGAAACAACAAATAGGTATGCAGATTTGTGCTTTTAAGGGGCCAAAAATGGTAGTCCTCATCACGTTATACAGTCCAAATGATGGGAAGTGGAAAAATTGCTTTACATTTTTGCAGTTTCTCAAAAATTGAACCTTCCGTGAAGACTTCCTTTTCTGCTGCGACATTTCATAAAAAATGAAATCATCAAGTTTTAAAATGACAGAAAAAGATATGGAAAACTTATCGGTCCCTCATAAAGTGTATTGAGCACTGATTAGTTCCTTGTGTGCATTTTCTCTTCTCTTGCTTGATAAATTCCTTTTCCAATAGATGTCACAGCACAGGGGGCATTTCATTCTAGTGTTTCAATTCTCAGAAAAAGAGCAAACTCTAATTTTGGTTTAGCCTTGCGATCATCAATAGAAGATGGTATCATCCTAATTTTATCCCCCAATAAAATTTTTTACTGAAAGCTTGTGCTCCAGTTTTTTTTATTGCTTTAGAACCCATTCAATCAAACATTCATGTTCAGTAGGAGCCTCATCACTATGCAGCTACTAAATAGAGTTAATGAATTGAAATATTTGACACATTAAAAAAACTCACTGATCCTAAAAAAGTGTTTTAATAACCTAACAGAAAATGTGAAGAGAAGCCCGGTGAATATATGTTCGATACGGTTGTTTTAACAACAGCATCCATGTCAAATTGAACGTGCCAGTTAGTCCCTCAAACGGTGTTGCTTGTTCTCATGTAAGGAGTAAAAACTCTCTCAAGCGATTCATGTCCATTCCTATTTGCAGAATTTTTGAGGTACTGCGATGGGCCTGTAGACAAGGTCTGAATTGAAGCACTACGCAACATGCTTTCTCGCAATAATTTTACGGGAAACACAACAAATCATCTTACAGGGGATCTAAAAATTAACTCTTTAAGAATAGAAGTGTTTACGATAAACATTGGTTATTTGACAAAAATACAAATTACATCATTTGTACAATCTAACTTCCACTTGCAACCGATCTTTGTTGAAAATACTTGTTATCATTTTGTTAATAAGTACTTGCGATTGTTGAACTTCTCCTGGTGTAAATAATTATCCACGTTATATTTTGTAGAAAAAACATACAACGTTTTTTTTAAATTCTATTTCATACCTACCTTGTTTAGAGGCCCATTCAAGTTTAATGCTCAGGAAGTAGAAATAAATATTTTTCAGATTAATAACCATTCTGTATCGATTATCTGGGAATGTACACTCCACTAACTCTCCATTTAATTCTCATGATTTAATGTGCCAAAGATTAATAAAATCCAAGGGAAGCAAACGACCCCGTGTCTCTCAAGATAGACTCGGCATGTCTTTGTTTTACTATCACTGACAAGAAACAATCTGTTGAAGTTAAAGAATTTATTCTATGCTTAAGTTTTTAGAATGTACCCTCATTTCGTTGATAGGCCCTCTAGGACCCTGTAGCTTTAAGATTTTGTAATCTCATTCTCTTTTTTGTATAATGTTGTTATTCTTACGTGGTTTTTGTATTCTCCATGGAATTGGCTATAATTGAGTAGTTTAGATTTTAGCGTAATGGTGATTTGTTACGGCTCAATTTTAAATTGACAGCGTTTCTAGCGAAAAGCACAATAAATATTTCAGTTATATGTTTTTTCGTTGTTATTGCCGCTCCACACTCTTAATGGTTATCAAAGGCAGAGTTCTGCTCATTAGATTCAAAATTAAAGTCAAAATGCTACCTGTAAAATTTCGTTACTTGAGTACATTGAAAGTCGTACAAAAAAGTCCTTGTTTTACTGCCAAAAAAATTCATTTGAAATACAGCAGTGGTAAAACTGAAAAAAATCTTGCAGTGTCGCAAAACTTCTGCTGTTTGTTTTTTAGAGACAAAACCATGTTTTTGCATGAATATTTTATTACCTCCTTACACAAGAATGCATATCTTGTCTGCTCTGTTGCAGTATTTCTACGAATATTTAATTTTTTCATTGGAAGTCAGTCGCATAAATTAGTTAAAAATTTTAGTGTATTTTCACTCAAGTTTAAAAAAAAAAAAATCTTTAGAAACTTTAGGCGATTCATGATACCGTTTTCTTATAAAAAAAATAAATGTTACTAAGAAATACTGAAGAAACGCAGTTGAGACAGGCTCCTTTGAGTCATAAGACAAGAATTTCTAGAAAGGTAAAAAATGAGCATACGGATGTTCATCAAATTCAAATTCTTGATTTTTCAAATTCTTGATACTGACTAAATTTTACTCTGTGGACTAAAGTTCCTTACAATTAAATAAAATAGATTGTGAGTGGGACTATAATATGTATCAATGAGATTGCAAAAAAAATGGATTACATTTTGCAATAAGGAACCACCATTTCTGGCCCATTTTAGAAACAACATACACGCCATTGCTTTCCCCATACAGATAAGTGCTTTTATGGGAGAGCCAGAGATAGTGGTTTCTTATACTGCACAATGTAATCCAAATATTAGAACTTAGGGGGAGGGATTAAATCTAAAGCTTTTATTTTTCTCTCTTGCAGTTTTTTTTACTGCACTTGATGGTTTAAGAATTTCTGAGGAAACATCCAGATCTCTAGATAACGTTCTAGCCAACTTCTTACCTTTGAAAAAAGTTATATCGTGTGATAAAATCGATTAAATAATTAAATTTCAATTTCTACCAGGAAGGTCAGAAAAAGTGACAGCAATCGGCATTAGCAGAATAAGGAATTTCTCATGGGGCCAGAAGTTCTTTGAGAAGTCTGTCAAAGAGTGGTTTCTACTGCTATAGTAATAATAATAGCGATCTCATTTTAAAATTTCTAAGGATGTGGCTTCCTTTTTCTCACCTTTTATCAATCGTAATCAAGCTAAACAACTTTTCAGCCAAATGTCTTTATCAATCAATCTGTAAAAAATGGACCACATTTTGGAATAAGGTCCACAACTTCTGGCTCATTTCAGAAACGACGGACATCTTTTCCCATGTAGATGAGTGTTTTTATGGATGAGTCAGCAACTGTAGTTCCTTATGGCAAAATGTGGTCCAAATATACGGCTTTAAAATACACGAAAATTGCTAAGGTAACTAGTAGAAATAACACGAATGCAATAATTTCTGATTAAGTTTGGGAAACCCTTCAGAAACTGAACAGTTTAAGAAAATCAGAGGGCCGCAAAGGCAAGTCTTTATTTTGCAAGTGCCAAGGCCGCAAGGACCTTAATTTTTTTTTTTTTTTTCAATTGAACTTCTATAATCAGTCATGTTGAAGATCCTTGTATTTTCATGGAAGACATCTGAATGTTTGACTGCTGATACATTCCCACAAGCCAGAATTAATGTTCTGGGATTTTTACAAGTAGCCGCATGCCGAGTTATTCGAGAAAATACTACAAATTTGCATTGAATCTTTCTCTTTTCAATAGCTGTGCACGTACTACCCTTTTGTGTCGAAAACCTTACGAGATGTCAGCAAGCCAGATAAACCACCTGTTCGCTCTCATTGCTGCGGAGGCTCATTCCAGTCAGAGGGAACAGGCTATGAAGACCTGAACAAGCTTGTTGAGAAACCGCAAGATCTAGAATTCACTATCGGTAAATTTGCTTTTTCAATTTTAAGTGTATTAAAAGTAATTAAATATATTTCTCCCATTTTTATGTTAGAAAAATTTCAGAAGGTAGTGAGGAAGCAGCCGCTTTAAGATTCAGTCATAACTTTGAAAACCACATTGGTCCATCGGCCAATCAGAATGCAGCTACAACCCTGTGACAGTCATTGCTGGCAAAATAGGCAACATATCTGCTGCTCTCTCCTATTTATTTAAAGATGGCAGTGGCTCCCCTTTTTTGGTTTCAAATCATAAGGGCCATTGGTTAATCTTTTTATGATCAAAATAATAAGAGCGTGCCTACTTGTATAATGAGTTAAAAAAATAAAAAAAAAAAAATAAATAAATTAACGGACACCACAACCTTTACCACATGAATCGTCTTGACCATTATCCTTTTGGCCAGCACAAGATTATAAAACAAGTGCATCATTTTCTGAGATGTGCTAGTATTCAGAACAAATTACAATTTTAGATATTTTTTGCTCTTTGCAGAGCTGTTGGAGGTAGCAGCACCCAATGAGTACAGTAAAGAAAGTTGGCAATTGACAGAGGATGAAAAATTGAAAGAGGTGCCAAAACTACAAATAGCAGGGAATGAAAAGTACAAAAACAAGGATTATGAAGGAGCGGCTTCAACATATGCTACAGCAATCGGATACTTAGAGCAGTTAATGATTAAGTGAGTATTTGTTGTAAATAGTTTTGAAAAATGTCCCAATTTCGTCTCCTTTTTTTGTGGAAGGTTTATTTTCATCTTGCTTCATCAAAGGGACTGCTTGCTGCCATGTCTCGTCTCTAATGAGAACTTTTTTTTTAATTCCATATTTTACCTCCTAATTACTTCTTCATTGGATTAAGTTATGCAAGACAGTCACATCATAATTGTGGAGTTTCAAAATCTGAACTATTTTAATTTTTTGGAAAGAAATGAACCAGCATCTCCACTCGAAAATTGTTGCAGTTTTTTTTGCCCACGTGAAGGTTATTTCTAAAAACTTGTAAGTGAAAATGTTGATTGGTTTCCTTAAAAAAATTAAAATAGGAAGTGAGATTTTGAAACACTGCAATGCAGATATGACTGCTTTGCTTGACTCTTCTGATTGTTGAGAGATATCAACAGTTGGTCATAAATTAGAAAAAAAGGATTTTTCAACTGGCATGCTCTCTACTAAAGGAGCATCGTTTGTACTAAGAAAGCAGGTTCAAAACAAGTCGTGGAGAAAAATGATGAACACTCGGTCAATTTTTTTTGTTCTTACAATATGAAAAATGAGAATAGTTACAGAGAAATAATTTTATAATTCGCTAATGCTACTGCAACTTTTTTCATCGAAGTCTCATTTTTCTGTTTAGTTTTTCCTTCCTACATCCGTGAAGAGAATTTGAAAATATTCCTCAATCCACCCACAGCATATTTTACTGAATACAGAGCAAGTTCGGGTGTTAATCTAAAATCTGTGCTAAAAATAATGTGAGCACAACCAGTCGACCTCTCAATGAGTATCAGCGGTGAGAGGCGAGTAAATCAGTATTCATGTATGCGCATGTGATTAGCCGGTGGTGGAGTCACACTAGCAAATTTGAGACATCTGAGAGGGTGATCTATTTTTGTCTGTAGGAGAGATCCTAGCTTGGAAAACGAAGATTAAAATTGAATCATTTCACTGCTTAACAAGCTCACTTGACTTGTAGACTTCACTGAGAAATATAAACCCAAAAAAAATGGAATAACAGTTCTTTTCATAGAGAATCGAGTCGCTTGCAAGGTAGACATATAAATAAAAAATATTTATATGTTTAGACGACTTCATGGTAGATACTCATGTTGTATTAGATAAGAACATGAGAAGTTGGTTTGTTTTAGTGAACATTGGCTATTTTTACGCATGGAAGCTACGTTTTCTCCATCATCAGACACTAAAAATACTTGTTGAAAAGGTATTAACATACAGAACCAGTTGGTTCTATGTAAATATTCTATGTTTTTAAGTGCTTTTTAAGCGTACTATCCTGATGAGCATTTGTTGTGACTGGGAATTAACATGGGGAGAGACCCTGACTTTCACAGGAAAAATTTTTAGGAGAATGAAAAGACGTAGTTTCGCTCAAAAATATCGAAGAATGTACTTCGATGAAAACAGGGTGTCTACTAAAACAGGCTGGCCGAAAATCAGTACTTTTACAGTACTTCTTCAGCACATCCCCAAGAAATTCAGTACTCCTACCAGAAAAATTCAGTACTTTTTCAGTACCTTCATTAAACGAAATTCGAAAAATTTCAAAATTTTTAATTTCTCACTCAAATTGCAACCAAAATGACAAAAATTCCGGACCCTCTTGAGGAATTTCCACTTTTTTTCAGTGCTTCCGGACCGCCCTTAAAAAATCAGTTCTATTTTTGGACTTTCCGGAAATTCTGCACTTGTAGACACCCTGGAAAAGCAAAATTTTGGGCCATAATAAGAAACTAAACTAATTTTTGACTCATTTTTACCCCGACTGTACTGACAGTCCTTGCCTGATAGCGCACAGAGATGATAACACTGATTGTTCTAGAATTTAATACTGGGCAAGCAAGCTGATCCTGCTTTCGAAACTTTAAATTTGCTCTTCTAAAGTTGTGTATTTAACACTCCAATTTGTTTCATAAATTCTTTTTACAGGGAAAAACCTAAAGATGAGGAATGGAATACGCTAAACAGCCTGAAATTACCTTTACTTCTGAATTTTTCACAATGTAAGCTGCTCTTAGGTGATTACTATCCAGTCATTGAGCATTGCACAACAGTTCTAGAAAGTGAACCAGGTATGTACTCACATCACTATGATACCTTGTAGTGGCACAGACTGAGATTTAGCAGGACGGTAGATTATTGTTTGTCACTCACAAGGGAGCAGAGGAGGGATTGTTACATTGGAACTTTAGTTTTGAGACGTAGGTATGTCCTGAGTTTTAGACACCGCCTGACCAAAATCCTCAAATTATGAAATTGAAGTACCAAAGAGAAATTTTTTGCAACTAAAATAACAGAGTTGCCATGGTCAGGGAAAACCGGGAAATGTCAGGAAAAATGGCGAAAATGACAAAAATGTAAGGGAAAATTCGTTAAATCACCTTCCCTTGCTTTCTAGAATGGGTTTGAGGTTTCGAACAAAAAATTTTGCCTGAAAACTATTTTAAATTATGCCTTCTTAACTATCCGTCACATCTTCAATTGTCGAGGAATTCCACCAAAATGTGTCAGGGAAATCAGGGAAATGTCAGGGAATTCCACTTTTTAAATTCTAAGGCAACCCTGGAATAGATGGAAGAATAGCTTTTTATCTTTTGGGCAGATTCAACAAGAATCAACCTAACTATGTCAGATGTTGTCTAATTTCATCTCATATTTGGTTTGTTTACGAGAAAACTAAGTGACATTCTACCTTGAAATTTTGAGAGTATGCCTATTGTATATTAATTGTGGAAAATCCGTAGAAATTTTCAAGGTATTGGGTTGTTTCGACTTCTGTCAAAAAAATCACACATTATGGGAAATTAGATGATGTGAAACGTACTTAGGCTGATGATAGTTACATTATACATCCATCCAACTGCAAAACTAATTTTTTGGTAATTATGAATAAAGATTTATTATTTTTAATCAGAACTTGATTTCTCCTTAAACTCTTTAAGTTGAGTCATCAAGTAACACAGGAAACGATGTAACTAAAGAATTTGGCCTTCATTGCTTATCTTACAAAATAAAAGCCTTCTATCACATGTCATTTTCATGATAGAAAGATCACATTCTCTCCCATTTTACTATTTGCTAAACTTGGTTTTGACATTGCCTCATCATGAGTCATTTTTAAAAGTTTCTATCAAAATTCCGGTTGGTTTTCTATCCAAAATATGAAATTCGTCCGCAAGTTTTGAAACATTTAAGTAATTTTACCTCTCCATCTTAATTTTAAGGGTTTTTTTGGTCTGATTTCTTTATCATCTGCGTTTTATTTCAGCCTGACCGATTTTTTTCAGTGTTGGTAGGTAGTTGCTTGGAAATTATTATGGAGTATATTTCAAATTTGAATTGAGTCTTGATGTCTGATGAGTCTGACAATGAGTCTGAGATTTGAGTTGAAGGAACGAAAGAGTCCGTGAGATCATGAAAGCCGAGCAGAACATCGTGCATGAATTTATGACCAAACAGCTTGTCTGATATGGTCATGTTCAACGAATAGCAGATGATAGGTTGCCTAAGAAGGTACTGGATTGGGTTCCTCCTGGGAGAAGACGTAGGGGATGTCCAGCAAAATCGTGGATAGGTGGCATTCAAGATGAAATCGCAAGATGCCATTTACCAGATGACCTCTGGATCGATAGGCAAGGATGGCGATTAGGTGTCGCAGAGCGCCGGGGCACGCTTTTAAGCGACTCGAATGTATGTATATTTCAAATTTGAAAATTTGATCTTTTTTTGTGGCTTCATGAGTTCTCTAATGATCTGTTCCAGACAATGTGAAAGCCTTGTTTCGGAGAGGAAAGGCACATTTTGCTGTTTGGAATGTTGAAGAGGCCAAAAAGGACTTTGAACGAGTTGCAACCTTGGATCCCTCTTTGAAGCAAACAGTTCAAAATCAGTTAAAAACGATAAATGAAGCAATTGCAGAGAAAGACAAGGAGGATAGAAAAATTTTGCAGGGGAAAATCTTCTGAGCTATGAGTGTATGTGCATTAATCCATAAAAGAAATGGATGAGAGAATACAGCTTGCAAAATATTTTAATATCAATTGTGAAGGACGGACTCTCCTCAGTTACACAATAGACATTGTTTACCAATTTTTATTCCTTTTTTAAAATTTATCGAGGAATTAAAAATATCAATTGTACAAAGTTTAAATCTAGAATTATTTCCTTTCTTTGAGTCAAGTTAAGGTTAATCTTCAGCTGTAGTTCCGAAAAAATCCACCACGTCGCGCTGCTAAAATCCGACTCCGAAATCAGTGATTATTTAAATATCACAATAGGTATCTTAAATTCTAAGACTCATAAGTTCTAGCAGCATACGTCTGGAATCCTTAGAAACAAACGCGAGCTTTGAAAGTCTAATAATAAAAGCTGTAAATTGATCCCAGTTTCTCTTACGGGATATCTGTAAGTGCGAGAGAGACAGCTCACGGTGGGAGAGAGATATCTGCCAACTGCTGAGAGCGATCAAGCGCGATTGGTTGCATCAAGGTCATCATGCTTAACCCTACTTTTTTCTGGGATCAAATTGCAGAGCTTCAGAAATGACTTTTCACGTTGTTTTTAGGGTCAATGGGAAGAAGAATGTTATAGCTAGAACTTATTTATCTTCGATTGAAACAGAAATTCCTTCAACTTTTATAAAAGCTCAAGGACTCACGTGGTGCTGTACGGACTCTAAAACACAGCGGTGGCGCCCCCTGCGCGGAGAAATTTCTTACTTCACGCAGCTGTAGATACACCTTAATGCCAATTTTTTTACCTTCTTTTACCATGTAGTAACAATTGAGATAAAAATGCAAGTTCAAGACTTCATTTTTCTCCTCATTTAACCATTCTTCATTATAAACTGCTCTTCCTTGGACCAACGAGCAAGCTTTTTTACTGTTTTATAGAAAACCTAATCCAGCAACGATTTTCTTTATATTCACGCACTTGCAGAGAACATATTATGATGGCTGGAATAGAAAACAAAGTATTGGGATTGTGGTATTTACAGGCTCCGCTTATAATTTTAATTTTTTGTAAGTGTACAATGACTGCGTTGCTAGAAATCTTTATATATATTTCATCAAATAAAATCGAGAAATAACAGAAATTTCGAAAGAACGGAGAATTTGCAGGTGTCTGAAATTTGATAAATTTTGTGTTTGAATGGATGTGAATAGAACATGTTGTTTGCGAGTAGCCATTGATATATTGAGCAAATCGGTGTGTACAAACCTGCATTTTTAATTGCATTTATGAAAGAAAACAGTTATTTTGGATAGCCAGATTGAAAACGCTTTGTTTTTCAAACCGTTTACATAAACGCATCCAGCGATTCTTGCTTATCGTTTTCAGATGGTAGAATATCATTCCTAGATTTGTAGCAAATACTCTAATGTAATTTGAAAGAGGACGTGTATCCCAACAGTATTATTCAACTGAAAAATAAAGATAAGTTGTTTACTTTTATACGGTCTTTTATTTCATACACAATGAAAAAGCTGGACCCTTTCTACAGTAAAGTCAAGGATTTTGGATTGATTTAACACTTCATTAGAATTATGTATTGATGATTAACAGGACAGATTTTTCCAAAATCATTAGAATAGTGAGTTACTTTGTAGAGATAAAAATATTGGCTCTACAACAGCCACTTTTTAATAAAACCCTAAAACTTAAAAAAATAACGATGAAAAAAGTCAATATTGATTTACACTTTAAATTAGTAATTTTAAAATTCCCATAACATTAAAAGTTAATGAGTTATGACAGAATGGGTGTGAGCGACTGTCCCTAAATTGCATAGTGCTTACTCCGGAGAATAAACAATTGTCACCTTTTTTATTGACTGGGGGTATTAACAAAAATCAATTCAACTTCTTTTCAGGTTGCCTTACTTGGTGCCTTTGAACATTACGGATTGCCTCGTTTTTTTCTTTTAAAAATAAAACATGGGAGAAAATTTGGCAACTTTGAATTTAGTTGGGCTGAATCTATCCAATTCACAATAAAAGGATGAAAGTTCATTAAGCAAAACATCCGTTGTAAATTGTTTGAAATGACTTTCCACAATTTTCAACGAGTAAACCAAAAGACTAATACTTTCTTCAATTTTTTGTTTACTCCTCAACAGAACTCATGACTCTCCTGTACTTAATGGCAACGCTAATCAATTCAACATTTTTGAAATAGGAGGAACAGTGTGAGGACTAACACTGAGTATTTTTTTCAGGCAGTCTTGCATTTAATGGGATCTTGCGACAGCATTATGTAAAACCCTTAATTTAGCCTTATGTAATTTAGGGACAATCCTTCAGAGCATGCTCTTGCACATAGCGTAGATATCTCTTGCACACACTAGTCAGCGCAAAAGGTAGATGTATTTCAAAATCAATAGTGAATTAACTATCAGCTCGATTGAGAAGATAGACAAACGGAAAATTACCCCATTTTTCGCCAAGTTCATGATGCATTTGTGCATTTTTAAGCCTAGTGCAGAGCTGCAGCACAAAATATCTTGGAAAGCAAAACAACAAACGCTCCATCAAGAAATAAATGATTAATTAGAACTAAAAATACAATGAAAGCGCTAAGTGCAAGAAAGGCACTTCTTGTTTAGAGTATCTCAGAATCTCCGCTAACATTTCATCCATTATAAATGAAGTAAATGCTTACATATTGTTGCAATTTTTAATGAATATTTTCTGTGATTTTGCAAAGTTCTGAACAAAAAATTCCATTAAAATCATTTATTTGTTCCTTCTGTAAAATTTAAATTAGCAGTGAAGATTTCGAATCTCCGCAACAAAGAGGTGCCTTTCCTGCACTCAGTGCTTCAGTTAATAGATACATAAAAAATACTGAGTTTATTTTGAAAGCCGCCTAAAGCTTACTTCTGAAATTTTTGTAAAGTATTATCTGAACCTTAAAATATAAATTAAAATTTCAGACAACTTTCAGATAATTTTCTAACAAAACTTTTCAGAGGTAAGTCTTTTAAGAAGTCTCAAAGAATAAGCACCAAGGTTAAAATTTTGTACGATTATTGTTAAAAATGTTAAAAAATTTGTTCCAATTGACTGAATTTATGCAGGAACCACTGATGTCCATTTTTTCTAATTTTGAGAGAACTCTAATAATCTATATTACTCAGGGATAAACGGTGTCTAAAAGCTAGTTATTACAGTTGTGAATTATATGAAATGAATCATATTCGTTTCCAGCTTCGTTCCTTATAGTGAAGGAGTGCTTTAGAAAAAACGAAAATGGACACTAATTGTTCTTGCATTGCACAAGGCACAGGAATTTAGTCATGATTAAAGTTCAGACTTATATAATTTAATCATATATGAGAATGTGAGAGACCAACGTTGTACTTTCTGCAAATTTTTAACCATTGAAAAGGAAACAGACGTTAGCTCTACAGGATCGATACATATGCAACTATCTAGGAACTTTCTACAACAAATAAAAAGCTTTTCGGAATCTATTATCATAGATAAGTCTAGTTCGTTGCATGATGTCTCTTTGCAAGTAAGATGATGTTGAGGATTTTTTCAAGGAAAAACTGAATACTGTGAAGTGGAAATGACCGAAAAATTCATTGAACAAACCTGAAAAAAACTCCCTAAACAATGAAACGCTCAAGAGAATCAGTGGATGTTATAATTTCACACCAAGTTGAATGGATAAACCTGGTGGGTAATACATTTTTGGTTGTATTCAACAAATACAATTTTGCAATATTTTTCAAGCTGTTCTGGGAAAAGAGGAAGAAAAATTTGGACCATCGTAAAATAGTTTTTAGAGAGGAGGCCCCACTCGGCATTAACGAGCCTAATGAGGAAAAGAAAAGTGTCAAAAAACCATGAATTCAGTGTTACATAATTAATACATACGCTCTGGAAAGACATTGAAATTTAACATTGAATGGAAGAAAAAATGTCGAAACAATTGCTGTTTCATTGCAAGAATAAAAAATTCTTAGTTAGGCACGAATTGTTAGAACATAATAATATTGATAGTAAAACAAATGGTCAATGACAACTGGAGAAAACCAGTTCGTAAAAATATTTTTCGCCGACCTTTAAAAAAAGCACGGAGGATTGTGCAAAGAGATTAGGACACATTTCATTACATTTAATTTGCACAAAAATTCTTTGAAACTTGAAAAACTTTAGGTACAACCCTTTCATTTATGACTCTGTTACGACTACCATGCGTGTAACTCCCAATGGCGTAGCCAGAAATGTTTTATGATAGTCTACAGTCAAAAATTTCTCACAAAGGGGGTCAAAAGGTAAAATATTCCTGAAAAAATGGAGTGGGGTGAACCGGACTCCTTGGGCACGCCACTGGTAACTTCTACAAAATTTGCAGAACATAATAACCTGTTTTCCATAATTATGAATTCTATAACAAGTAATTACAACGAATAGGCACTGTAAATATGAATGAACCAACGAATCAATATTAGTATCGGCACTGTGTGACTACATTGAAGGCAGTGAAAAAAATGCTGTGCTCTGAGCTTTGGTTACACATAAAAAATAAAAGAGTATTGATACTTGGAAGTCTTACTTTATGACTTAGCCTTGCTGCTTGATCCTGGAAATCTTGCGACTTTTGTCGTTAACCTTGGGTGGCGGTGGTCCTCTCGTTGAAATGTGGCGGTTGTACAAACTGAAAAAAATTGAAAGAATAGAATAGTTGAATGATTCAGCATTGAATTGAAATAATGAAAAAAATAGAGAATAGCGTCCATCATAGTGTTTGGTTTTGCTTGTAGAATCTTACAATTTTAGAAAGGGAAAAAAATATTTTTACTGACGCCAAGTTTCTTCTTTCAATATTGACAGAGATATCATACTTGGTAAAATACAATCTATGATATTCTTTGGTGGATTGATACAAACATACTCATAGGTTAAAAGGAAAAAACCAAAAAGTTTTTACTGCAGGCTTATTCACTTTCTTTTCTGCAGAAAAATCTATGAATTAATAAACCATGGCTGCAACAGAATTTAGAAAATAAAATTCCCTGACATTTCCTTGACACATTTTGGTAAAATTCCCTGATAATCAACAAAATTCCAAATGTTTAAAAAGACATTACTTGAAATATTTTTTACACAAAATTTGTTAATTGAAACGTCAGACCCATTCTAGAAAGCAACTAAAGTAAGCAAGTTTTCCGTGACAATTTTGTCTGTTCCCCTGACATTTCTAGGTTTATCCTGACTTATTAAAATTCCCTGAAATTTCCCAGTTTTCCCTGACTGTGGCAACTTTCATAAACATTCGCACCGAGAACTATTTTGGTGTAGATATAGTTGACAGAGAGCTTCTCTCCATATTATTTAATTGTAAAATCGTCAAGAAAATCTTGATAGACATTAATGACAAATTTCGATTTTCCAAGTTTCTATTTGCAAAATTTAATGCTTCACCAAAAATGTTTCAAAATCCTTGCCAACGATACACTTTAAAGTAAAATAGAGATCCTAACACGTTAGCTCATGGCTGGAGTGAGATGAAAGATCGGGAATCTTGCTTTTCTGGACATGTGGTGAAAATTACAATTTTTGGTTTGGTTGAAATTTCAAAGTCGAAAAGTCTAAATTAGTGCTAACCAAATGTGTATTTCTCTAATTATTGTATAAATTCACCATTACTTCCTTTTATCGCAAGTGTTTGTTGATGGAATAGGTTAATGCAAGATTTATTCTTGGTCAAATTTACTTCTTTTGCATCATTTCTGAGGGAAGATGAGGCTGAAAAAAAGAGGTTGGCGACTTGCTTTGTTCTGACAATACTTACTATCTGTAGGTCTCCGATCGGATGTAGTCTATGACATGAGAAATGCCAACCTGCAACTGGTCTGCGATAGGAGTCACCCATGGATTGAAATCCATCTTCAGAATCGATTTACTTCCGACTAAATCTAGATTCCCTGAAATTGACCAACGTGGTAGATTAGTAATAGACTTTGACTGATTGTGAGGTGCAACATGAGATTATTAGGAACACAGTACAATGTAACACATATCCACCTGCTGCTTTACTATGTTTCTGCTTTTTGAAAACATGGCTTAGTTTTTTGCTCGCCTAAAATTCAAAATTTGATGCACATGAATTGAAGATACCAGTTTCACCCAACTTTCCAAATTTCTCTCTGTTTATCATGACATTAGGGTCTGAAAAAATTCAAATTCATCCTCTCAAGAAGGAAAGGTCAGGGATGTAAAATAATCTTCAGTTGGACAAGTCTTCAAATCATTGTTTCACTTCTGTACTTAGAAAAATGAAAATTTTATTTACAAAAAAAAGCAATGTACCACAATGATTATTTATTTAAATTTTAAGTTATTTATGTCGACCTATCAAACATTCCATATAAATAGTACATACCTATCTAAAAAAAAAAAAAGTTCAACTTCTTTGTAAGGAGCACATAATAGCAGTAGTATAAAAGGCACATATGAAAACTGAAACTGGAAAAGGTTTCAATCAAGACTGTGCCATGTTTATTTGAGTTTCATCACGTATTTCCACATCTTTTTGGAAATTTCAATAAGGATACGGCTGAACGAATAAAAAAAGGGATTTACCAATTTCAGGAGGCAACACTGTGAGTCTGTTTGCTTGAATGTGCAGTTCACGTAGACGAGTCAACTCTCCGATTTCTTTTGGCACATCAATGAGGTCATTCTCACGTAGAACAAGCTGAAAACGTAAATACTGACAATTAGCAAAACTAATCAGTTTGACCCAGTAGGAAACTTTAAGACTAAAATTAAAAAAACCCTCTCCCTACAATACCGTCTGATAGACCTATGATAGATCATGAAAATAAGTTAGCAACTTTACTGCATTCCACTGTATAAAATACGCAAGCTGATGTTTCTAGTTCCGTCCAAATCTTCAGAGGAGTGCTGTAATGTATGCAAAAATTGCAGATCCAGCCTGAAAATTACAAACTTTTCTCTTCGTCTTGCAAAATTGACAGTTTGCAGATAGACTCCCTACAATACCGCCTGATAGACCTATGATAGATTATGAAAATAAGTTAGCAACTTTACTGCATTCCACGGTGTAAAATACGCAAGCTGATGTTTCTAGTTTGGTCCAAACCTTCAGAGGAGCGCTGTAAAGTATGCAAAAATTGCAGATCCAGCCTGAAAATTACAAACTTTTCTCTTCGTCTTGCAAAATTGACAGTTCGCAGATCGACGGTATTGTTCCTCAGGATGGCTGAGATTTGCAATTTTCAGCCTGCTAATACTCCCTAAGTTTTAATTGAGTATACCTAGTTGAAATGTTGAGTCATAATTTGCTTCATGAGGATGTTATAATTATTTGAAAAGAATCGTTTCCAAAGCTGGCAACATCGCTAGGAAAATTAAACGGTGTTTTTCTCAAATTCGTGATTATTAGTGTGAAATTGTTTCAAGAAAGGGTTAATCTTCTTTAAGTATTTTCTGAGGAAAATGATGAGAAATTAATCCCTATAATCTGGGGTCAGTTTCCCGCTATTGGAGGGATGATTCCGAAGAAGGCAAGATTTCCAGCTCATCTTTGTGTAAAAAGAAAAATATATGTGCAAAACATGAAATAAAAGTGTGCAGATAATCAGAGTTTTGGAGATGATTTAAAAGGATGAAAAATGAAAAAACAAATGAATCTTACAATTTGTAAATTTTTCAACTGTCCAATTTCTGGAGGTAGAACTTCAAAATCATTGTCTCCAAGATATAAGGCTCTTAAAGTTTCTGAAATGAGAAAAATAATAATGGTCAGAGCAGAACTAAATTATTTAACCCGGTTGATATATTTTCCCATAATATTATCCTAGATAGAATAATACTCCTCATGATAAGTTGATACAAAAACAGGGTAGGATAAAAAATAAATGTTACAGCTGTCTTTAAATATTGAGTTACCTACTGTCGATCCCCTATGGCCTATGGCTAAAGAGCAAAAGATAATGAACTGGTCATCCAATTAGTTCAAGGCTCCCTTTATTGCGCGCTAATGTCTTTTTCTTAGAGAATCAGAATAAAATTGGCTGGGTAAATTTTTTGCTTCTTGCCAAACAGATCATCAACTGACGAGAAAAATTGTTTTTGCTCAATTCCCTGTATATACTCAATTTCACAGATTTTCCAGCAGTATATAAACCCTGGACTAAAGTTATACATGCCTGACCTAAAAAGGAAAAGACTCTGAAATGACTGCAATTTACTGCCGGAAGTTTTTTTGACTTCAAATTATTTGCAGGTAAATCATACTATTCAGAGAATTTGGCACACACAATAGTACTCCTATTAGAAAAACAAGTTTGCATTCCTAGATAAACTTCACTCCGTCCACACTTCAATGAGAAACTCAAAGGTAATAACTTGACGAACATTCAGCCAAAGAATGACATTATTCTGCAACATTTTTCAGTTTTAATTTAAAGGGCTGGATTAACAATTATACTGCCAGGACCTGATAAAATCCGCTGCCCTTACTTAATTACAAAAATAATGATTTTTTTTTCTCTTTGCTTCTTAACGTCAAGTGATTTTACTTTGCAATGTAATGGTATTGGAAAAAAAGGAGATAATCTTTATCAAGAGCTGCTGCTGCTTTTCGTTCATAATTTAAAAATCAACCCTTGTGTATACAGAGCGGACAAAAGGAATAAATTTTAAATTGAATGTACCTACTCTTTACATGCACTTAAATCTTTTCACAAGAAAAGCAGAAAACCTCAGAGTCCAGCTAAATCATTTCCTGATGGAACGTAGCAATAGCAGAATAGTCAGTTTACTTCCTCGCATCAGATCACCACAAAATCTACCTCTTCAGAATGTAGATGTTTAAAACATTGATTCAAGAAGTATATAATATGATTCATACTGATTCAGGCTAAATATATTTTTTGGAATACCTAGCATGAAAAAGTTCCCAGGAAGACTATTTTCATTCAGATTATTGTAAGTAAGATCCAAAACTTCTAGCACTGGTAACGCTCCAAAACCTCTTGGTAAACTATCCAGACGGTTCATTCTATAATCAAAAGATGTGTTACATTAAATTTGAGAAAAGCACAAGAAATCTTGAAACTTAACGAATGAATCTTGAATAATACACTGTTTTCTGGATCCCGATTTCAAAAACACCTCCACATCTAATTCTTTTGACCACTTTGGGTCATTGAGGCCATTTGCATTGCTAATGATATGGGTTTCTTTTCCATTTCAGTAAGAAAGGGCCGAAGAACTGTGCCTACATTCTCACCGATTTGAGAAATTAGAGAAAAAAAGAAAAACCCTGCAACAGCTCCATCACCTGTAGCGTATTTTGCAAATTTGAAAACCCTGTATCTTGGGCCTGGTTTTAGATATCATAACCAGTTTAGTTAAAGTATTAAGATCCCTCAGTATGAATGATAAGAATGCAAATAACTATTTTTCCAAAATTGTTAGTTATGTTACTTCAGTTCTCAACTACAGATTTCTTCAACAGAAAGTTCTCTTAAAGATGCACCAGAACTATAGATCTGAAATTTTTATTTTAAAAACATAAAATTCTAGGAAATTAATTACAGACAAAAATAAAAAAAAATATGAGGAAGAATTAGAATTCCCATCAGAAGTTCTGAACTTTATTTGACTTGCGATTGAATCGTGTATTTTATCAGAAGAAAGTCTCACAATATAAAGACTGAGAAAGATGTTGCCCGTTGTGACTGAACTAGAGGATGAGAAAGTGGATGCTTGTATATTAATTCTTACATAAGAGAAAAATAGAATTTTCTTGCCAGCCAATGGAAGTGTATTAACTTCTTAAAGCATGTTAAGTTTTATGTTTGTTGCACATTGTACCTTGTTTGCTATTTATTCTGTCATCACTGCAGTCTCATTTACCAATTTTACTATGTAACGTCATTTGCTGGTTTTTATTTTAATTTATTTTTTATTTTTAATTCTATTTTAGCAGTTGATAATGGTGCCGTAAGGTACCGAAACATCCTGCCTTTGTATTTTGTATTTTAGCCTTATTTCCGCATTTTCGTGTGTTTTCGATTGTCGTTTCCGTTTCGGGCTGCTTTTACATTCTCTTTGTTTTCCACTTTTTAAAGCATTGAGAACATTAAATTTTGTGCCTATGAGACCTTTGGTTTAGTCATATATACCTATTTCATCAAAGGAAAAGAATATTTAACTGGGACGATCGGAATAAGTACGAGTTTTGATACCCTGTTAAACACTTACAACAAGTGACACTTACTTTTTTCAATAATGATAAAAAATTGATATACTAAAAAACAGGATTTCTATGTGAAAATTCAGGAATTCTGTTCCTCATGACTAATCAACAGCTACCTACCTCGTTTAAGTCCTCTTTTTTCACCTAGATCTTTAGACTTAAAACTGACAAAAGTTTCCAGTTCACATCGTACCTACTCCAAAATTGGGTGAAAGTTTCAGTAATTATGTGATCCGTGTAGATTTTGACACCTGTACTGAGAATTCAAAAGCAGAAACTTACCCGACATTAAGTATCCTCAGCTTTGGCAAAGAGGATATTGACACTGGGAGCTCTTCGATTTGGTTGTTGAACAAAGTTAGTATTTCCAAATTGACCAGATATGCAATACTTGGTGGGATATCTGAAAAACGAGAGGAATTATGATTGCATGTTGGTGAAACTGGTTTTAGAAAGAAAAGAATGTAATATTCTGATCCTCATTAATGTATTTATTCTATGTTCATGTAATTAGAGGAAACATTCTCAATGATTCATAATTCATTACTTTTACACCCTGGTCAATAAAGTTCAATGAAACTCAACAAATTCTAGTCAAATTTGATAACATGCTTTTTTATATTGTTAAATATTAGTGTGCCATTTCTTCAATTTTAGGGGGGAAAAATTAGTGATTTTAAAATGGCTCAGTGGTTGCGTCATTCTAGTGATGTTTTACATGCTGACCTTCAGTGGTTCCAAGGTACACAATAAACTGTAACCTTAACTCCAAATTCATGGTCAAGTTTTGTGTATAATCAATAGTTACAAGTCATAAGTCTATTCGTAACTCATGTAACACAAGAAATTTGGATAACAAGAAACTCTGGGATGCATCTGACCACCTTGATTTGAACGTACTTGCATATCAACGGTAAAACTGCAGAAATGCGAATTTTAGTTTGCGGCGTTGTAAACTTCCTGTCATAGGTACTTCATTCTCTACATCAAAAACTACTGAATTTCATTTCTTGAAAACTGCTATGACTTATCTCCTCTATATTAAAAATACTCTGTGAAAATTTCCTGCTTTCATGTTGATATGGGCACCTTTTAAAAATCTAATAGGAGTGACAATTTTGAAACTCCGCGACCAATATGCGCATTTTTGAAGTTTCATCAATAAGTATGTTTTCATCAGAGTTGTAGAACGGCGCAAAGCATCAAAAAAATAATTTAGATACACTAATAATTCAGTCTAGAATGCGAACTGAATGCCACTAGAGCTATCTGCTCTGTCTTTACAGTTTCTTATCAATTTTTATAATTTGCAACCCAAAATCAGGAGATGGTGGTGCTTGATAAGGAATCATACTCCCATAGAAAATACCATCGCTTACCTTTAATCCTATTATGACTAAGCGTTAGTCTGGTGATATTCAGCATGTTGACTGAAACAAAAACACACAAATGAGACTGAGTACTACTCGTAAAATTACAAAATTGGAATTGTGGCTGACAGCTATTTCAAACGGTAGGTACATACTTTTGTAATTGGCCAGGGTTTTCAAAATTTTGTTCATTTTCTTTTTCCCTGACTTTCCCCCTACTCAAAAATTATACCTTTCTTTGACAGACCTGGTTAAACATTTCAGCACCTAGTTAGAGATTCAGTAAATTCTTTTGGTAACCACCGGTCAAGTGCAAAATTTTTTTTCACATTGAGAAATATGACCAAGAGATAAAAGGTGAAAATAGACTAGTCGAAGAACTAGGCGGGTCGTTACCTCTTACGGGAAAATTTTGGAACTTGATCAGGGCCAATAATGTCCAATAGGAATTGAAATGCCAAACGTCTCTCTTTGAAAACTTGATGGTAATGTCTTAAAATGACAGAACATGAGTAAACGAGGTGAAACAAGTTTTGGAACCCACGACAGTAGCCATAGTAAGCTGGGCTGTCAGTGACATACAATTGAATGAGTCCATAGGGACTTCCTCATCATGTCAAAGGTTCAAATTTAAATCTGCATTTCTTCTCAATATCTTGAGTAGATTTAGGATATAACACCCCGGAAATTACTGACAAGTCGAAGATCGACATGATAGTATGTTGGCGAACATCGCCCACGCATTTCAGCATAATAGGATTTTGTGAGGAATTGATGCATCAGGTCCAGTTAAGTGCATTAGAAGTAGAGAGAAATATGCATTCACAGCGTGAAAAATGATGAGTTAAGAGGAAAATTCATAGAAATTTGGAAATATAACCTATATTCTGGTCAGGTGTGCGACACCCACATAAGGAAATTGAGCCAAATCAAGTTACCAAATTTGGGCATGACGGCTATTTTTATACTCACACAGTCCAGGTAATTCCTCGAAAGAATGAATGCCTTTATCGACCAAATCTAGCTCGGGATTCTTGATTTCCCGAGCTTCTGCGAGCGCCTTCCTAGCCTTCGACATTTTCACCTGCACGGGTAAACACGAAACTGGTGCCTCATTCATTGCGCGCGCACTATCAGTAAACAAAAGATGCAGAAAAGCTAAACAATCGGGTGATAAAGAGCTCGAAATGTAAACACAAGGGCGTAGAGACGGCACGACATAGTTGCCAAATTTCAAATGTACTAACTTTTTTACATTTAGACGCCATGATTGCTATTTACAAAATTGTAAGACTGGCAACTGTGTAGCAAAAGTTGCCAGCCCGACACTGGCGCTCTCTTGAAACAATTGTAAAAAGCACATCGAAAGTGGAACTGCTGAGATGCAACTCCACTGCAGTTGTTCAGAACTTGGCAAAATGCTTCAAAATTTGCTGCCATTAATTTTTCGTAAGAAAATCACCGAGCATTTAGAAATAAAATTCAAAGATAATAATTTTGAAAGTGCAAGGTAAAAGCACAAATTTTTTTTTATTATCGATGACCGGTTATTCTTCGAAAAGGTAAATGACAGGAAATCCGCAACGTCGCCAACCAAGAAGCCTGCTTCAGTGGTTTCACGATCAACAGGCAGATAATTATCTGCTAAAAATCTAAAATTCTGTTGAATGGCCTGGCGCACTGATGCAAGTAGGCCAACATGATAAGACTTCCTCCTTAAGCATAGATGAAAAATTCAGTTTAATCTCTGTTTCAATAAATTTGTTTCTCGCCTGCAAACTATTTTTTTTTTTTAAAAATTAAAGAGGCACATTATTTTTGATGATTCCAATCGTTGAGCGCAACAAAAGTTCTCACGGAACCTCTTTTTCAGCTGTCAGAGAAAGTTATTTGTAAAAACGATGGATGTCCGTTTGTTTTAAAACTGATGTAAATCACTCACTGATATTTTAGATTAAAAATAGTGAAACAAGTTTTTCAGAGGAGAGTTTGCTGTATAGAAACCCACTGCACTGAATTTTTGTGGTTTTCAATTAGGTAAAAATGTGAGGCTTTTTTTTTCTTCTAATGCTTAGGAATTATTCAACATCCATCCATTCACAAATAACGACTCTTATGCTCAGACCTATCAAAATATATTTCATCCTAAGTTTTGCTGCTTTCTTGCATTATTTTTGAGAGAAGGGGAGCATAGGCAGCAGTGTCATTCATTAGAAGTGATGACTCCTTTGTTGCAAAAAAACCCTTTTTTCCTCTAATTTCAAAGTAGTTAATGAGACAAACTGTTTTGTCCACATATAGAAAAAGACTCCCCCCTCCCCCTTTATAAAATGTTATAAAATATTTTGCTTTCGTAGTAACATACCTACAAATTAGCAGCCTCTCCGAGAAGATTGGAGGAGTGTCATGTCCAATCAGAGGTAAAAAAAAAGGTTTCACTCTGAAAGAGGAATCAAATTTCTTTTTGATCATTAACAACATTTCAACGTTTTTCATATTTGCCCTTTGCTAGAAGATTGTTCACTTAAGACAGGGTATATGTGCTCTTCAAATCTCGAGAAATTTCTTTTAAAAGTAAGTGGACAAAAATAAGTTTAAAATGCAGCCGAGACGAATGGGTGTTTTCAAAAACTTTTTTGAGCGACTAGCATCTTGCAGCTTTGATCCAAGGATTCACAGATTTTAACTAACTTCACTTACAAAAGAATTTTTTTTTTTTTTTAATTAAATAAACTAAAATTGCATAATTTAAACTATACCTATAGACATCTTTGAAACTCTATCTTCAAAATTAATGAAGAGTAAAAAAAAATGAGGCTTAGTGGGCTTCCTGTAAATATTTTATGCTCACTTTGATTCAGTTAGGTAATGCTGAATTTTATAAAAAAAATTCTGCCAGTTAAAATTATGCAAGTTTGCTATAAACGGACAACATATGAAGTCTCCCAAAAATTTGGCTATCAATGCTCACTTTAGTACCTAATATGTACAACGGTACTGCTTCAACAAAATTCTTTAAAATCAGCATCAAGCTTCTTAAGATAATAGTGATTTAAATCCTTTTACTCAAGTCTTAATATAACATAATGAGGATAATAGGAGTTGATAAGGCAGCAACCTTCGTATATTTGTGAAAAATTTTATTTCAAAACAACAAAATTTCACAGATCATAAATCTCAGACCAAAGAATATTGACGTTTTTACATATATTCGTTCGTACAGAGGATGGAAAACTGGCAAAACCTTGGTATGCTGCAACAGCGATCTTTCTTCAAGGATATTGGCGAAGTTGAGAAGATAGTGATGCCCCTTATAGATCTAAGACTTACAAATGTGATTCAGAAAAATTTACTGATTTCTAAGGCAAATTATGAGACTAGAGTCCCACTTACACTTAGTTTCAGTATTACATCTTTTTGCTGAGTGAGTTTTAAGAGCAATGCAGTAATGCATAACAAACCAGAGTCATAGTAAAAATAAGGAATCTACTCAGGATGAAATTCCCTGTAATGGTCAGTTTTCATGGAAAGGTCATCGGTTCTTTCGAGCTAAACAGTAGTGAGGGACACCAAAAAACAAAATTTAATTTTTAGCGGAAAAAGAGATCCAACTTAAATCACAGTGGTGAGTAATAATATGTACGGTTACGAAAGAAATCTGAAAGCGCTTGGACAAGATTTAAAACTCAAAGAGAGAAAACTGATATGAGTCAATAGTGAGCAAAATTAAACTGCATCATATTCCTAGAATTATCCACAAATCGCCGTATCCTAAACAAAAGAACATCTTTTGTCTGCATTGTTTCAGAAACTTAACAGACTAATGATTTTTCATGGGAAGACCATTGCTTAGATTTGTCTGAAACTTTCGGTGGTCTTTTTCATGAGTGTAAAAAGCACTGGAAATTTCAGGAAAATTCATGCGATACTTCTCCAAGAAAAAAATTGAAACTTAGTGAGATTACCAAAACGATATAGATACGTTGTTAAGTGTGGGAAACTACACAATTTGATAGCATCAAGAAATGTTGACTTTTAAAAGTGCTCCCAGTCAACTCAATCAAGTTTATATCTGTTTTACGAGCACAGAGCGAAACGTGGAACGATTTTACAAGAGAGTCTTAATTGCCAAACAAGTTTTCTTTTCTCATAATAATTTGATGAAAATTGACAGACAAGGTATGGTTTCACGGTTAAATGAAATACATAGACAAATGGTGTAAATTTTCATGCATTTGGACATTTTAGAAACTAGACGTAGATAATAAAAAATTGTTGAGACCATGATCAAAAATAGTAAACACTTCTGCTGCTTTGAATTACCAAGCTCTTTGATAACATGAAATATACGTTCACACTAAGAAGATGGCCTACTTGAAGAGTGAATTAAAATACACGACATTGGGGCATCTTGTATCTCTCATCAAGATTCTATGAATATGGAAACGATGTAAGATTTGTTGCACTCCAAAAGTTGGACAACAAATTCGACATGGACGAAAAGATGGCAACGAAATTATTCAGTCACATTAAAAAATTGGTGGAAAGATATTAGTGCGCTAAATAATTTTTTGCAGTTCAATGGAGAGACATTTATTCTGCTTCAAAGTCATAGAATGATTCACAGGGGAGACATTAGTTTTAGCGTCACGTTCATAAAAGTTTTTCTCTTCAATACTTAGGAAGACTGCATGTGACAAGCTGTTCAGAAATAGAGGCACATACAAAATATTTCCCCTCATTTCTTGCTTGCATTTTAGCGAAAACAATTTCAGCTCTTGGATGAAGGCAAGTTGCAGCAAAAGTATTTAAAATAAAACAGAACTATTCCCATAGTTCAGGGGGAAAAAATTGAAAAAATAATAACATTATATACAGTGAGTGAACAACCCTGCAAAAGCGCACTCGTAATTTTTACTGTGACTAAAAATATACCAGGTATAACAGAATTTGATTCAAGGATTTACTAGGTTCACTGATAGTTCTGTGGGTTCCCGCCGCCAGGAAAACCAAGTGAGGCTGGGTCTTCGAATGGGCCGTGCTGTCGAAATTGTTCTGCTGTCAGCCTTGTGAATAGAATACCTACACCTGAAAATTACAGAAAAAAATTAATCAATGAGCGATTGATGTGCCATGATTTTAACACAAGAAAAATAACTTCAGGAGAAAACATTTGAATGTTTCCAGAATTTACTGACTCAAACGGTCAAAATTCCTTGGTTTTTCAATTGACAATTTTTCAATATTCTTTACTGTGGATGGCAATATTTGCTGTTGATGTTAAAATTGACCTCAATACTCTCAATTTTCCTGATTAAATGTATGATTTCCTGCAAATTTCATTTCAGTAGTCGTGAAAACTTGAGCGATTAAGATGCATCTTGGTAAAGGAGAATATTTCAGTCTTTTAAATTGTACCGCAATATTATCTTGTTGAGAAAACAAAATGTCTAATTTGATACTTTTCACTGAATTTATTTAATGAATATTTTATTTTTATTTCAGTTCTAGACATTTTCTTTAAAGTTCTTAGTAAAATATCCCCCCAAACTTCCAGTTCTACAAACATTTATATTCTAATGCTGCAAAGTTTCACCCCTGAAAACTTAATTTTTCTTTGCTTATCATTCCAAAGGAAAATTTCAGGGAATTTTTGTTAAGTAAATTACATAAAAAATAAAATTATCATTCTTGGGTAAGCCAATAAACTTAAGGATCAAACTTAGCAGTGTTCCGATTCAATGGAGCTTCTGTAGCACTGATTGTTTTAATAGACTTCAAGACATGGCAAAAATTACAGGGTTGCCTCAGAATTTGGAAAATGAATTTCTCTAGCACTTCCTCAATCTCCTTGACACATTTTGGTAAAATTCCCTGACAGTTGAATATATGCCAGATGGAAAAAAATACATAGTTTGAAATATTTTCAGGTAAAATTAGTAGTTTGAAATATCAAACCCATTCAAGAAAGCAAATTAAGGTGACTTGATGATTTTTCCTGACACCTTTGTCATTTCCCCTGACTTCTCAAAATTCCCTGACTGTGGCAACCCTGTATTTCTTCACTTTTGAATTGAATTCAGGAATGTTTCGTGCATCCCTCATATTTTTGGTGAGTATTTAGAAACATGTGCTGTTGTGATCGATTTTGTATCCTGTCACCAAGTCAGACACTTCCAGGAGGAGAGGTCTAGAGTGACAATATAAATAACGCTAATCCTGGCATTATAAAACAATTAAACTTCGAAAATTTATTTTGATTTCCGTGGAGAAAAAGGTTTTGAAGCCAAACTTGGGCAAAAGGTAAGAATTGAAGCAAAGAGGCTCTATCTAGAATTATATAATTCATGAGGGGCCTCTAGACGACTAGGAACTTGAGTAAGTTTGAGAATAGTTTAAGCCTGAAATTTCAATGAGTGAGAGAAGTGGTGAGACCAGCTACACAAAAATTTGCGAAACTTTCAGAAGTTCTCAGATTGAAAAGAAAGAATGGCTATGAGTCCAAGAACCCCATTGATAGAATAGAATCGTACCGACAGGTTGGAGCAATGAACTGCACATACCTTCAATAAGAGCTAAAAGAACGCCGCCAATCAACGCGCTGCCTGCCATTGCCGGTACACCGTTTCGTGCAGCGAGTATACCCCCTGTGGCTGCTCCACTGATTATGGAATTCCATGGATCCTCTTTATGTCTTAAGTAAACTAAAGTGCAATCTATTGATGAAAACACTCCACCCCAAACCGCAAAATTTCCGGCTAGAATTGGTGATCTTTGTTTCACTGCTGCCAGACTTCCCTGCAATCAACAAAACGGAAACATTAGCAACATTGGAGAGCTTCCCATGATGCACATACTGAATCATGCATGTAAATCTAGGCAAGGATTATTCAAACAGATTTTCAGATCTTACTTCATGTCACTTTCAAACCATTTCATACTTACAAATATATACAAATATAAATATTGATACACAAGTCTATAGTTGAGTAAAAGCCAAAGAAGCGTAATTGAGGCCGTAGCTTGAACAACCACCTGTGGCGGGAAACATAGTTTGGAGAAAACCCCATTTGAAGTTTTGATTATTAGATGCGACGCTGATTTAGCGCCATGGGAAAACTGCAAAAGCATTTTTTTTTAATTGATTGTACCCTTTGAACGATCTGTCGTGCATTTTTGGAAAGTATTTCAGAATACACTTTAAAAATGTTGATTTTAAACATGTTGTTATAGGTGGTTATTCCACACGCCACCTAGTCTCAAGGTAGAATGTCTTATTAGTTGTGTAAAGAATACAATTAATGTTTTACAACTGTTATAGAATGCCATGCAACGCAAAACAATGGTCCTGTGCACTGATGAAGTGCATGATAGCGTTGATGGGCAGAAAATCATTGATACATGCACAAGTCCAAAAAAAACCTAATTCGAACGTACCGTGGGCTAGTTATCACCACGATCCGGTTTCTAATTGAACAGATCTCGTACATTCTGATGAAACTTGATAGTCTACAGATAAAGATTAAAAATACACGGAACACTCACAGCAAATCTTCTGGACATTCCACTTGGGGCATTTCTAAATCCTTTGATTCCTTGAAATAGAGCACCTCCAATAGCGCCCATTGTGAAAGCTCCACCACAGTCATCAACAATTCTCCACGGACAAGGTTCTCGGGCATACTCTTCCATATTGTTCGATTGGTTTTAAATTCGTTTCAGTTAGTTTTACTTATCTGAAATGGTAAAAACATGGTGGTGAAGATATTCTTAAAATTCATCATTTTAGCTTGTAACTAACAGCATTCAATTAAATGATGTCGCCTGGTTAGAAGTTACAGTTGAGCATACAAGCAATTATTTCCAATTTGCTTCTGTTCTTGTGTGACTCGTAAGTATTATCTATTAACAGCCAAACTATCTTGACAGCCCTTCATCAACAGTACCATTCGACATTAATGTGACGCATTATGAATCAGCTTCGACACCTATGACTCTGGAAGAATTTTGAAAGCTAATGTTTAAGTTAGTAACAAAAGCTACCTAGTTTACTGATATGATCAATTTTGAACCAGTTTGACCAACGGAAACTGCTTTGGTAGTATCATTGAGATAGCTCATTTCAGTATACAATTCACAAATGTGTGAGAATAGAGCACAGTCCGATGAATCAGTGGTTTAATCTATGAGCCAAGGAGACTAGATTACAAAAGTGGTTGTGTGATTGCAAAACTGCTTTAGCCGATGTTAAAGAGTTCATAACAGATAACATCATAGGTACTGATAAGGCATGTTGTCCATAATTTATGTGTCTCACTGTAGGAAAGTATGCACGGACTCTTTCCAGTCGTGGTCCAAAGTAAGTATCTTAAATGAGATTGGCATAATGGTAACTAAAGGGGATCAAACCCACAACCTCCAGACCGTCATTGCTCATCTGAGGTTAGAGTGCCTGGTTTGCGGTGTTAGAATTGAGATAAAATTGGGTATTTACTTACAAACTGGTTGCTTCAAATGCAAAAAATATTGATCTTATATTAAACTTGTCAAGGAAGGGCTAACCGTTGCTAAACTTTGTCCTCTCTATGACTATGTTCTTACGTTGTTTGTTCGAGAAAGATGATCACAGGGAGAGATAGGCAGCGGGGGCCAAGGACTTTGAAAACTCCCGAGCACGTTTTACGAAATTGCACAACACAAGATCGGTGAGCGAGATAAAAATGAAAGCGAGCAAAAAATGTACAGAAAAATACACTGGCTGACCAAGTGACAAATTTTCTTACCGTGGATTGAGATATAGTTAGGAAAATCTAAAATTTTCTGACGAAATTCGGGGGGGGTGGTGGTGAGGCGGAGCGCAGGAAGGAAAAAAGAGGGTTAGGAAAGAGAACAGATCCGATCGCAGCGCACTCACCGTCGATTTATCCAACTACTATTTTCTTACGTCAGACAAGTTGGGTAGGTACTGCGTACTACTCCGTACAAACAACGACATTTGCCGCTTGCCATATTGAAGGCGAATTACACTGCTTCTATCAGAACACCAAAGTATAACAGCCTACCAACAATAGACGTTGCTACGTTTCCTCTCATGTTCTGTTGCTCAACAGAAAATCCATCGTTGGATACTGACTGTTTATTAAAATTGAGGGGTTCAGAGGACAAGTGGGATGAGTGCAGTTTTTGCTACTTTCAGAAATACTTGTTTAAAGTTTCAAAATTACATGGAGCCCTAAGTATGACGGAAAGAACGTTCGAACTCATTTTCAGATGCTCAAAAACTGAATTTTAGTGGTACTCACAGAATAAATTGTAGGACTGGCTTTAGTTGAATTCATTGGTATCTCATTTTTTTCAAAAACTGCACTTATCCCACTTGTCTTTCAAGCCTCTCAATTATGTGATTGAAAAAAAAAGAAAAAAAACTTTTAAATCTATTTAAAGTTCGAGAAAAAGTTCAATACCCTGAACAGTATAGTATCAATATCATGACTACTTGCGGAAAAAACAATTAGAAAAAAAGCTCTCTTGGTTACGTCTTAGATTATTTTGTTTTACTCTCTTAATGTTACCTTAGGGCCTTAGGCAGATAGCAGTTCATCTGCCTTAGGAAAAAATAGATCCAAAATTCACGATTTCATGATCAGAATATGCATTGAATGTTAAAGTGATAACTTGATACTGACAGTAGAACTTTACAGTGGAATGGGAACTTAACAAAATTTTTTGTTGCATCATGGATGGAATTATATTATTCTTTTAATGAATTAAGCCCTCATCTACCCTGCAAAGAAAGAGCACAAGTATGTGGAGAAAAAACATGCTTTTACGTAAAGTTGTGTTGATTTTAACCCTTTCTGTGCACGTTCAGGAACAATATCATGCTTAAATTATGAAAAAAATTAAAATATAAGCGTGTGAAAAATTAAGATGAACATAGGATTGGTTCACAATACACCAGATAATTGGGCCAGAGTTAAAGTAAAAAATCTCTAAATGTCTATTCTCCATCGACACTGCCTTTCTTTAACAAGGACATTATCCACCTTAAAAAAATGGACACATATTAATCCAGGATGAAAGTATGAACTGAGCACTATACAGACTAAATGAGTAACAAAATAATTCTTTCTTTATTAAACTTTATTTAATTACAGGTACTAATACATTTTGAAATAATAGTTCAGAAATCAGACTAAAAACCATGGGTAAGAAATTTTAGACACTTTGATCAATATATGTGTTTCATGAGAATTAATTATACAAAACCCAACAAAATTATTTTTAGTAAATTAGTTAATTGCCATAATGTTACCTACTCTTAAGAAATATATTTAATTTTTTAGACTAGTTGGATACATAAAAATGTTAAAAAATAAGAAAAAAGGAGAGAAGAATGGATTTCTGGCTTTCATTTTAAGCTTCTCAGGGCATGAACAATCCCAAACAGTTGAGAGGTCCTTAAGAGTTATCAAAACTTAATATAATAATCAAAGGAAATAATGGCAAAAATTAAGAGTTTGGTACGGATAAATAATACTGAATTTTAAAATACATTCATGCTGAAACCTGCCTGAAATTAAAATGAACACAAAAAACTAATGAAAAAGATTCTGTCGAATAAAATTATGTGACCATTGGAAAAAAAGTAAAGTCACCTCCTCACGACTTTAACAGGGAATTGAGTTTTTTGAAAAACCAAGCAAAGCCACTTTACTCTGCTGCTAAGATTGCACATCTTCGCCTAGGTTCATATCAAAACAAAACACATGATAATTTTTTACAAATATTTTAGCAAAAATAAAGAGTACATTCGTTGAAAAAATAAGCCATTACCTAAGATTTAATCATTGTGATTATTTTATGTGAATGATCTTAGCAGCATTTTGACAGATTTATGATGTCACTCAAGAGAACAAAGTGGCAACAAAGTTTTTGATTGCCATGAGAACGATCATTAACTGATCAGCATTGTAAGAAAATTTTACAGTTTCCATGCAACTTTTCATCTAAAAGCAGTATTTTAACAGAAAGTAAGCTAAACTAATTG